CTCCATGCCGCATTCCATATCCAGAACCTCAATATGTATTTCATTGTTGGCTATTTGCTTTGTTGGGATCTCAACTTGCCATGGTCTTCTGTTCCCTTTATCTCCCCCCACCCCTGTCCTATCATTTCCCAAGATCTCCAGCTCGCTTTGTCCCTTGCCCCTTTCACAATTAACTAACAATAAGAATAATAAATTCTAAGACAAGATGGAAGTGTCTTCTGTTCCCTTATGTCTTTGCTCTGGCTAGAGCAGCCCTTGGAGCCAGAAGGGGGAGGGGCCTCTCAAATGATGATATAGGCAGAAGACAAGATAGAAGTCTCTTCTGTGCCCTTCTGTCTTTGCTCTGGCTAGAGCAGCCCTTGGAGCCAGAAGGGGGCGAGGCCTCTAAGTGATGATATAGGCAGAAGACATGCAGAAGAATATGCCACACAGGTGAGCAGTAAAGAATGAGTAGTTTATTCTTCTTAGTTCAGAACAAGTCATGTACAGAGTGAACACTTGCACATCAACTCATATAATGTCCTTTTATGAGAGATTTAAAATAGTTTTTCTTTGTCCATTTGGATAAACTCCTTCAGCAGCTCTTGAAGCAGGAGTACACTCCAAAATCTGTCTCTCTCTGCTTCTCTCTTTTGCTCTCTCTGCACCTGCTTAGCTCAAGCCTGAACAAAAATTTGAAACAGTAACCAAACATCCCAGGCTCAGCCATCACCCCAGGCATTGTCTGACCAATCAGCTTCATGCATCTTATTTTGTCTGATGGTTTAGCTTTCATAGGCAAGATGAGCACATAGGCCATAGAAGGAGAAACATGGCTTGCAGAATGGCAGCCATAGGTAGCCCTGAGCCACTGAAGATGCCTCAAGAGAAACCACAACAATGAGCTCAGAATCCACAGAGGGCAAGAGTGGGCCTGGCACAGAACCCACCTGCTGCTAAGGAGGAGACTACCCTTGACAGTTATACCTCCTACGGACCACAGAAGAGCATGGAAACACACCTGCACCTCCTCCAGTTCCTCTGCCCAGAAAAGTGGAGAGTGCCCAGCTGTCCCTGGAGCCTAGTCTTGCAGGCGGCGGCAGCATCATCCAGGTGGCCTTTGACGACAGCGATGAAGAGCTCATCTGGGACAAAAGACAGTTTTTGCTGCAGCTGGGACCTGACGCCCAAGGTATGCAAGAGAGCAGCCACTCTTCCCTGTCATGGCCTGTGGCTGCAGGCGGCGGCAGCAGCATCCTTCATGGCTCGAACCTAAAAAGCAGGAGGTTCAGTTCCATGTTTCGGTGCAAGAAACCCTGTTCCTCCCTGAAGTCACCAGGACCTCCTTGGAGCGGCACCTTCAGAGGCGGAAGGTGGAGCATGTCTGGAGCTTACCACAGCAAGTGTTGAGGTCATTGAAAAACCTTCTTCCACCATCACACCCAGCAAGATTCCGCTCTTCTTCCAGGAAAGAAGCAGGAATATTGCATTCAAATCACCCCTGACAGATGGCCATTAAGCAGAGGCTGGATGGCCATCTGTCAGGGGTGATTTGAATGCAATATTCCTGCTTCTTGGCAGGGGGTTGGACTGGATGGCCCATGAGGTCTCTTCCAACTCTTTGATTCTATGATTCTATGAAAGACTTTGCAGAGGACGACTTGGATGAGGAAAGGGAACAAATGCTCAAGAGATGTATAGTGATGGTTCCTTTCCAGGTAGTGGGTATCCCATTTCTCCAGCCTGAGGAAAAGGAAAAGGTGGAATGCCATATCCAGTGGCAGAAGCTTCAACACCAGTGGGGTCTTCCCACTACCATCAAAGGTCTCTTCAGGCCTTCCTCTCACCCCCTCTGCCTGTGCCAACGCCAAAAGATCACCCGCTTAGCAGAGTTCAGGAAGTAGAGATCCAGACCAATGAGCCACCTTTCTTCTCTGACTCGGTCCAGAAGGAACTGGAGGCTAGTGTGTAGAAAAGCTCAGGGGCCCTTTCTTCACCACGCTGACACTGTCTATGAAGAGCTGGTCGTAGAGCTGACTCAGCAAGCAGAGGCTAAGCTCCGGAAAGCAATACGCAGGAGGACCAGAGAGCAGGACCCGCAACTCTATGCTGGCAGGGGACCCACAGAGGCACCCACAGTCTACGAGCCTCTGGACTATGTGTAAATAAGAGTGTATATAGTTCAGAAGTAAATCAGTGTATATAGAATATATGTGGAGTGTACATAGAATGCGTGTGGAATTTATATGGAGTGTACATAGAGTAATAATCATATTAACGTCTTTGTTTCTTCTGGACACTGCCTGCTTTGCTTGCTTTCTTTCACGCTGAAGGAATTCACTGGCCATAGTTGGTCTGACCCCACCTCGGGACCCAAAGGCTGCCCCTCCCCTCTGTATGCAGAATGGGGCACCAGAAGCCCCCCACACCTGGACCCAAAGTGGCTCAAGCGTAGAGCAAGGGATCTCCTGGCTTTTGAATATTTAAATTTTCCCTGATCAAAAAGAAAAAAAGTATTACAGAGAGGGTAGACAAGTGGCTTCTTTGTGTGATGATTCTGAACGTGGGTAACAACGGGAGAGCACCCGAAGAGAGCAACGTGTGATGGAATGTCAGAACTTGAAACAGGACAATTGGGCATGTAACAGTATGGAGTTCATCAGACGGGGCCTTCTACTGGCGGCAACAACAGAAGCCCAATTATTCTTAATGGCAAGGCTGGGGCACACGTTGCTTTTCGCCTCATCTCTCCATGTTTCGACAGCCTGGCACTGGTGTCACACATCCAGAGGGGAGGTGTGCATGCAATACATGTCCTGTGGCTTCTGTTCCTGTTGCTGAGCGTATCACGAGATCCCTTTGCTAGACAGACTATACCCAACGCTTCTTGGGGTCCACGTGATGAGGTCCCTAGAGGTGTACTAAAAGGGGATTAGACTAACATTTGCACATAGTATCAGCTTATCAGGGAAATATCTTTAAATCGAATCCTAGAATTGGAAGAAACCCAAAGAACTGGAAGTGCCCAAGTTATTTGAGAAGCACATATTTTGTTTTGGGATGTTTGGTAATATCAGTTTGGTAATTTGTAATGCTATTTATTAGAAAAAAGCCAGTCTTTTTTGTTATTTATGAATGCTCCCATTAGAAAATACATAAGTATTACAGAGAGGCAAGTCAGCTACATTGTGTTTGTGTGCCAAGTGTAGTCCAGATCTGTCATTGCTGGGGTTCAGAGGGCTCTCTGGATAAGGGTGAACCACAACTCCCATATTCCAAGGTCAATCAGCCCCAACCTCACCTGTATTCACAGTTGGCCATGTTGGGCCTGTGCTCCAAGTTTAGTCCGGATCCAATGTCGGCTGGGTTCAGTGCTTTCTGAATGCTCCCAAAAATCAAGGTCAATCCTCTCCCAACATCTCCATTATATTTAGTTGTCAGGGGGCTTCTCTGTGCCAAGTTTATTCCAGGTCGGTCATTCATAGGAGTCGCAGTGTTCTGAAATTGAATCCGAAGTAGGTGATCGTACTGCAAATCCCATCAACCACGGTCCATCTGTGGTAAAGAAGGCAGAATGGGGTTGGACTGGGGGGGACCCCTTAAAGGGGCAACTTCAGGCCACCCTCCCACCCCCTTTTCCTCAGAGGAGTATTTCCACAAATTGGGTAAACGTATCATTTTAAACCTTAGTACAATGAATGCCATCACATTACAGTATTGGCCATTTTGCCCATCTATATCTGGAACATTACCCAAAAGTCCACTTCCCAACCAGCTCTTGAAATGTATAAAAAGCTAGCTGTTCCCAACACTTGAGACACAGAAAGAATGCTCTATCCTCTATTTGAACCCAACCTAATGTGATGAACACAGTGGGTTACCATTTCTAAAGTGTAGAACTCAGTGTAATTGAATAAATGTGATTAATAGAGTCCCAACCAATTCAATGTATAGTTTGTGGCAGCCACAAAAACCAAGTTTCTGGAGTAGAATGACTACTTTCATAGTAAGCCCCGCACAATTAAAAAGGAAATAACACTTTCAAATAAGGAACAGAATTTCTTTCAAGTTTTGTTACACAGTGTTATAGTGTCAGTAGACATATATAACTATACTAGCCATCCCCTGCCACGTGTTGCTGTGGCCCAGTCTGCTTTTCTGGAAAATAAATAATGAGAAAGTGTTGGTTTTAATATATGTAATTTCTTTATGCTTGTGAGTAAACAGTATTTCTTGTTTCTTTGTCAGTGTTGATGGAGATTATTTGGTTAGCCTACTCTGGAACATGCAACATATAATTGTCCCTCTTTAGGGGTCCCTTCCAAATCTACGATACTATATCTGTCATATGTATATGTCTGACTGTGTGTGTGTGTGTGTGTGTGTGTGTGAGAGAGAGAGAGAGAGAGAGAGAGAGAGAGAGAGAGAATCATATATATCTATTATCTATGGCTGGGTGGCTCTGTCAGGAGGGCTTTGATTATGTTTTCTTGCCCTGGTGAAGGGAGTTGGGCAGGATGGTCTTAAGGCAGCGTTTCTCAACCTGGGGGTTGGGACCCCTGGAGGGGTCGCAAGGGGGTGTCAAAAGGGACGCCAAAGGCCATCAGAAAACACAGTATTTTCTCTTGGTCATGGGGATCCTGTGTGTGAAAGTTTGGCCCAATTCTATCATTGGTGGGGTTCAGAATGCTCTTTGATTGTAGGTGAACGTTAAATCCCAGCAACTACAACTCCCAAATGACAAAATCATTTTTTTCAGTGATGGTCGCTCCTTGGGTTAGTAGGTGTCTTGTGGCCAAATTTGACGGCAATTCGTCCAGTGGATTTAGAGTTATGATGTCACTCAAAATATACATACATACACATACACACACACACACAGAGAGAGAGAGATTATATGAGTCTGTGCTGCAGTTTCAGTCTATGGCAGTATAGATGGGGTCCCAGTGTTTCTAGCAGGTTCAGACCTTCTCCTTTAACACCTTGTAAATAAGAGCTGATATCCCAGGTGGCTTTGGCTTTGCCCTTTCCCAGCGATGAGGGCGTTGCTTATGCTCAGGTGGTTTATAAGTCAACTGCTTGACTTGGCAGGAAGAGGAACAAGGAAGCGAAAGAAAGCTTCACTCCATACGAAACTGCTGGAAAGGTGCTGCCAGGTAAAGAACCCACCCTTGGGAGGATTGGTTCATTAACTTTAAATTGTTGCTTATTGCAAAGCAGCTGATCTTTAGGGTCTGTCTCTCTCTTCCTCTGAGGATGCCACTTCCTCATTCCTTCCTTTTCCTGCAGAAAAAAGTAACCTCATTCTCTGCTCTGTCATGTTTGCTGGAGGGAGGAAAACAAGTCTGCTGGAGCCCTGCAAAGAGCTTAACTACATGCCCAAGGCTTTGTTAAGAGGGGTCTTGGGGTATTGAAAATGTGGGTGGCTCAAGATATTTTTCTGCCTGAAAGCAATGACAAGATGGCAGACCCTCTCTCTGCATTTCATACATAAAGTTTGACCATAGTTGCATCTTGCAAAACAGGAGTCTGATAACCTGAGAACTGTTTTGGGTTCTGCAAGGTTATAGTTATAGTTCTGCAAGGTTTCAGACAAAATGGATCTGATATTAACCTAGCCTTTCCCTGTCTTTTCCTAAGCATAATAGATGTACATATTTATAGAATCATAGAATTGAAAGAGACCTTGTGGGCCCATCCAGTCCAACCCCCTGCCAAGAAGCAGGGAAATCGCATTCAAAGCACCCCCAACAGATGGCCATCCAGCCTCTGTTTCAAAGCCTCCAAAGAAGCAGCCTCCACCACACTCTGGGGCAGGGAGTTCCACTGCTGAACAGCTCTCACAGTCAGGAAGTTCTTCCAAATGTTCAGGTGGAATCTCCTTTCCTGTAGTTCGAACCCATTGTTCTGCGTGCTAGTCTCCAGGGCAGCAGAAAACAAGCTTGCTCCCTCCTCCCTATGACTTCTCACATATTTATACATATTTATCTTGGGAACTGGAAAAAAGGAACTCTTAGAGTTAATGGGTCCTACTGGAAGTAAATCCGGCAACTGTTGAGTCTGCATTCAGACCCAAAATGAGCACCTGGAAAATGGATAGAAGCCTAGCTGGCATAATGAATGGGATGCATTTGGGGTTACAAATGGCATCAGAAGGGAAACCCATAACAGATACAGAAACATTCATAGCCAATAAGCTTTGCCAATGAATCAAGGCAAATGTTGTACAAGAACAGACTCCTATAGAGAAACGGTTCATTTTAGAAAGGATTGTTTCTGTTAAGTGTCCCAAAGGCATCAGCCTTTTAATAGAAATCTGAAATATTGGTTTTCAGTATTCCGTCTCCAAAATAACACATTCTCTTGCATTCATAGTGAGGAGCAATGAATATTTTGGAAAACTATGATATCTATGTTTGCTGACGAAGGCTGGGATGGCTTTCCTTTTATGGTTTCTCTGTTGGCATTTCATTCTGATCCTGTGCCATCTTACGGCATGCATGTATCTTGAATATTGTACTCAATTTGCAGCTACAACTGTTCGTTTGGGAGAGCGCAAAGGGAGGGAAAATGAGCGAATCAGGCAAGGATTTTGGCCAAGAGCTCAGTGACCAGATCAATGATGTCCTGAGTCGACTGCAGAGCAAGGAGCTGTTTCAGTCCACCTGGGACATTGTGGCCTTTGTCATCTTCTTCACCTTTATTGGTAAGTCAGAGTGGAAGGAAGGACAGCACTGGCAATTTGAGGAGTCCTGGCTTCTATGATTTTGAGCTTTTCACCCAAACATGCTTCGCTGGGCATTTCAGTAGATCAGCAGAGACTCAAGTTGTTTGGGGACAGAAATAACCATATAGTTTGAAAAGTAGTCGCTAAAAGAATAAGTAAAGGTTTCCCCTGACATTAAGTCGAGTCGTATCCAACTCAGGGGGGTGGTGCTCATCTCCATTGCTAAGCGAAGAGTCGGCGTTGTCCATAGACACCTCCAAGGTCATGTGGCCAGCATTACATGGAGCACCGTTACCTTCTTACTGGAGCGGTATCTATTGATCTCACATTTGCATGTTTTCAAACTGCTAAGTTGACAGAAGCTGGGCCTAACAGCAGGAGTTCACCTTGCTCCCTGGATTCGAACCGCTGACCTTTCGGTCAGCAAGTTCAACAGCTCAGCGGTTTAACCTGCTACGCTGTCGGGGGCTCCAAAAAAATTAAACTGAAAAACTAAATCATTATGCTTAAGCAGCCTTGCTGAAACTAAGCAGATTCTGGATTTAGTCAGTGGCTGGATGGCCAAATACCAGATATGCATGACACTGAAGAAATGTAAAAAATTCACTTAAAGGGAAAGGAACAAAACAGATTGGCTGTGGTTAGGTAAAGAATCTGAAGTGGTCTGCTGTGATGTCACTGGGAAAGAAAGCGGGTGAAGTAGCTTGGCTGCTGCTAGGTTATGTGGATGAGGAAAAGGGAGGAAGGAAAGAAAAACCAAAGGAGGAAGGAAAGGAAAGAAAGATGGGAGAAGGGAAAGAAGGAAGAGGATGAGGGGAAGGAAGGGAAAAGAGGAAAGGATTAAGAAATGAAGGGAAGAGAGAAAAAGGGGGAATGGGAGGAATGAAAAAATGAAAGAGGGAAGGTAGAAAAAGGAGATGAGGAAAGGTATAAGGGGAGAGGAGGGAAAGAAGGAAGAAAAAGAAGGAAATAGAAAAGAAGAGAAAAGAAAGAAAGGGGGACAAGAGAGGGAGAAACTGTATGAGTGAAAGGGAGGAAGGAAAGAAAGGGCCACATAAGGAGCCTGTCCACTTTTACTAGAGTGTTGTCATGGAGACATTGTCAGACTGGTTTTATCAGAGCTGGAGAAGGGAGAAAGTAGGCAAGCAGTGGTCCCAATGGCACCCAGGCAATGCTTGGTATTTTTGGGAGTAGTATTTCAAACACCTAAGTTGGAAGACAAAATAGGTATTCCTTCTAGTATGGCCCCTGGTAGGTTAATGTCCTCAAAAACTGATGCCCTTTTTTGACTATCTGCCAGGTGTGGTCCTCTTGATGGCTCTTCTGGTCCTTATCCGCTGTTTCTGCTGCTGCTGTGATTGTGACTCACCTAGATCATACAACAAGGTAAAAACCCTCTGAGATCCTGTAGCAAAAGCTTAGCACACTGGAAGCAGCAAATTGCACACAAACACAGGTATTCTTGCAAAGGAGGCAGATGTGTCCTGCACAGCTGCATGTAGGACGGTGCTATTGCAGCTCTTTTTCTTTGAGGCCAGGTAACTGTCACAAAATTCTGAAATGTTGAACACACAACTCTGGGGCAAATAAGTACTATATATTAAGGACTTATTCAATCAGAAGGAACCTCTGCATCTCATGGAGCTCATTGCTGGAGCCCAAAACCTGGTTCAACTTGTACATTTCCCAAGCTCAAAGGTAAGAACCTGACACTTTCCAGGTGTTGCTAGACTGTTTGCCCAAGACAGTATCTAGTGCCCATGAGAATTGTAGCCCATCATCTGATAGGCCATAGGTTCTGATAGGTTTGTGCCTGCCAAAGCAGTTTGCTTAATAGTCAATAGCTCATAGCTCGAGGATGATTGTCTTCCAGATGTGGTGGCTTGGCGGTAGGTCCGCAGGTGGCTGTGCAGCCCTATTCTTGATCCGCATCTTCTCCCACAGTGAGGACACTGGTTTCCAAGTGGAAAGCAGTCCCAGTTAGGGTTGGCTTGATGTGCCTTCCTCTTGGCATGTTTCTCTCTTTCGCCCTCCATTCGCTGCTCTTAGAATTTTGCAGCACTGCTGGTCACAGCTGACCTCTGGTTAGAGCATTCAAGGGCCAGGGATTCCCAGTTCTTAATGTCTATGCCAGTTTTTAAGGTTGGCTTTAAGCCCATCTTTAAATCTCTTTTCCTGTCTGCCAACATTCTGTTTCCCATTCTTGAGTTTGGAGTAGAGTTGCTGCTTTGGGAGACGGTGATCAGGCATTCGGACAACGTGGTCAGTCCAGCGGAATAGATGGCAGAGGAGCATCATTTCAATGCTGGTGGCTTTTGCTTCTTCCAGCATGCTGACATTTGTCCGCCTGTCTTCCTAAGAGATTTTCAGGATTTTTTGGAGGCAGCGCTGATGGCATCGTTCCAGGAGTTGCATATGACGCCTGTAGACAGTCCACGTTTCGCAGGCATATAGCAGGGTTGGGAGGACAATGGCTTTATAAACAAGCACCTTGGTCTCCCTATGGATGTCCTGGTCCTCACTCTCTGCTTCATTTTTTTACCCATTTACTAGTCATATACATTCTCTGAAGATCTAAATAATTGCTTTTATGTATACAGGTTCCCAGGGGAAAAGTCGGCATCGACAACAAGGGCATGGAGCCTTAGCCCTGCTGGAACAGGTCACCTCTGCAAACACAATCAAGTGCCTTTGCTTTCATGCTTTTTCTGTAAATTGGATCCCACCAAAGAGGGGACATTGGGTTGGTGTTAAAACTGTGATCCTTTCTAACCTTTACCTATAAACAGGGACGCAGCACAGCACTCAGGTCTTCATCCATGAGCCGATTGTCAAATGCTTCAAAGATCTGATGTTGCAAAAACTGTGAAGCTCAACATCTTTGTGTTTCTTGAGAACAGAGCTCAATCTTGATTTTCCCCTTCTACAACCATGAACTGAAGTCCAACTGAAAAAGTGTGGTTTCGCCCTTATAGAATCATAGTGTATTTTATTTTAGGCTACTATGACCAAATTCTAATTTGCCTGGATTCTTGTGAATCTTGGTTTCTGAAGGTAATGACTTGAATAAAGTAAAAAACACAGCATCCTTGAGTTACCTTTAAATGTTTAGTAGACACAATGGGGTAAGAGGAAAGAATTAAGAGACACAATGGGTTGCAATGGGTTCAAATGACAGGAAGTGAGATTCCACTTGAACATTAGGAAGTACTTCCTTACAATAAGAGCTGTTTAACAGTGGAACTCCATACCTCAGAGTCTGATGGAAGCTCCAAAACAGAGGCTAGATGGTCATCTGTCGGGGATGCTTTGGTTGTGTCTTAACTGCCTGGCAGAAGGGGGTGGGACTGGATGGCTCCTAGGGTCTACCTTGAGGATCCTATGAAAGTCTTTAAACAGAGGTTTGGATGGCCATCTTTTAGGAGGGCTTTGATTGCGCCTTCCTGCTTGGCCAAAGGTGTCTGTGGATTGAATGTCTTTTATGGGATCCCTTTCAACTATAGGAATCTATGAATGTTCAAAATGGCAACATTTGAGGTGGAATGGAAGGTGGTGCAGTCTCAATCTCTGCAGGTTTTGAAACAGAGGCTGATGACTATCTGCTGAGAGGGATTTGATTGTACTTTTCCTGCCTGGCAGAAGGGGGTTAGTCTGGATGGCCCTTGGGGGTCTCTTCCAACTCTATGATTCAAGTAGACAAACATAATTTTGTTCATTTCAACAGTGTAGGAAGTCACCTTCAATTGCATTTTGGTACTGAATTTGAAACAGTGCCTCAACGAACTTGCCTTGAGTTTAAACCATTCTGTGTCAACACACCACACTCAAAGGAATCACTTTCAAAGAAGGCCAAGAACTGACATCCATCCATCACAATATTCAGGGAACTTTTATTTCACAATATATTCATTATTTTCACGAATGTAGCAGCAATCAATTGACCACTTCCGCCACTCGGACAGCATTTATAGTTTTCTTTGCCTTGTGGCAGATGGGCCCAGAAAGGGATCACTGGAAGACCTGATAATGAGATAGTGCCTCCACTTCAGGCCCTCTAGATGTTTGGAACTCCAACTCACGGAGGCTCTTACCAGCTTGCCTGACAGCCAGGAATTTTGGGAGTTTCAACTGGAGGGCCACAAGCCTGACATCACTGCGTCTACTTGACAAAAACAGGTTTAACCCACCATCAAAAGGAAATAGTTCCCTGTGCCTCTGAGTTCCAGTTGTGGAAATGAACAGTAACATTTAAGCAAAATGGCAGGTGCAGATGCCAAACCCAAAATGGAAATTTATATGGGAGGATTATGAGTGAATGCTATGGCTCCAGTTGGTCCCTCTTCTCCTCCAAAGGGACAGGGAATAGGCAAAGATAGAAGTCCTAGCCTCCTTCCACAGTCACTCCCACAAATGGGACTGTTTTAAAGGCTTAGTGTCACCCCTAACCTCATTGCCCTTGGGAAGAAATATCTTGTGCCCATAAAGTGCTAATAAATAATGACATATATATGACGCACAAGGAGGCCAACACTCCATGGCGACCAGGAGTGGAGGGATCCCACAATACACAGCTTATACGACAACAACCTCCTCCCCAGAAGAGAGTGATTGGAATGGAAACTACAATTTGGACCACGTTTGAAAGAAGGATTAGTACAGCTTGTAGTTCCAGAAGCCAGAAAATACAGAGATCTGGAAAAGAAGAACAGGATTTGATCAGAAGCAGAACTAAAGTCATTCATTTGGAATCCTCTACAAAGACTCTTTAATAAACAGGACGCTTTGTTCTGTGGTCCTCCAGCTCCCAAAGGCCCTAGCTAGTCTGATCAATGATTCTGGGAGTTCGAGATCTAAACAGCTGGAGGACTACACAATGAAAAGGCCTGCTTCACAGGGAGAGGAATGCCAAAGCCTAATCTCATCTTGTTTGTGTACCTCTGCAATGTTCATTCAAAGGTATTTACTCTAGGTGCAGATAAATCAACCATAAAGAGGATATTGAATCATGTCAGCAAGATCGGATGGTGTTTATAACCCTCAGCGTAAGAAGCAATGTGCTTCTAAATACCTATTTACTATTAGTAGTAGTCCACTTTTTCTCTCTAAAAAAAGAGACTCAAAGAACCTCACAAAAAACGAATGCAATACACTTTAAAACCTCAAAATATACAAACACTAAAATTAAATTAAATATTAATGATATTATTAAACAGTTAAAAACATTAAAATTGATTAAATACCTATTCAGAGCGAAAAACCTCAGCACCCCCTGAAGCTGCTGCAACAGGGGGGCTGTCCGCTCCCATGTTATTGCCACCCAGTTCAATGTATTGAGGGAAGCGGTTTGTGGGCTTCGCATGGACAACTGGACTAAACAGGACCTTTGCCTCATCCTCGGCAGGAGATATACAAGTTTAATAAACTCCAGGTCTTACTCATAGTTGTCTTTTTAAAAGGTAAAGGTAATTAAACGTTTCCCCTGACATTAAATCTAGTTGAATCCAACCCTGGGGAGTGGTGCTCATCTCAATTTCTAAGCCGAAGAGCCAGTGTTGTCTGTAGACACCTCCAAGGTCATGTGGCCAGCATAACTGCATGGAACACCATTACCTACCTTCTGTAAGTAGATCAATAAGGGGTATCTATTGATCTACTCACATTTGCATGTTTTTGAACTGCTAGGTTGACAGAAGCTGGGCCTAATAGAGTGAGCTCACCCCACTCCCCAGATTCAAATCCCTAACCTTTTGGTCAGCAAGTTCAGCAGCTTAGCAGTTTAACCCACTGTGCCACCATAGGGCCCTGATATATATACCCTAAGTTAAACTCTTGGTCTGTTTACCTTACTCATAGTTGTCCTTTAGCAATAAATATAAAACCAAACATATGTAAATCCTCAAATGTATCACCTTGGCAAGTCAATTACACTTCCAATAGCCACAGTCTCCCCCCAAAACATTCATTTTTTGCCAAAAACACCTTTTCTACCACCTCACCTTGTCCTTTAGCTGCTGGCAGAGCTGCAATGATACCGTGAAGAAAACGAGGGCATCGTTTAACCAAGGTACGACACACTCCACCTTATGAACATGGCTGACTTCATATCTTTGGTTGTTGTATTCACTGGAAAGAAATGAGATGGATATTTTGATGATGTGGTTGTTATTATTATTGTTCTCATTGGGTCAATTATACACAGAAACAAGACTAACATTTGAGGCACCCCAATGTGTGTCTACCAGTATTATTATTGGCTTGCTGTGAGTTTTCCGGGCTGTATTGCAATGTTCCAGAAGCATTCTCTCCTGACGTTTTGCCCACACCTATGACAGACAACCTCAAAGGTTTTGCGGTCTGTTGGAAACTAGCCAAGTGGGGTTTATATACTGTGGAATAATGTCCATGGTGAGAGAAAGAACTCTTGTGAACATTCCATAGTAAAATAAATCTCACTTGCCGAGTTTCCAACATATCTCACAATCTTTGAAGATGCCTGCCATAGATGTGGATGAAATGTCAGGAGAGAATGCTGCTGGAAGATGGCCATACAGTCCAGAAAACCCACAGCAACCCAGTGATTCCGCTCATGAAAGCCTTCGACAATATTATTATTATTATTATTATTATTATTATTATTATTATTACCCTGTTTTATCTCTCCAAAAAAGAGACTTAAAGAAGCTCACAATAAAACCAGATTTGCAGCTCTCTGCAGTCCTATCATTATGATGACTGACAGGCCAGAAGTTCGAATCTGGGGAGAGTACAGATGAGCTCCCTCTGTCAGCTCCAGCTCCCCATGCGGGGATATGAGAGAAGCCTCCCACAAGGATGATAAATCATCAAAACATCCAGGTATCCTCTGGACAATGTCCTTGCAGATGGCCAATTCTCTCATACCAGAAGTAACTTGTGGTTTCTCAAGTCGATTCTGACATGAAAAAATTATTATTATTATTATGAATAATAATAATTTTTTTTCTTATCCGTCTCTCCCTCACCAACTGCCAGAATGGTACTTACAACATGGCCCCTGGGTTATGGAGAATGGACCCTCCAGCAGGCCGAAAGTTCTGAAAGGGAACGAAAGATTACAACTTGTAACATTTCAAACAAGATAATACAGTTCTTAGCATTGTTTACAACCATCAGATGCAAGAACAGCAAGGTTTCCCCTTCACTTCGGAGTTGGAATGAATGCCGATCTCTCTTCTAGCGGCAAGAGATGATCCCCTTAGGGAGAACCTGATCTGTTTTGTATTAATCTAATTTCAGAAGAGACAGTCGGTAAGGCCACCAATACCTTTGTGGAACTGGGCTGCAGGGCATGTAACTGATAGACTGTCAAGCAGAGTTTGTTCAAGTTGATGTAGAAATTCACCAGGATGTCTGGAGGCAGACCAGGAGTGAACATCTTCTGCACAGAGAGGGAAGATATACCATTATTTATAGCTTGATTTGTAGGTCTAACCACCCACAGAAGGCTTCTAATAATACACATTCACAATATAGACCCAATTATATAGTTTAAATCAGGCATGAGCTAACTTGGGCCCTCCTTCCGGGTGTTTTGGACTTCAATTCCTAACAGCCTCAGGCCCCTTCCCACAATTCCTAACAGCCTGATTTTCCCCCTCAGCCGCTTAAGCGGCTGAGGGGGAAAAGGAAAGGGCCTGAGGCTGTTAGGAATTGTGGGAGTTGAAGTCCAAAACACAAACTGGGGGGCCAAAGTTTGCCCATGCCTGATTTAAACCATGAATATTGTACGAAGGCAAGTAATAAATAACAATAAACCATGTCATTAAGGTCCTGGCCCTTCAATAAAGCATGAAATAATGCAACAAGGGATAGGAATCTAGAAGTGACCCAGTAATTATGCTATATCTGTTTTTGTCTTTGGGACAAAGCAGCCCTAAATCACACAGTTTTATCCAATCAGAACATGAAGAGCAAGCACCAGTCCCAAGCAAACACAAGCCAGAGGTTTAGCACAGCTGATAAATCAGCAATTATAAGATCTATCAACCAAAATGTTTCAAGTTTGCATGAGCTGTCAACTGTCAGCCTAACTCACTGTTTAGCTAAGCAATTCAAAAACAGCTTTAGATGTGATTAGAGAAATTAGGTACCACTAAAAGCAGGGAGGTATTTTAGGACACCATAAAGAAAGAAGATGAGAAAATGCTGGGCAATCAAAAGGAAGGAGGAAGTTCTGATGGCTCTTCATCACAGAGGACAGAACAACAGCAGCCCCTGGACTTGAGTCCATCCTTCCACGGCACCTCCTTCTGTTCTTTCTGTCTGTGTATTGCCTATACAAAGCGGCATTGAATGTTTGTCGTGTATGTGTGCTGTGATCCACCCTGAGTCCCCTTCGGGGTGAGAAGGGTGGAATACAAATAAAGTATTATTATTATTATTATTATTATTATTATTATTATTTAGTAAGTAGCTCCAAATTACACATAAAAAGCCGCAGAGGCCTGTCTGTTTTAAATGCGGCTGGCATCTTCTGGCTGATGTCTGTACAAACCCAGATGCCTGAAGCACTTCGTATATGGGGCAGGCCTATCTGGAGCCTAAGTATAAGTGGTGACAAGTTACCGTGAGGCCGCTCAAAGCGATTTCTGGCAATGTCAAAGTAGCCGGTGTGGTGAGTCGGTTTCGAGCTCTGGTCAGTTGCAACATCACTGCATCCATTAGCTGCCACGGAAGGAAGATGATCATGTAAGACATAGGAACACAATATGTTATAGTGACTCAGTCAGATATGTATAGACAATCTCAGTGGCAGTCCGTTATCACTGTGGAAAGACTGCAGCCATTTTGGGCCCCTGCACCTTTCCCAAGGGTTATATCTCAGGCCAGCAGTCCCATCTAATCCAGTACTGTCTAGTTCAACAGCACAACTCCATGCTCCCAAGCAGTCATCCAAACCCTGTCACTAGTGTATCTTTAAATGCAAAAGGCTCAGCCCCATCAAGCTCAAGGCAGAAGCTTCCTTGGCCAGAAAAGCTGTTGTTGCCATGGAAGCAAAGTCAGGCTTCATTTTGTGCCATTCTTGGAAAACCAGACCCCTGGCTCACCTTGATGACCTCAGACCCAGTTTTGAACTGGTAATTGGTGCTTCTATTGGTGAGCAGATAGATTGCTTGGTTGACGTGATTCCTTGCATCCTGAATCTAGAAAAGTAAACAACATGTTGAATCAAAACTGGCAATATACTGAATATACACATGCAGATTTGCTGCTAGTCGCTCTGGGTAGAAAACAGCCAATAATGCCATTTTCCTCTCATGTGATCAGCATTTTTAGGGAGGTGATTTTCACAGGAAAGGCAACAGAGAGGAAGAATACCTCCAGGGTCAGGAGCTCCCATTCCTCTGCCTCTTAAGAGCAAATTAGGAATCTTTAATGATTATACCCGAGGACTTAGTTATTATTTCATCTTAGCACTTTATATTAATTATATTAATTACAGTTTATTTTGTTTCTGCAGCCACTGTTGCATTTTATTGAATTTTAACTAGTAGAGTTTTATGATGTTACATTATTTGTTATTGCTATTGTGTTATTGTTTATGCACTTGTTGTACTTTCTGTGTTTGCACGACTGAGTGCTTTTGTGAACTGCCCTGAGTCCCTTCGGGGAGATGGTGGTGAGGTATAAATAAAGTATTATTATTATTATTAGATTAGAAAAAAGATGCATACATTGTCTCATGTGACCATCAGGTGAAGTTAATTTTTGATACTGAATCAGGATGCTGATTTTGGTTTTCGGATTTTTAAATTGTACAAGAACAACAAGAGGGATTATGGCCAAACTGAAAAAAAAATCTTAGTTGAGCAATCACATGAATGTTGGCTAAATCTGCACATCTGCACATCTGCAGCAATAAATATTATCAATGGAGGAAGAACACTGTGTGGGTATTTAAAGTTCATGCCTCGCTCATCTGCGTTCTAAGCTTTAGAAGACATTGCTCATACAAGCCCATAGGTGATTGGGATTGAATATGACAGCTTTCATGCTTGTTTAGAAATCTGTTTGCAAAGTTGGGAGAGTTAGGACATTTCCTGCTCAGGCCACCAGTCTGTTTCTATCTAAAATATTGTTGAGCTGCACTACAGTCTCCTGATCTTTTAAACATTTATGTATTTATTAGAGGTAATGAAATAGCCCGCAGTGGTGCAGCAGGTAAAACCACTGAGTTGCTGAACTTGCTGACCAAAAGGTTAATGGTTCGAATCTGGGGAATGGGGTGAGCTCCTGCTGTTAGCCCCAGCTTCTGCCAACCTAGCAGTTCAAAAACATGCAGATGTGAGTAGATTAATAGGTACCGCTCCGGCAGGAAGGAAACGGCACTCCATGCAGTCATGCCAGCCACATGACCTTGGAAGTGTCTACGGACAACGCTATCTCTTCGGCTTAGAAATGGAGATAAGCACCACCCCCCAGAGTTGGACACAACTAGACTTAATGTCAAGGAGAAACCTTTACCTTTACTAATGTTCTCAGTATGACTTATACAAGATTAATAATAATAATAATAATAATAATAATAATAATAATAAATAAATTTTATTTATACCCTGCCACCATCTTCCCTAACAGGGACTCCGGGCGGCTTACATGAGGCCAAGCCCAAACAACAAATTACAATGAAATAAAATACAATAAAATAAAAACCAAAATGCAAACAACAACATAGTAAAATACAAAAACAATAAGCAATATACACAAAACATAAGAATGCAATGAACAACCATAATGACAATGAGTGGGCCGCATGTACAATTAAAAGAATACCTGAAAAGTGGGTTTGATGCTTCACTCATTGGTGGCACAGTGAACACTTTGCCACAGCAGCACCAATATTTTTTATTCTGCTATAAAAGTTTAGAATTTAATATACTTAAAATCTAAATGACAGAAGTTCTGCAAGGCACAGCTGTGCAGGTACAACTGCACCAGGAGCTCCAATTTTGTTTGCTGTGCATTTAATGTTCGTTGTAGTCCTGAGTTCCAGGGACTCTGCAGATAGGTGGCTTCTTTTGGCTGCAATCATGGGGCAAGCCACCTGTCAATTATGGTTGGGTTCCCTGGTCCCGCCCCCTTTTTAAGTTTTTGGAGGGAATAGGAGCACTTTTGGTTCAGTCCACACAGAGCAGCTTTTCATGCAAGACATAATACCAAGAGCTCCTATAGAAAGCTTCGTCTTCTATGGCTTGGCCGGGGAGATATACAGCCTACAGCTTGGCCGGGGTTATAGAGCCCACGGCTTGGCCGGGGAGATACAGCCCCACAGCTTGGCCGAGGATCATACAGCCTTACAGCTCCTTTGCTGAGGGACTTCAGCCAGCCACCACCTGAACTCCTTTTRCCCTGGAAGTCTACAAAGCTCTGCTTGGTAAGGGTCACTCGCAGAAGCCAGACYCAGTTGGTACCGGGTACAGGGGCTCCACGCCAACAGAGGCAAAGAAAGACTGCCCAGATTAGAAGTTAAGGATTTCCCCATTAGTTAAAATACCAGTCATGAAGATAGTGCCTGTTCCCTGTGGACAAGATTGAAAGAGCCWATASACTGTTAAGAAAGCRTTYAAYTACCTGTTTGTTTTCATMAATAAAGAACTTTGTTGAACCTTTAAGCAATCTAAAGACTTTGTTTTGGGGAGGTCCAAGGGCCTTTAATCTGAGGCAGCCCCAGCGTCCCGTTGGGCACACAGAATTTATGTCCTGTCTACAGTCTTATGCACAGGCCCAGCATGRGACAGCACAACAGCAAATAATAAGATATCATGGGAAAATATTTGGAGGGCCACAAATGCTTGCAAGGCAGAACTTTACACAAAATATGTTGGGAGATGAAATACCTGCTGCAATTTCCACTGCTTGTCATCCCGGAATGCAAAGTGTAGGAGTTGGTTGTTTCTGGGCATTTTCACATTTATATCCTGAGACAAGGAGGGACACAGACAAACACATTTATTAGTCTTCAGCATGCTTCAGCTAATGTGAACTCAGCAGAATCCATCCCTCCAATGAAACAAAAGGGTAAGGTATTGAAGGAAGCAGCGTCTTGGGCACAGAACCTCGCCCACTTTAATCATAAACAACTAGAGTGGGGCAGAGATCATGGTGCCTGGTGTTTGAGGGAACATCCTTACAAAGGAAAGGAGATTCCACCTGAACATTAAGAAGAACTTCCAGGCCATAAGAAGAGCTGTTGAACAGTGGAACTCACTGCCTCAGAATGCAGTGGAGGCTCCTCCTTTGGAGGCTTTTCAGTAGAGGCTGGATGGCCATCTGTTGGGGATGCTTTGATTGTGCTTTTCCTGCCTGGCAGAAGTGGGTTGAATTGGATAACCCTTGGGGTCTCTTCCAACTCTATGTTTCTCGGAGGGATGTAGTGCATGAAGGGATGATGCAATATCCTCTTGCATCACTGGCAGAGAAGTTGCAATTTTGCAACCAGAAACGTGACAATTTGCGGGCTCTGAAAATATGCAGGATCTGTGAGCCACTGCTTCTGCCCTAATATACAGTTCACAGGAGACAAAAGATGTTCCACAGTGATTCTTTGGGATCATATTTATTTGCATTACATCAACAGTGTACTGAGATTGAGAGGCTGGTTTAACTATTTGGGGAATCCATGTTAAAGCCCTATAAGCGATCCCCAAACTATTGTACAATATGCTGTTCTAGTTTGTGGGAGGGGGCAGGACACACAAATACTGCAGTAGAAAGCAGTAGCGATGCCTGATGAAATTAATATTAATTCTGTCTGGCAACAACAACATGCTAGAAACTTGGCTAGGGAACTTGGAGAGATTTCCTGTTCTAAAGAGGAAACGGACTCAGCAGCTATAAAAGAGCCTCTTTATCCTTGAAGTTACTGAAAAGTGGTTAGACAAGATAAATGAAAATGAGATCAAGAGAACAAACAAAACCAGGCAGTTAATTTATCTGATGACCACAAGGGAACAAAACATGAGAATGTTGAATAAAATGTTAAGACGGTTGTCTGCAGATGAATTTGTCTTTCTCAAGACATATACCAATTTCTCATAAAACATATAGGAAAAATGCTTACTGCCTGGCACAGGGCATCTCCCTGAAGGGTCAGGACCCCTTTCACCTGGTCAGCACTAGAATGAGAGACAATATGGTTAAGAAGGCAAAATACATCCAGTGTCCAAACAGTTCTGAGGATGTCTGCCCAGGCTTAAAGAGCAGATCAAAGCTTTCTAGAGTTTGGATATTTACAGTGGACTTCAATGGAAAGCATAAAGACTGGCTTTGTACTAATTCTTAGCCTAACAGTTGCCATAACATTGCAAACAGCATAATTTAAGACACCAGATTTAGCAAGCCAACCCCAGTTTATTATCTAGACACAAGCTTCTTTTGTTTCCATAACAGGAAAAGGAACTGGGCGCAGTTCAGAATTTGATTATGATATGTATGTTGGTTTCAAATAAAAGTGAAGTACTGGAGGTCCTCTATTTTAGGACTCTACTTCTATCTCAAATTCAGTCTGGAACCAATATCTGGAACAAGGAAAACTGTATGTTCAAGCAAATTGGGATGAGAAAGAATTCCGGCTCTGCCAAATCTAATAGGAAAAAGGCATGGACTGAACTCTAATGCATGGAGGGAAGGTTATCTTTTGAGCAGTGTCAGGAAAGAACAGCTTCTCTGTTCTGTTTTTTTTTTTAATTGTGACAATGCAGCAATGGGAGAAATAGCAGCAAAACACAACACTGTTTTGGGGGGCCTTAGTGTATTCCCAAAAGATTCAGAGGGGTTTTTTTTCTTTGTGTCAGGAGCAACTTGAGAAATTGCAAATTGCTTCTGGTGTGAGAGAACTGGCCATCTGCAAGGACGTTGCCCAGGGGACGGCCGGATATTTGATGTTTCACCATCCTGTGGGAGGCTTCTCTCATGTCCCTGCATGGGAAGCCAGAGCTGAGACGGGAGCTCACCCCTCTCCTCAGATTCAAACCGCCAACCTGTAGGTCAGCAATCATGCTGGCACAAGTGTTTAACCCATTGCACCACAGGGGCTCCAAGATTCAGAGTCATCCAGGGTCACTAGAGTGCTGGAGGCTGAGATATTGCAACTTGTTGTTTCTGAATGCCTTCATATCATTTTTTGGCTTATGGAGACCGAAAGATAAACCTATTTCTGAGTTTTCTTAGCAATATTTCTTCAGAGCAGGCTTGTTAAGGCTTTCTTTTGAGGCTGAGAGGGCCACTCACTGAACCAGGATTTCCACAGCAGAGCAAGATTTAACCCCTCATCTCCAGAGTTGTAAACAAATGCTGAAACCAACATGGCTCTCCCCAAATGGCACTACTCTAAAGTCACTAAGTGTTTAAAGCTGCCCAAAGTGGAGCTATTGTCTTATAGAGAGCAGCATCAGCAGACTGAAGGAAAAATATACAGGTAAACAACAGATCACATTATTGTTAAAAGGGAGGGAGTTTTGCCTATCAATGAAAGAAATGAACACTTTGCTTTTCTCAAATGGTTCTATAAGATTTTTGGAGGGGAAGGCATTGTGTATCACTTTATCTCAAACACATCCAGCTATATTCAAAGTCCTAAGACACGACTTACTGCAGTCCAACCAGCAAAAAGTACAGGACATGCAGCCATGCTTTCTATTGAAACAATAGTACCTCAGAGAGGGAAAAGGGCAGGAATGAACTGTCCTTCTCAAAAGCACTGCACTTTCTAAGAAGCACATCATGTCTTTTTCCTTGATCTCACTTTGTTATTCCTATGGCACCTCTCTGTGAGTGGGAAAGAAGAAAAAGCAGAAATGCAAGTATGCCAGCAAACGCCGCTGCTACAGTTAGAATAAGTTATGGCCCAGAGAGGTGACTTCTGAGGAGGAATTCAAAGGAAAGGAGAAGGCAAATGCTTTAAATTCCACTATGGAGGAGAATAATGAGAGATCTTATCAGCTCAAACATAGGCTTCTGTTTAAATCTCATTACACAATATAAGCTAAATGTTTTTGGACAGTCCAGTAGAGAAGCTCTTTGGGAGACAATCTGAGAGCCCATTTCTGAACAGTTCAGTGGGCCAGAAGGCCTAACCATGACCAAAGACTTTAAATGTTAATACTTTTCTCATGAACAAGCCTCCGCTATGAGGAAACAAAGGACACCAAGATCTCAAGACATACTTTGAACTACCCAGAATGAAGTTCTCTTGCTTGAGGGGTCCCTCTGAGCCTCCCACAGGCAACGTGAACCGATGGGATGCCTCCTAGGCAAGAGAGAGAGAAAGAGAGGAAAATGAGTGTGAAGGGCTACTCTTCTTTTGGCACAGACTGAGGGACACACTACTTTTGTTTCCTGCAAAAATAAAATCCACAGATCGAATGTATACAATCTGCCCCCAATAATAAAAACAAAATGATGATTTTTTTCCCAAAAATAAATGCTTGCTGTAAAATGTCCCTCTAGAGCAGTGCTTCTTGAACTTTTTCATCAAATGTTTATGAATTGGTTTTATTGTGAGCCACTTTGAGTCTCTTTTTATATATACAGAGAGAAAAAGCAGGATATAAATAATGATAATGATAATGTGAACACAGGTAGATATAACGAATCAGCATTTGCAATGCTTGCAAAAAAGGCTGATTCTCCTTTTTTGTGGTGCACAGCGAAGCATTTTCTGAAGTTTTCTGCTGCTAACAGATTTGTGTAGATCAGTGGTGTGCCAAAACCTTTATCTGTAGTCAAATTTTTCGTGACTCCAACGTTGAGCTCCCATGGAGATCCCATTTGGGGTTGGGACCAACATTTAAAAGCAGTAAGCTAGAGCTCAAGAAGATCAAAATATATGCCCCAAAGGGAGATACGTATGTATGTACACAGGCAGTCCCCGAACATCTGACTTACAAATGACTCATAGTTACTAACGGGGATGAGACAACAGGAAGTGAGAGAAGGGAAAGCCACTAACTGAAGAGTTGTTATGGGGAAAAGGTATTTCCACTGAAACTTTATTGCCAGTTCTTGTTTCCACAACAAACCAAATTTTTCAAAATCTTCTGAGCAGAGGCACACACAGCAAAACAAACGCCACAAGGGGGTTCACCCCTCTCTATGATATCCAAAGCTTTTATATCTATCTATCTATCTATCTATCTATCTATCTATCTATCTATCTATCTGGAGTGACACTTAAAATATATCCCTGTTCCAACTTACATACAAATTCTGATGAAGAACAAACCTACATAACCAATCTTGCTTGTAACTTGGGGACTGCCTGTATATTGGTGGGAGCAGGTGAGGGATGTGTAGGTTTCCTGAAGGGTGAAATCAGCCTCTTAGTCTTCCATAGTTGGACTTTCTTAATGGAAATGCTTTCATTGGATGTATCAGAACACCTTGTTTTGGAATGCAACTTCATGCCACTGACTCAGGTGCTTTCCAGCTCCACCTGGAATGGACAATGAGAAGGCAAAGCAGGTTTGCAGCTAACTGTCTTCAGCAGGGTCCTTTTCAGACTTTCTTGTGAAACTGGCCTGGGCTCCTCACTGGGGACCCCTCTATCTGGCTTGCAGTGACTTCTTCCATATGAACATAAACTTTGATAAGGGAATAAAACAGCAGAACCCACAGCAATGTTCAAGACCGTTTTGTGATACAAATCGCTGAGTCGCTGATAATAAGGTTAGTCATCTGAAGAGAAAAAGCACAATTGAAAGTAATGGGGATGTTTTGTAAATACCTTCAGAATTTCCTGCAGTTGCCGGAGAACACTATGAACCTCCTCCCGTAAAAGCCAGTTAAATTCTTCTTGCTGCATAGAAAGAAAAATAAGTATTTATCTCCAAAGAGCCAGTTCCAACTTTTTAAACTTTTCCTAAAATTGTTTTTTTTTTAAAAAAAACAGCATATAGGGTAATATGAAATTAGAGGTTTCACACAATACACCTCTTAGTCTTTTCCTAATGCTGATGTCTTATCGGTCCTCTTTATAGAAACCTTTCCTGGCTTTAACAAAATAAAGCATGTACAAAATATTTACGTGCATTTCCAAGTTCTGCTTTCATTGACAGCACTGGGGAAAGTATTGAAATTTACAAACAGAAAAAGAAGATGATGCACCCGTTTAAAGAACACTAATACTAAGAATGTTGGAAGGGGGACATATTTGTTTACATAGGACGGAATCCAAACAGAAAGCGTGACATTGGCTGGATCTACAATGTCAAATAATGCACTTTGAGCTAAGATACTGTGTGTGGACAGTGTAAACCCACATACTGCAGTTTGAACTGCATTATATGGCTCTACACTGACCATACAGTGCAATTCAGGCTGCATTATTTGCCAGTGTAGATCCAGCCATCGTTAGGCCCCAAAGGGCAACCAAGCCATAGGAAGAGTGTTCTTCCTAAGGTCACCTTGGACTTTCTTCCCTAGCAAAGATGGCCATAAAGAAATTTGCTCAGAAGCGTTTGATTCGCTGCTGTTTCCCACACCGCAGTAATCATTAACTTGCATATGTTGCTTCAAGCTGTGTTTTCTTTTAAAGTGGTGGTTCTCAGCCTGTGGGTCCCCAGGTGTTTTGGCCTAGAACTCCCAGAAATCCCAGCCAGTTTACCAGCTGTTAGGATTTCTAGGAGTTGAAGGCCAAAATATCTGGGGACCCACAGGTTGAGAACCAGTGTTTTAAAGGGAATGGTATAAAGATAAAATTAACCCCAAATTCTGCCCAACATTGCTCTAGTCTTCCTCCGCCACTCTTTCTAAAAGGATTGTTCCGAACTACACAGCATGGGCCAGTTGTTTCAAGCAATTGCATGAACAAGGCTCAGGAAATTCAATGAAGCATGCAAAGGAATTCATGACCACTCAGATCCCAGTTAATTGTTAACCTGATGGGACCAAGAGCATCAGATTATAGTAACATATATTCAAGACACTATAAAAGCAGCTGAAGATGAGACAAGCAGTTTTCTAGAATACTAAACGACTTAAGATAGCTTAAGTATAGGCCAGATGTTGGGAATCAGCTTGCAGAGTAAATATCTTCCAACGAGATATTGTCATCTGGCCTTGCAGTTTCACTAAATAGTAATCAGAGATAAGGGATCTTATCTTTTCCTAATATGTCACACTGAGATTTTTTAAAAAACTGCAAGGTGTGTTTTAGTAGAAGTTTATTAGGGTCCTACTTGTAATGCAGGAGGAATCATTTAAGTGGTATTGAGAGGGAGGAAAAGACTAATCCTTATACAATGTTGAGACACTCTGAAAAAACAGTCTTCCTCCACTGCAATGAAAAGCTTGACATGAAGGCCAACCAGGCTTTTCTTCATTTTTTTACCAAATGGTGGGCCATGAATGTTGTTGTTATTATTTGCTTTGTTTGTATTTACCCGCCTTCCTCCTCGAGGGGGCTCACGGCAGCTAACAATCACACACTTTTATTAATTTAAAATAAACCAAATACAAAAATTAGAAGTCAATTGAACAGTATTGGTGTGTGTTAGGTTAAAAGATACAGATAAAGAAATAAATACAATTAAAATGCATTTTAAAACATGCAACTGCCCCCAAAATCCCACCCAGAACCTCCCCAGCTGAAAGGCTGAAACACGTTTCCCAAAATATTTCAGCCATGAGGAAGGGTCCCAACCACTGTTTTAGGACTTAACCTATAAACTCAGGTCCTTACAAATGAAATAAACTATAATAATTCTGGGTCTGAATAATAAATACTGAGATTCAAGCACACAGTCCTGCCTGAAAAGTAATAAGAGAGAGCAATGAAAGCATTCTAGGGGCTGAACTCTCTGTCTGAGATATTGTAGGTCAAAGCATCTAATCTCCTGATCTGAACCACTGCCTCAAAGAAGCGGTCATGGGGCTTAGAACAATACAGAGCTGCAGAGTGGCCCACATTTTCTTTGTACTCCAATGAAAATAGGAATCTTAAATCCCCATCTTTCAGAAAAAGCTTTGAAAGGTGTTTAAGAAATCATTGGGAAAGGAAAAATGTGCCTTTATAGAAGGAAAGAGACTCTATCTGTTAGAACAATGATAGGGAGACTGGTCTTAAATAATCCACTTGGGTGCCTTTTACTAGAATTTAGGGTTCACCTAAAGAAGCCAGGAACAAAAGACATTTAGAACTAAAGCACTGCAAAATTCTGTACCAATGCTAAAGCTCTGAGTGCTCCAAATATGCTTCATATCTGTAAGATTATTTATTTATTTATTTACCAATTTTGTATACCGGTCTTCCCCCCTCTATCGGAGGACTTGGGCCGGTTTCCAACAATAATACCACAAAACAATAAAGCCAAACCCCATAGCCAGGTTTTCACCCATTTTCTGAACGACAGAATGGAGGGGGCAGTTCGGATCTCCAGTGGGAGAGAGTTCCAGAGTCGAGGGGCCACCACCGAGAAGGCCCTGTCCCTCGTCCCCACCAGATGCACTTGAGAGGCCAGTGGGACCGAGAGCAGGGCCCCTCCAGACGATCTTAACAACCTAGATGGTTCATAGGGGAGAATACGTTCGGACATGGGCCAGGCATGGGCAAACTTTGGCCCTCCAAGGGTTCTGGACTTCAACTCCCATAATTCCTAACAACCTGTTAGGTCTTGTGGGAGTTGAAGTCCAAAACACCTGGAGGGCCAAAGTTTGCCCACACCTGATTTAAAGGGATAGGAAGTATCCCCTCCCCTTGCTGTTTCAAATTTGGATTTAGAAATCCTTCCCAATCTAATGCAAATCATCCTGAATTCAAGCAATATTTCTACCTCTGTGCTACAAAAAAACAACAACAACTGGGTTTTATGGTGAAAGTGGCTGTTTCCAAAAGGAAATGGTTGCCATATTTGGAGGTCATTCCATCGAAGGTTAATTTAAAGGTCAAAGGAATGTGATAGGGAAAACTGATCATCCCATATTCAGAAGCAGGACTTCCTTGAACATAAAGCACAGAAGCTGTACATCAGCCTAAAGCATGCCTTTGTGCATTAGATGGAGGCATCTGGAAGGCTGCTGCTGAGGAAAATGCTGAACAAAGGGATTTTTGTGTATTTTTTAAATTAAGAAATCCGATACTGTCATTGGTGTAACTTGTTGTTTCCATAATTTTGCATATTTAATTCTTGCTGCTTTTGTCATGTACATACACACAAATATATATAGGTCGTCTCCGACTCTTCGTGACCTCATGGACCAGCCCACGCCAGAGCTCCCTGTCGGCCGTCACCACTCCCAGCTCCTTCAAGGTCAGTCCAGTCACTTCAAGGATGCCATCCATCCATCTTGCCCTTGGTCGGCCCCTCTTCCTTTTGCCTTCCACTTTCCCCAGCATCATTGTCTTCTCTAGGCTTTGCTGTCTCCTCATGATGTGGCCAAAGTACTTCAACTTTGTCTCTAGTATCCTTCCCTCCCAATGAGCAGTCGGGCTTTATTTCCTGGAGGATGGACTGGTTGGATCTTCTCGCAGTCCAAGGCACTCTCAGCACTTTCCTCCAACACCACAGCTCAAAAGCATCGATCTTCCTTCGCTCAGCCTTCCCTAAGGTCCAGCTCTCACATCCGTAGGTTACTACAGGGAATACCATGGCTTTGACTAGGCGGATCTTTGTTGTCAGTCTGATGTCTCTACTCTTTACTATTTTATCGAGACTGGACATTGCTCTCCTCCCAAGAAGTAAGCGTCTTCTGATTTCCTGGCTACAGTCTGCATCTGCAGTAATCTTTGCGCCTAGAAATACAAAGTCTGTCACGGCCTCCACATTTTCTCCCTCTATTTTCCAGTTGTCAATCATTCTTGTTGCCATAATCTTGGTTTTTTTTGGTGTTTAGCTGCAACCCAGCTTTTGCGCTTTCTTCTTTCACCTTGATTAGAAGGCTCCTCAGCTCCTCCTCGCTTTCGGCCATCAGAGTGGTGTCATCTGCATATCTGAGGTTGTTAATGTTTCTTCCAGCAATTTTCACCCCAGCTTTGCATCATCAAGCCCCGCACATCGCATAATGTGTTCTGCATACAAGTTAAAAAGGTTGGGTGAGAGTATGCAGCCTTGCCGTACGCCTTTCCCAATCTTGAACCAGTCTGTTGTTCCGTGGTCAGTTCTGACTGTTGCTACTTGGTCCTTGTACAGGTTCCTCAGGAGAGAGACAAGGTGGCTTGGGATGCCCATCCCACCAAGAACTTGCCACAATTTATTATGATCCACACAGTCAAAGGCTTTAGAATAGTCAATGAAGCAGAAATAGATGTTTTTCTGAAACTCCCTGCCTTTCTCCATTATCCAATAACTAATGTATTATTCCCAAATTTTTCCTTTCCTTTCCCTTGTCCCCCATCCCCCACTTTCCTAGTAAATGTTTAATAACAATCATTTGGGGGCGGGGGAGAGAAAAGAAATCGGATACTAAATCTATTGCCACTCCTTTGGCAGGAAGGAAGCCAGGGTTGGGACTTGAAAGTGTAGCTGAATAATATTGCAAAAGAGCTACATATGGGAGCAGGGGGGGCTTGTCCATTACGCGAAGTAAGCGGTCGCAGAACACTTTTTTTTTTGCCAGGGGCGCAGAGGCGACTCTGTAAATGCCCCTCGACCGCCACTTGAGGAGCGCCCCCTCAGCTCACAACAGCCCTAGCAGTCCGGGGGGAGCCTCGGCTTTCTTGCCTCGCTGCCGGGCGATCCTCTTCCCAAAGGGGCCGGGCCCTTGAGCCTCGCCTAGCCCCTCTCGTTCCTGCTCCACCCGGCCACCGGGTGCGTGAGCAGAGCTGGCGCTCAATCGTTCTCCGCGTTCGATCCCTTCCCCATGACCGGCTCCCTTTCCCGATCCCCCGGTGCTCCACCCGCCTCCTCTCCTCTCCCCAATCCGTGGGTGGGCCAAGGGGCGGAGCCGCCGCGCCTGGCCCGCTTTGGGTCCGGAGGCGTGTCTGAAGACCCCAGCGTGCGCACCAAAAGTCACCTCTTCTCCTGACTTTCTCTTCAGCCATTGGGACCAAGAGAGAGAGAGAGAGAGAGAGCCCCTCTGGCTGGAGGTATCTCCCACCTCCGCTCCCTCCTTTGTTTTTGCGCCTACCTTCAGGAAAGGTGGGCATCTCCACCTCTCTCTGTCTCTCTTTCTCTCTCTCTCTCTCCCAATGGCTGAGGAGAAAGTCAGGAGAAGAGGTGACTTTTGGTGCACACGCCAGGGTCTTCAGGCACGCCTCCGGACCCAAAGCGGGCCAGGCAAGGGAGCAAATGCGGCAAGTGTAGTTACTGGGATGTATAGTTCACCTACAATCAAAGAGCATTCTGAACTCCACCAATGATGGAATTGAACCAAATATAGCACACAGAACTCCCACGACAAACAGAAAATATATATCAATGATTGGTTGGGGGGGGGGGCGCCAAAATACTGTTTGCTTACCGTTGAAAATTACCTAGGGCCGCCTCTGTATGGGAGAATAGGCTAGCGGTTGCCAAACTATGTTCCATGGAAACCTAAGGTGCCATAAAAAGGCATTGTATGGGTTCTGCGAAAACGCTTTAAAATAACAAACACATGCCAGAGTATAAGGATCTGATTTTAATTCGATATACCTCTGGATGGCGCCCAGATTTACCTCTTCAGCTATTGAATATAAAGCTCAATTTCCAAACCTATTTTTTAGGTACCAAAATGAAACAACTTTCATTCATCACTTTAAGTGTGTATCCAGTCTTTTCCTGCACCATAAGGAATGCTTGTGGTGACACCAAATATTTTTTATACTAAAATAAAATGTTCAAGGTTATATTTAATATGTTTCTTCTTTATTGTCCAAAACACTCAGGCAATAGGCAAGAAGGAAGAACTTTGTGGGTTTGAAAGGTTTTGGGTTAGAGTTAAGAGTGCAATTCATTCAATTTTTCCCAGGAAAAGTCAGTGGAGAGCCTCCTTTTGCCAATTTTCTCCTCTGCTCTGCAATTTATTTTTACGGTATTTGCTCTTTGTCTTTTGCACTTTAAGCAGTTTACTGCTATTAACCTCCATCAATGTTGGTTTTTGACTGCCTTTCACATAATCTGCCAGTGCATGTTTCTCTTCTTCTACCGTTTGTTTCACTTGTAGAATCCCGCTGCTTCCCGATTTTCTGGGCAGGTAAAGTTTGTCGACAGCACTACGTGGGTGTCATGAGTAGTGGATTGTCATCAGTTTACTTGTTTTTCTGTCTAGATCATCCAGCTCTGCTTGTTTCCAGGTCACAATTCCAGCAGTGTATCTGATGATGGGGATGGCCCAGGTATTGATAGCCTTGATCGTATTTCTGCCATTTAATTGGGTCTTCAGAATTTTTCTGACTCTTTGGATATATTCTTTGCTGAACACATTTTTTCTGACTCTTTGGATTTATTCTTTGCTGAACACATTTTTTTCACATGCCCCTGCTTGATATTGCCCAGTTGTAGGATGCCCAGACATGTATGTATGTATGTATGACATTTATATGCTGCCATTCTCACCCCGAAGTGGACTCAGAGTGGCTCAAAAGATATATGGAAATACAATATATTATATTATTAGCATAGTACAATGTCAGTATTATATATTACGATATTGTACTATACCAGGGGTCCTCAAACCTTTTAAACAGAGGGTCAGGTCACAGTCCCTCAAACTGTTGGAGGGCCAGATTATAAATTGGAAAAAACATGATTTGAATTCCTATGCACACTGCACATACCTTATTTGTAGTGCAAAAAACACTTTAAAACAACACAATTAAAATGAAGAACAATTTTAACAAATATAAACCGATTAGTATTTCAATGGGAAGTGTGGGCCTGCTTTTGGCTGATGAGATAGAATTGTTGTTGTTGTGTGCTTTCAAGTCATTTCAGACTTAGGTTGACCCTGAGTGAGGGCTAGATAAATGACCTTGGAGGGCCGTATCCAGCCCCCGGGCCTTAGTTTGAGGACCCCTGTACTATACCATTATTGTTCATTTGTTCAGTCGTTTCCGACTCTTCATGACTTCATGGACCAGCCCACGCCAGAGCTCCCTGTCGGCCGTCACCATCCCCAGCTCCTTCAAGGTCAATCCAGTCACTTCAAGGATCCCATCCATCAATCTTGCACTTGGTCGGCCCCTCTTCCTTTTTCCTTCCATTTTCCCTAGCATCATTGTCTTCTCTAAGCTTTCCTTTCTTCTCATGATGTGGCCAAAGTACTTCATCTCTGCCTCGACTATCCTTCCCTCCAGTGAGCAGTCGGGCTTTATTTCCTGAAGTATGGACTGGTTGGATCTCCTTGCAGTCCAAGGCACACTCAGAACTTTCCTCCAGCACCACAGTTCAAAAGCATATAATGGTTTATTACAATATACCATTATATTGTAATATTATTAGTAATATCACATGTAAGATACATATATATATAATTGTAGTATCATATTATTAGTAGTATATTGTATTATATTATAATATTATAAATATTATATGTATATACAATATATTACATTACATTGTATTATTGGCATAGCACAGGAGACAAGGTGGAACTGTCCCATGGCTCCCTCTCTTTCCACTGTATAGGCTTCAGGCTGATCACACTTTATGGTTTGTCCATTTGGCATCTCTATGCCCTGACTGGGAATAATATTATTATCGTCATGATTATATAATGATTTACCATATATGCTGTCACAATGGTTTGGCACACAATGATAAGACTAATATCCCCCAATCATTCTTGAGGATGTTCACGGTGATTGACGTACCATTCCACCAATGACTGTTCGAATATCGTCCCGAACGACCAATCCCGTCAGTAGTGACATCACACAGACCCTCCCCCCTCCTCAAATGCTCCCTCACAGCCTTTCCGAAGCGGTCTCGGTTCCCTCAGAGAGAAGCCCCGTGGCTCTCCCCCGCTCCCTTACCAGGACGGCGCGCTCAGCCGCGCTCGCCAGCGCCGCCATCCTCATCGCCTCGGACGATTCTCACGGAGACGAGGAACGCTCCCTCTGACTGTCTCAAGGAGAGCCCTCACGCGCAGACCCCGCCCCCTCGCTCTTCATTGGACTGCCTCTTCCGACGCGGACGCGCCGATTGGCTGCGCTCCTTGTTTACGTCCCGCCCACACGCCTGAGTGGCACCGCCCATCTCAGAGGGCGAGACGTGAGGCTTGGGCTCCACCTCCTCACTCCTGATTGGATAGCCGCTTCCGGCGCAGGCGTTCTCATTGGTCGCGCCTCTTGTTTATATCCCGCCCAGGCGTCTGTGCGAGACCTCCCATTTCATTGCCGTCTTTTATCGGCACTTCCGGCATAGAGAGCGAGCGCGATGTATAGTCAGCGGCAGTTGTGGCCTTGTCTTTATGAAATGGTAATGGCTCTTCTCCCCAGACTGGGGATTCTGCCTAGCAACTGAGAAAACGCGGCAGCTGATTGGTCAAAAATCAGGGAGCGGTGACGTCACCCGAGCCCAAGATGCCCCTTAAAGCAACAGTGCTAAATGAAGGGCTTTCATTTAATTATCTGAACCTGGGCAAGCTCATCATAGGAGAGAATGCAATGCACAAAAGGGAAAACTGCACATAATAAAAATATCTCAAATTAAGGAAGAGTCAAATCCACAAATAAGGAGGGTTGACTGTTCCTGGTATCCATTGGTGGCTTCCCAACCAGATACTAACCAAACTTGAATCTGCTTAGCTCCCAAGGTCAGATGGGACCTGGTACATTCAGGATTTAGGCCCCATCTACACTGCCATTTAATCCAGTTTCTGTGAATGCAGATTATTTGCTTTGAACTGGATTATCTAATAATAGGGTTGCTGTGAGTTTCCCATGCTGTTTGGCCATGTTCCTGAAGCATTCTCTCCTGACGTTTCAGCCAGATCTATGGCAAGCATCCTCAGAAGTTGTGAGGTCTGTTGGAAACTAGGCAAGTGAGGTTTATATATCTGTGGAATGTCCAAGGTGGGAGAAAGAACTCTTGCCTGTTTGATGCATGTGTAAATGTTGCAAATGGCCACCTTGATTAGCATTGAATGACGCTGTAGCTTCAAAGCCTGGATGGTTGCTACTTGGGGGAATCCTTTATAGGGAGGTGTTAGCTGACCCTAATGGATTCTTTTCTAACAACTACCATGTCGGACTACACAGAGAAGCCATTGAAATCCACAAGAATGCAGACAGTTTCAACAGACAGGAGGAAAGCATGAAAATGACCAAAATTTGGCCACTAGTATTTAAAAAACTCTAAAATCAGGACAAGTAAATAGAGTAACACTAAAAAAGGGGGGAATCCCAGACAAGAATCAATCAGGGCCAGCTAACACCTCTCAACAAAGGATCCCCCAGGCAGCAATCAGCCAGACTTGGAAGCTACAATGCCATTCAGTGCTAATCAAGTTGGTCAATTGCAACATTCACACTTGCCTCAAGCAGACAAGAGTTCTTTCTCCCATGTGGACATTCCAGATATATAAACCTCACTTGCCTAGTTCCCAACAGACCTCACAACCTCTGAGAATGCTTGCCATAGATGTGGATGAAACAGGAGAGAATACTTCTGGAACATGGCCATACAGCCCGGAAAACTCACAGCAACCCAGTGATTCTGGCCATGAAAGCCTTCGACAACACTAATAATAATAATAATATTAAAAACGTTATTTATACCCCACCCCTTCTCCCTGGAGGGACTCGGGTGGCTTACAACCAACCAAACTGATACAATAAATGATATACATAAAAAGTGATTACATAAAAGCAAAACAGGACAATATAAACACAAACAATTTTAAAACACTGTAAAAGCAATGTAGATGTAATATATGGCAGTGTAGATCCAGCCTCAGGAATGGATCCTTGCTATGGAATCCTGGGAGTTGTAGTTTTGAAAGCTCTATAGCTTTGTCTGCCAGACTGACCAAACTACACATTCCCAGAATCCTATCACATTCAAGCGCTGTCAAACTGGATTAATTCTACAGTGTAGACACACATGGTTTTGAAATGTCTGCCTTAGAGCAAGGCCCTGCAGGAGTGAAAGAGAAAAGCGTTTTTATAAAAATAGCTAAAGAATGTCAAGAAAGTGTGCTTTCTTTCTAATGTTGGAAAAGATGGACTCAGAATCTGTGTCCCTGGTATCCAAATAAATAGCAACGACAATATGGTATCTAATGTACAGGAAATGACGTGAGAAGTTTTTAGGAAAGAGACAAGCAACATTCTGTTACCAAGAAAGGTTTTATTTCCATTTGCCAGTAGCTTTGTTAATTGCACAAGAAAAGAAAAATCATTTCTTCTGTTTTTGCCATTTAATCATCACCACACATCCTATTCTGAATGACAAAGGTTAATTAAAAACAAGGCAAAAAATTAAAAAAAATTCACAACCTTAATTACCTATAGATCGGTCATCAAAGGAGAGGGTTTAAAAAGAAAAACTGCTTTTTTCTTACAAGCTTTCCACAAGTGTCACATTGTCTTTTCTCTTTAAAAAGGGAAGGGCAGGAGGGAGGAAAAGCGATGGCTAAAACAGAAATCCCCATTAAAAAGGAACTTTACAGTCTTCTCAACAATATTAAGACAACAAAGACTAAGCCAGTCCCATTATATTCTCTTGCAATCCGTGCATCACCTCCTGCACCATCACCAAGTGGGATCTGAACTGGAACAAGGCAAAGGTTTTGAAGGAAAAGTGGCTCCTGGAGCCTGGGAGAAACCTCATAGCATTGAATTAGAGAGTCTTGGGCACCTTAAACTACAAAATATAAAACATTATGAGGGCAAATCACTATTCTGACCCTAGAGAGCTTATGCCATAATGTTAAGGCACCACACACTCTTTACTGATTTACTATCAAGGTGAAAAACATGACTATCCTTTTGAAATGGCATCAGAGACGTTCCAACCTTCATTTCTATTTCATAATATCCTTATTCTTCGTCATCAGTAACTGTATAGTTCCTATAGCAAATGACATACACTTTAGGTATATCTTTCTTCTCACTGCCAAACAATTCACAAGAGAAAGGCCTTTATTGGAAGACACTACCTTTCTCCTTTACCTCCATTCTCAAGTTTACTGGAAGGTAAAAGGAGTGGGGGGGGGGGGGAGAAAGCATTTTTGGGATCTGTTTAAGAAATTATTACTTGAGCAAACTTCACACTTTGGGAGACACAACTCTAGGGTCTTCAGAAGGATCCAATGGAGCTGTCATTCATTACAGCAATTTGCACAAAAGACTGGAAAGCAATCCCCAAATGCTCCCACACACTCATTCAGAGTCTGGCATTTTCTAGCAGTCCTCACAGAAGCCATCTGTGACTATGTGTGATTTTCCCATAGTAAGATGAATCTGAGTCTCTAGAAAAGCAACTTGAATGGCTATCTGGGGCTGAAAGAGCCACTTCCACATAGGACTACACTTTGCCCTCACTGAGTGGGGATAATAAGGTTTGTGGGCTTAAGCATTGGGAGGAAACATGTTTCCTTTCCCATGAGGACTGTCTATCCATCAGAAGACAAACTGACCCAAGACGCATTATGTTCATAAAAGACCAGGACACAAGCTGAATGGGTTCCATTTCTGGAGTCTGAATCACACCATAAACCCCTTGGGTTCTGAATCCTCATGGGTCCTCACCTCACAGAGCTCAATCTGATCCATGTGCTGTGCGCACCTTTTATTCAAGATGCACAGGTTTGACAAATGCAGCCACTTCCTCACATGAACCCAATGTACAATCCCCCGCCATCGAGATTTTCTTAAGCTGTAAGATAGGAAGTTCTTTGAGGAATAATACTGATAGAAGCTTTAAAACAGAAGCATCTGATTTTCAAAAATCTTTGTAATGTTACAGGTCTGCATTTTTTTTTGCTATGTGTACAACCTCTCTATATAAATCTTTTCAATCTAAAAATTAAAGGGCCATCAGGGAGTAGTCAAGAGTGCCACTAGCTCTTTTTGTTAGGGATGTATGTTGATGTCAAGACCTTTTGGGTTCAAAAAGCTTGCCTTTACAGAGTGATGACCAAGTCATTCAAAATCTCTTTAGGATTCTGCTTTATTTCCTATAGTATTGTTACAGGCCTCATCAGCAGAAGCCCTTCTCCATAAACTTTACTACAGTATGCATGTAACACAGGCACCTGATTAACCAGCCCTTGGGAAAATACACAATTTTACCAACAGATTGTGGAGCCTTGTTGGGACTTCAATTACTTCAAGTCTTCAGTTACTCACACAGGATTCACTAGGTAGTGCTCCCCTCTTTGTTGTGAAATAGAGATTTTTTCTCTTTGAGAAAAAGGAAAGCCTGGCCACAGATTTATGAGGTTTCCTGAGTCCTATAACTAACCTTAGCAACATTAGAAGAACCCAAACCTTCAAACAGCAACAGATGTGTATCTGGCCTGCAGCCAATGTAATGCACTAGGAAGACACCGTGAAATTTATCTCCATTCATCTTAAAACATATACAGGGTAGTTAAATCTTTCTATGGGTAAAAGCACAGATGGACAGAATCAGTTTTTATCCTCAGAAACAGCAATGAGTTAATGAAGTGACGCATACTCCTACTAAACCCTCTATTGATTTTCATGCCATCCCCTCTCAGGAGCCAAGCTGCCATCCTATTCGAAGTCGAGAGCCCTAAAGTTCCATAGGAAAGTGGGACATCCTCCCTCTTCCCATTGTCACGAATGCACACAACAGGCCCACGTTTACAATTACCCACAGGAAAGAAGTGAAACAGCGGTGAAAAACAATAAAAAGGAAACTTTGGGCGACACGCAAATGGACGTGAACCAGAAGAAGGCCAAGCAGCAGTTGTTGTTTTCTTGGCCAGAGCCACCTGCCACCAATATTCTCTCCAAGACTCTCATCGAGTGGCATAGATTTGCTGTCGAGATGGTCAAGGGTCCAACCCCTTCTGTGGCTCTTCTTGCTGCTGGTACAGAAAGGCTTGCTGCAGCAACTGCCCTAGCGGCAGATCTCCAAAAGAGTTTTTGTATTAAAAAGGAAAAGAAAAGGAGGTGGGGGTGGAAGAGACAGACAGACAGAGAAGGACTGGTCCAGAGTTAAAACCCAGTATTCATCATCATCAATAATAATCATAGTATTAACAAGACGATCGGGATGCCTAGTGGATGTAGGCCCTGTATACAGCAGACATATCGTTGTCAGATTGGTCCAATGCTTTTGCCCGTTTATAGACCTGAGGGAGAGACAAGGCGGGAAGAGATGAATCACAGTAGAAATGAATGTTGCTGTTTTAATATGTAACAGTTCCACACTGAAAACTTAGTAAGATTTAAAAAAACCCCTTTCTTCTGGCACAGCACTATGTTGGATGACCTAGCCAGGATCTGGGTATGTCTTGCTATGCAAACTAATCCTGTAGGCTGCAATCGACCCCTAAGCACTGCACGATGGTTCTATCATGTAACACAATAACACTGGCCAACATATATTTGGTGGCTCCAATGTTAAGACTACTTTCTAGATATATCTGATGTGCTGATTCCAAAAACTACCCCAGTTTCTCCTCCCAGCTCTAGTTTTTGAGATATAAAACATGCCATCTGCTAGACGCCATCTGCTCACCCATAGAAAACCATGATAACAGTATTTAAGAAACTAGGGTGGATGAGGTCTCTTCAATACAATTTTCTGAACCAGCACCCCAAAGAACCCCACCAACAGGACTAAAAGCCAAGAAACGTTTTTGTTGGTCTGTGTTATTATTGATCATAATAAATATCACAAAACAGTTTATGCTACTTGATTATTTCCAAATGTATAGCCTTAATGCAAACAGGAAGGTGGTCAATGTGTTGTCAAATGCTTTCATGGCCAGAATCACTGGGTTGCTGTGAGTTTTCCGGGCTGTATGGCCATGTTCCAGAAGCATTTTCTCCTGATGTTTCACCCACATCTATGGCAGGCATCCTCACAACCTCTGAGGATGCCTGCCATAGATGTGGGTGAAACGTCAGGGGAGAATGCTTCTGGAAAATGGCCATACAGCCTGGAAAACTCACAGCAATCCAGAAAGGTGTTATCAATGCATTAAGGGGAAATGGCACACTGGGGAAGAAAGAGCCTTCCAGTAATAGAGCAATTTCTGCTGCTACCCAGGCTAGGCTAAATATAGTGTGTGTTTTTAAAATGAACCTCTATTGATAGTCATCTCCTCCTGTTGTAATTCCTTCATAGGTTGAGACACAGGAAAGGAAAGAAAGGAGTCCTTGCAACAAGGAGAGGCATAAGGCCTTGCCACCAGGATGAGGCCAAATTGTTCTTTCTCTTGGCTCTAATTTTCACCTGACTGAAGGTATGTTTAAGGAGGAGGCAGGAAGGGAAGAGAAATGAAGAAAAAAGAAGGGAAGAAATAAGAAGCTGCAAACAAAAGGTTGAAATAATAATGCCAGAGAAAGCAGAAAAGGTGGACATAGGACCTTTCCTGGTGAGGAGATGAATACCAATGGAGGCTTGATTGAAAATAATGTGATTTCCTGCCTAGTCCAGACAGCAACAGAAGTTAACCCTGCTGTACCACAAGGAGGGGCGGGTATTATTATTATTATTATTATTATTATTATTATTATTATTATTACCACCATCATAATCCATTGTTGGCTCCTTCTCCACCTGCTGAGAATGCCTAATTTCATTGACAAGTCAACTGAAAAACTGATTTAAAATACTGCATCTGCCACAGACTTTTGATTATAATCCTAATAATAATAATAATAATAATAATAATAATACTTTATTTATATTCCATCACCATCTCCCCAAAGGGACTCGGGGTGGCTCACAAAAGCACTCAATAGTGCTAACATATACCTCTCAATAGTGCAAACATATAAATACAACAAGGCACTTAAACAAAATCATACAATAACAATAATGTTCACATAAATTACATACAACATTGTATAATACCCTTTCTCCTTGAAGCATAAACAACTCATAAGCCTTCTCTTAAAATCATGATGTCAGTCAACCCGGTTTTTGTTCCCAGCAAACTCAACAGCTATCGCAGTGGTTTTCAACCTGGGGTCCCCAGATGTTTTTGGCCTTCACCTCCCAGAAATCCTAACAGCTGGTAAACTGGCTGGGATTTCTGAGAGTTGTAGGCCAAAAACATCTGGGGACCCCAGGTTGAGAACCACTGATCGCCTGATCAAAAGATGGTTTCACATTTTTGAACTAGGAACGCAGGTAACAAAATCCTTCATTACAGCTGCCTCAAAAACAGAAATGAGTTTAGACAGGACCTACCTCATTGGCTGCAGCTGCCATGGGAGTTGGGTGGTTGACAGAATCACCTAGTGCAATGGCTAATCTGAGATCCTTCTGGATGTATTTCAGATAGAAGTCTGGTTTAAAATTTCCTTGCAAGATGTCTAGAAAAGAAGGGAAAGGTGCAAGGTACTGTTTCCACATTCCACTTTTTGAGCTGCTGGTGACAGCATTGCTTTGTACAAATGTAACTGGCACTGCACCCTCATGAATATATGAAGACAGCTTACATCCGGTCAATATTAACTTGTGAATTTTGACCTGCATTTTATCAGTAAATTGTAATCTACATTTTACTTCTGTATTTTTTTTATATATATATATATATATATAAAACATATATACTTGAGTATAAGCCGAGCTTTCCAGCCTCTTTTTTAGACTGAAAAAGCCCCCCATGGCTTCTACTTGAGTCTAAGTTATTTATCATTTTACTCTGTTATTACTATTATTTTATTACTCTGTTATTACTGCTATTATTATTACTACATTTATTATTTTACTGTCATTATTATTGGAATAATACATAAGCACATAAGCACATTTACATTGAAGAAGGTTAGAATAATAGTTTAATCAGAGTTGGACAGTCTTATCTTAAATTCCAATATTATGTAAATATTCAAAAAACATTTAACCTACTGATACCCCAATTAATGTAATTGTATTGGTATCTATTTTTATTTTAAAATTTACCAGGAGATGCTGCATTTCCCACCCTCGACTTATACTCGAGTCTATACATTTTCCAAGTTTTTTGTGGTAAAATTAGGTGCCTCCGCTTATATACAACTTGGCTTCTACTTGAGAATATACGGTATATATAATAGTAGTGTTTTATCTTGCTGTTTTAACCATATTGTACTCCACCTCGAGCCGTGACGTGAGGCAGGTGACAAATAAATCATCATTATGTTGTATTAGCATTTGAAGCACAAGATTAGTACACAGCAAACAAGGTCACTTTGCTGGCTGTTGTATTGTCCAATATATTATTATTATTATTATTATTATTATTATTACTATTACTATTATTATTATTATCATCATCATCATTATATTTTACACTGTATTAATACGAAATTGTTGTTGATACTATTATTCATATATTATTACTACTTCCAATTGAAACCACTGCCCCTTTTACCCCAGGATTATCTCTCTCCTAAAATAATTTACCTAGGAGCTTAGATCTGCTATCCAAGATCAAACTTGGGGATGTTCTGAATGCAACATGTGTTTTACTATCGTGTCTCTACATCATGTCTCTAACCCACTTTGATTTAAAGCCACTGCAGCTCATGAATATGCTTGATATCACTATGGGAGAACTGGAGGTATCTAACTGCAACAAATTCACACTAGAAAGGGAAGTGTGGAGACACGAGACCTCACAAAGGCATTCCTTATTACACCTCTTCTCCCATCCCTTGAGCCTTCTGCTCAGTGACATTTCAAGACATACTGCCTGTCTATATCAAAGGAAAATGGGGGTCAGATGAGGAAGGGTCTTTACTTTGGCACTTCTGGTCCAGGAAGATGCTGGCGAGTTGTCCCTGATTGAGAATATCCAGAAGCGTCTGCTGAGACTGGCCGGTGACTTGAGCCAAAGTCAGTCCTTCTGCGATTGTGGCCATGAAGCTCCCTTGGACCATGTTCACAATCAGCATCATCTTGGCAGCATTGCCCACTTCGCCTGGGAGGAAAGTACACAACGCTTGAGAAGAAATAATAACAGAGTCTACACGCAAGGGAACTGGCCAAGCCATCCTGAAACATTTACTGTGTTAGTAGAGGGGCCCATCTGCTGAAGGTCTTATCCCACAGACCGAAGGAGAAGAAACACTTCTGCCAAGGATAACACTAAGAAAAGTTCCTTTTAAGCCAGAAGGGAGTTTTACCTAGGAAAAAAGAGGTCTTCCCCATCGCCTGGAAGCAACTACTGCAGTCTTCATATAAACCCCGGTCTCCAGCCGCTAATATCACCAGCATCCCATCATTGGACAGTTGTTGGTTCCCTGAAACGGGAGCTTCCAGAAAACGACCGCCTCTGGATACAATCACCTAAAAGGAACAAGAAGAGAAATGTCCTATTCATGTATCACATGATCATCTTGATGTATCTCAATTAAGAAAGCAGGTATTTATTTAAAGTCTATTCCTTTAACCGAACTGATTTATTGTATATACTCGAGTATCAGCCAACCCAAATATAAGCCAAGGCACCTAATTTTACCATAAAAAACTGGGAAAACATATAGACTCGAGTATAACCCGAGGTTGGGAAATGTAGCAGCTAGGGCCCCGCCTATCTCCGCGATCGCATCTCCTTCTATGAACCAGCACAAGCTCTAAGATCTTCTGGGGAGGTTCTCTCGGACCCACTACCGTCTCAAGCGTGGTTGGTGGGGACAAGAGAGAGGGCCTTCTCAGTGGTGGCCCCCCGCCTCTGGAATGCCTTTCCAAGGGAAATAAGACAGGCCCCATCCCTCCCCTCCTTTCGTAAGAGCTTGAAGACCTGGTGGTTTCAACAAGCCTTTGAAAATGACCAGTTCTAACTCAGCCCCACACATTGTCTAATACGGCCTTATTCTTCCTACCTATTTTTACTCTATATGTTTTACTTGGGAACCGCTCTGAGTCCCCTCGGGGAGATGGAGCGGTATATAAATAAAGTTTTATTATCATTATTACTGGTAAATTTCAAAGTAAAAATATATGCCAATCAAATTACATTTATTGAGGCATTGGTAGATTAAATGTTTTGGAATATTTACATAAAACTGTAATTTAAGATAAGACTGTCCAACTCTGATTAAACCATTATTCTAACCTTCTTCAATGTAAATGTGCTTATGTATCCTTCTAATAATAGAGAGTAAAATAATGACTGTAATAACAATAATAAAGTAAAATAATAAATGTAATAATAGAGTAAAATAACAAATGTAATAAATATTTAATAGGGTAAATACTGTAAACGTAATAACAATAATAGAGTAAAATAATGTAAATGTAATAATAATAGAGTAAAATAATAAATGTAGTAACAATAATAATAGAGTAAAATAATGTAAATGTAATAATAATAATAACAATAATAATAATAGAGTGAAATAATAAATGTAATAAAATTAATAACACAGTAAAATAATAAATAACACTAACTCGAGTATAAGCCGAGGGGCGATTTCCAGCCTTAAAAGGGGGCTGAAAAACTTTGCTTATACTCGAGTATATACGGTAAATGGATTTCAGTCATAACTGCTATTCCATGGATGGGAAATAATACCACCCCCACTCCTCCCCTTCAGGGAGAACAGTATAAAAGATTATGGCTATATACAGCATTACTGACAAGTACAAACTGTTGAAACTCCTGCACAAGTTTGTAGACCTCATCATTTACTTTCCTATTTAGATATGTAGTTCTTAGAATAAATTATTTAATAACGTTTAAAGCTTGACGCTGTTCCTCTACTGCTGAAGTTCAATCACTGCACTGCTGGCTCAAAAGCTTCTGTTGCTGCTATATATTTTAAAATGTTATTTTTTTCCTTTTCAAAAATACCACCGACAGACAAATGCCACTTGGCTTTCTCCAGCATTTCAATGGGAGAATCTTCCTCAGTTAGCAATTGAGAGGAGCAAGCTGAATGGAGCCCACTGGGAGACTGAGTGAAAGGAATCCCTGCTATTACTCCACAGATTGGAGATAACAACATAAATTCATCTACCTGTTACTCTTCCTGCAATGGGTCCTGGGAGAGTGATTTAGCTGGATATCCTCCACTGCCATGCCAAAGAGTATGCTAATAAGATAATGATGTTTCTATGAAGGAACTAAATCTTCATCCTAGATGCAATAAAAGCTACTATCTAAAGACAGAAGATTTCTGTGTGTGTGTGCAATCCCTAAATGAATCAGATGGAAAAATAAGACCTACAGCAAACAAGAGGTAATCCAGTTAAAGTGAACACAAAAAGGACTCTGTTGTTCAATCCAGCATGGTTACCTGGGCCAGTTCGGTGACCGTGTCCGCGTCAACAGTGGACATGTCCACGTAGCACTTCCCGGGACGTATACCTTGGAGCACTCCACTTGGACCGAGCACCAGCTGTGGGAACAGAGGAGGGGGAAAGCAATAGGGTGTCTGCAAAGAGACGCTGACCTCCCTGACAGCAAAGCAGCTTTTACGGATCTCCTTTTGCTAAACTATCCCAATGATGTGTATCCAAAGTCAATTATTCAGGGAAAAGAGCTGTTCAGGATCAAATGTGAAGATGACCTACTTCCAGGACTGGAGACCATACTGATCTGTTCCCATCCCACAGGACAGCATTTCTTGTTGATGTGAGATCTGGCAAAAGAAAAGCTACAGTATGACTTCAAAACAACATGTATAGCAGTATGCACCTTGTTTTCAAATGGATCCTAATTTTAATCATGGTGCACACTTACCGTACACATTTCTTTTAAGTCAAACGGCTGCCTTTTGCCTCCACTAACCTGCAAGCTGCGTTGTCATCCCTTTAGTACATAACTTTAGAGATGTTTCACACATATTGGCATTGCCATTTGAAGTGTCATGCAAACTTTTATGCCAGTGGTTCCCAAACTTTTTTTTTACCAGGGACCACTTGACCAGGGACCCCTCTCCAATATTAGTACCAAAAGAATTCCGAATCAGTTTTTGGTCAACTTTAGATTTGGTTTGGTTATTTGGGGTGCTGATTCAGAAAATTGCATTGGATAGACCACATCAGTTCTAGTTTCTGATGCAGAGCATATGCCATCCAGTAGTTGCCATCTGCTCTCTCACAGAAAACCATATTTATCCTCGGCACTATAAGAGGTTTCGCGAGATCGATCACTCTCATTGCAACAGTGTAGTAATGGTGAGGCTGCTGACCATATTTTAATTCTTGCGGACCACTGGTGGTCCATGGACCACAGGTTGGGAACCACTACTTTATGCAGTCAAACAAAAAGCCTCCACTCATCAACTCACATCGCCTTGCACTTTCAAAGGAAAAACAAAAAGGGTTTGCTCATTGTGTTAACACTGGAGGACTCTGAGAGGCAATTACTCATGACACCCGATTGTGTTAAAATGGGGCAGCTACTACGGAAGAAGAATGGCTTTTGAGACTACAATTCTGTTTAGAGATCCCAATTTAATTTGTTTTCTCCTTAGTTCTGCATTTATAGAAATTAACATGCCAATTCTTGCAGCTCTACAAAAAGCTTCTAAAGCTTGCACACTTCATGTAAAGATAGAGAGATCTAGGTAGCAGCTGAATAATCCTGAGCACAATTTGAATGTCTGCTACCTCCTTCAAGATCTCCAAAGGAAACTGGACTGTTAATGAAAGAGTCATAAAGCCAATCATCTGGAATCTTTAGAAGTCATTCATCTGGAAGCAATGTTTGCTGGAACAGCTTTGGGGAAGCGCAGGACACGGCAGTAGGGAAAACGAAAAGGTACACGGGGTTGTGGGGTGTGAGAAAAGAAGTAATCCTTACATCCTTGGCAGCTTTTGGGTCAGATACGCAGGCGAAGGTGATGTCACAGGTGGAGACCACTTCAGCAGGGGTCCTTCCTAGCCGTGCCCCCTCCTGGACGAATAAATCACACTGCAAAAGGCACAGGACCAAAGGTAAGAAATGGAAACCACTGGACGAAGCAGATCTACTCTGGGCTTTGCTGCTTTGGAACAGAGGTTTATATGTGGGACAAAGGCATAACCTAAAGACTTCCTCTTCTCTGGACAGACTGTCATCTTCCTCTGTTGCTCAGTAATGTTCATGCCACAATGTTCCCTTTCTCTGTGGTTCCACAGAAGCTTGTCAAGCCCCTAGACTCAAGAAGCATCTAACAGCAGTAAAGGCCAGTGGCAGTTCCAAGTCAGAGCTAAAAAGACTGAATGTTCCAAGCATGTTCCCATGTTTCTAATGCTTCTTTCTGGTAGGGTGGCTATTGGGCAGTGCTCCTTTTGACACTAGTTTCTTTCATTCTTCTGACAAAAATGAGACCTATTCCCCACCCCCATCTTTGCTGCTTGGCAGTCTTAACTGGCAGCAGGTGGCACTGATATTACACTAAACGCACAGATATCTGAGTAAAATTCTGTGTTTTTTAACCCATGCTTTGCTCTACCCTCTTTTTCACATCTCACCAGAGTTCAGTTGGGCAAATCCATTTCCAAGACCCATATTGTGTGGATGGCCTCTCCCACACTATGTAATACATAAAAAATTGGGCGCAATCCTTTTTTTTTTTTTTTGGCTAAAATGTGGGTACTGGGCTAATGAGACTTTTGCTGAATCAGAAGGCAGAGTTTCTGTCACTAGACACAAAAATAGCACACACTCGGAAGAAAAGGATGAAACAGAAATAACGGAAAATGTTACTATGGCTGCTATGGCCAAAGCAGATAAAGAGCTCAAAAATGCATGCCTCAGACACTTACTTGGAATGTGTCTGGTAGAGCAGCTTAGGTTTTGGCTAACTGACTTCTCTCATCTCACTCTTCCTTAAACAGGGAAATCTACTGTCCAGGGTTTGGGGGTGTTCTCTTGTTCTGGGGTCCACAACACAAAAGTTGAGCTGTCTCTGCAGCTCAAAGCTCTGCCTATGTCAGGAGGTAGACTGCAATTTACTGACAGATCTGAGTAATTTACGGCAGACTGACAAAGGTCTGCAATTCTCATTTGTTCAACATTAATCAAGCTGAATAACCAACCTATTAGAATCCTTCTGCTACAATAACTGAGATGCAGATTTCTAAATGCAGAAAAGAAATCAGCCCACTGTATGACTATTAGATAGATTGTCCACTGTGACATCTTAAGACACCATTTATACTTGGCTCTAGTTGTTGTTGTTGTCATCACCATCACCATCATCACCACCATCATCATTGAACCAAGAACTCAAAGCCTATCTGCTCCAGTTCCTACTGGTTTTGGCACATAGCTTTAATATCATCTTTTCTAGAGGAAAACCTCACCTTTTCAGCAGTCCGGTTCCAAACTGTAACAGTATGACCCATTTTTATTAAGTTGGACACGATGCCACTTCCCATTAGGCCCAGGCCAAGGAACCCTATCCTGAGTGGGAGAAGGGAAGGTTATTACTGGAAATTTATTTATTTATTTTCCACATTTGTACCCCACACTTTTCACCCAGGAGGGGGACTCAGGGTGGCCTCACAACAGGCAGCAATTCAATGCCAACAACGTACAATTACAAATTAACAGTTGCAATTAAAATCAAGTAATTAAATATCAATTAAAATCATGCAAAGTCAAATCATAGTCCAAGCTCTATCCATTTGTCAATCACATTAAATCACTCTGATTATTGCATTGCTACATTTACTGCTCGAATGCTTGGTCCCACAGCCATGTCTTAAGTTTTTTCCTGAAGCACAGGAGGGAGGGGGCTAACCTGATTTGATTGGGGAGGGAGTTCCACAGATGAGGGGCCACCACTGAGAAGGCCCTGTCTCTTGTCCCCACCAGTCGTGCCTGTGAAGGAGGTGGGACTAAGAGCAGGGCCTCCCCAGAAGATCTTAACCCCCGAGGTGGTTCATAAAGGGAGATACGTTTGGACAGGTGAGCTGGGCCAGAACCATTTAGGGCTTTATAGGCTAAAGCCAGCACTTTTAATTGTGCTCGGTAGCAAACTGGCAACCAGTAAAGCTGACGTAACAGGGGGGTTGTGAGCTCCCAGGTGAGCAATCCGGCTGCAGCCCGTTGGATTATTTGAAGCTTTCAAACAGTCTTCAAAAGCAATCCCACATAGAGCACATTGCAGTAATCTATTTGGGATGTAACAAGAGCATGGAAATCCTTGTAGAGGGAGCAAATGGTGGGCTTTCTTTCCAGGCAGCACCTCCTGACAAAGGTTCCATCTCTATGGCAACAGAAATGTAGCCACACAGGTGAGCAATGGGGTGCACTCTTTGTAGAAAGCTTTTTATATAAGGGACCCAATATTTCAAAGAAAATAATACAAACTTCAGGTCCAAATGAAGTATTTAAAAATTGACTCTGACAACACAAATAAGAAAACGTGACAGAAAGAAGCAAGTCTTTTGGCTTAAAAAGGGAAGTGATCCCTCTCATTCAGGAACAGTTACAGGGAGGCCCATGCAACACAAGTTGTCTTGAATAGCACATGAGTGGCTTAACACAGTGCAGTGCAAAATGCCCTGGGTTTGAAATAAAGAAGCATTTCCCTTTCTAGTGAAATATAACAACAGCGACAAAGGTCTGAAACAAAAAGACTCTTTAAAGCTCATCCTAACGAAGCAAATTCTTAAGCATTTTACTTCCTGCATGTCAGCTCCTCAGCACACAGCTGCCTGAACTTGCAAATCTTAAGTAAACCGACATGAAAGGACTGTGGCAAGCCACCGTTAGATCAGCATTGCGCCCCCAATTCACCCCAGCTGCACTTGTCAGCTTCTGTGCTGTCAGGGAAAGAGCTTACCTGAATGCCTTCATAGTTATTTTGATTTCCCTTCAGCGAGTCTGAAAAACTAACATCCTCAGATGGCGGCAGTGAGAAACAGGCAGCAGGCAGCAGCCTCTGCTACCACTGAGGAGGAGGGAAATCGCTTCCGGGGGCAAGGCAGGAAATGCAATCGTGGCTTCTGTCACCCTCGAGGGGGAGCACAGGAAGTGCCCAAAGGCACAAGTGTCACAGAAGGCTGTTTCTGGAAGCTGCAGGCGCTCCATCTCTGCCCCCTCCTTCTGGCAGTTTGGAGTTCATGGTTAAAGAGGTCTTGTCACATGAACGGCACTGAAATTTGGGTTGAGCAAACAGGGAGCAGAGGCAACGCCCAACAGATGCTTCAGATAAAGCTCTGCTGGGAGACAGGAAATTTCACTTTTCAGAAAAGCCATTTAAACCACCCAGAAGGGAAACTCTCTTAAATGGATGGGGAGCCTTGCCATCCATCACGGTTGCCTCTGACCTTCCTCTTCAACGGAAGCGTACAGGAAGGTCATTCTCATTATTTTCTATGTTTATTGCATTTTAAATTTTGCTTCATGTATTTTAAATATATGTATATTCTAATATATGCTTCTATGGTTGCATTTTAACTATGTTTTAATATGTGCTTTTATAGATGTATTTGACTACATTATTATGATTATTATTATTTTATCCACACAATCCCTTTGTGAGCTGGGCCAGGCTGGGAGAAAGCGATAAGCCCAAACTCCCAGAGCAAGTTTTTTTTTACTTCAGATTTTACTCTTTCTGCTTCAAAATCCAAGCCAGGAAGACAGAGGGCTTGTAGCCAGGTTACGTGGGCATTATCTAGAACTATATCTTATATTCACCACAAAACTCAAGTGAAGACAGACAAAATACACTATTGGTATTAATCATGACTCTGTTGCTAAGTGTCATTCAAAGCTTGCAGAAGCTGCTTTTTTTAACTACAGTTCCAAGAATCCCCTTCCTGGCAATCAACATGTTAGTTAAGAGATTCTGGCAACTGCATTCCAAAAAGCAAAGCTCTGTGACTGTGGAAGCTCTACAGAGGACAGCTGTAGAAAAAGTCAAACATGCACACACAAAAAGCAATGCAAACAAGATTCTTACTTTTTGTCTGTAGGAGTGATGCTGCCATTTATAGCTGTGCTGTCTGCTGCCTGGATGGATGTGGACCCGGTTTCCTAGGAGAGTAAAACACACCCACCAGAGATAATTTTACATGGGGAAGACAGGCAGCAACCAATAAAGGCAAATCAAAAGCAAAGTCTGCTGTACCTCTTCACACACCTTCAGCTTCTTTGTGATGGCCTGGTAGCAAACTGCTGGCTGCACAGGAAAAGAAAAGCAAAACACATTTTGAGTAGGTGCAACAGGTCCGTCTGCTTCTTTGCAGGGTGAATAGACCCAAATACTTTGCAGAAAGAGGTTGCTTGATCTGAACATGCCAGGGACCTCCACCCCCCAGTTCTAGGTGTGTGAGAGAAAATGCATTCTTGCTCTATTACAAGCATCCAAAATCCCTCCTCTGACCCTCATGCTCAACATTTTTAACCCAGTGTATTCCTACTAAGATTAAAAATGTGTCAATAAAGAACAGGAACTACTGAGTTGCCTTGCAGTAATCTGCCTACACACAGCAACTAAATAGCTACTTCTCAAGTTGTAACAAATGGCTATTTCCCCTGCAATTGATTTATGGGCCACCCTTAAGTTTTAGGGACTACCTTTCTGACCCCCTAAATTTTAGGGACTACCTTAATTCTACCTTCTCATTAGGAGAATGAGTCTGGATTCCCCCATGGGTCAACTGACATAGGGGAGAAGACCATGCTCACTAAAGTCATAGCATCCCTAGCAAAGGTTGGGTAGTTTTGCTACTTGATGCTCCTTTCCAAGAATCAGGTCCTACTTTGCTGCAGCCCTCAATGCTCAGGATGCAATAAATAAAATAAAAAAAAACAGCTGGTGCTCAGGGAGTCCCAATTGAAAGCACTTTTCTTTTTGTGCCCACCTCCCATCATCATTTGGAAAGATGAGTGAAAAAATCAAAACTATGTGCTCCCAGCTGGCTCTTACAAGGGCTCCATGAGGGTGCCAGTTGAGAGGCAGGTGGATTGCTCCCCATACTTTTTCCCACTATGAGGAAGGGAAGATGTTAACTGTTCTCAGTGGGTAATGAGGCAGCAGAATCACTTCCCTGCCTTTCTTTCCATCTGGGGGAAGCCACTTGGTTTCCATCGGTTTTTCCAAAACATGGACTCCTATGGGAGTGGTAGATCAAAACACCCGCAAGGCCAAATGTTCCGCATCCCACTTTATTTGCATATGTTCCAAAATAAAGTGGAAATGTTTGTGGAAATCTGAAAAAGAGACAGCCTCCATCATGGAAGAATTTGCATTGAAGAACATGAAATCAAAGACTATTCCGGGTTATTCCAGAGGCTTTAACTCCTGGAAAAGATACTAGGTAAATTCACCACCTACACCTATGGCTCACCTTCTCTGTCTGGCTAAGCAGGAAGTGATGGAAATGCGGGTCGCCATCTTTCACAGGCTGTAATAGCAAAGAGGCAAACTGAGAAACCAAGACAACCAAAGTTGAGGTCAGAGCCCTTGTAGATTCTGATGAAGTTCCTTGACATCCTTCGGGAACAGTTTTGCTTCTCTCCCTACTTACTACAGGACATGGCCTTTAGTCCCCCTAAACTAATGCACTGTTGGCACTTCCTGTGTTTTGGATTCAATGAGCAAGAAGGCAAGGAGGGACATGCTCAGTTAGGCAAAAGGGGCACTATGTGGACTATAACCAGCAGGCACACTGATTGCCTTGTGCATAGCTTCAGGAACAGACTACTTGAATGTCTTCTGTTTGTGGGGATTTACCTGGAAATGTATTCAGTTCTAAAGTACAATCAGCCCTATATATCAACAGATTCCGCATCCACAACTTCCACAAAGCGAACCTTGATTTTGCTATTTTATACAAGAGACACCATTCTACTACACTATTGCATATAATGGGACTTGAACATCTATGGATTTTGGCATCTACAGGGGGTTATGTTTAGTAAAGCTATCTATTTTCAAAGTCACATGGAGCAACGCCTGGCTTGGTTCTTCAGTAATAAAGGAGGCATGGTAGTGAAAGGCAGCCTTAATGGATTTCATTGGTCCCTCTTTTCACCTTCTGTTAGGTGAGACAAACAGAATACAGTGGTGACAATGGGAAGAGGTGGCCAAGAATCACAGGTGAAAGGAACACATCTGACATGAGGTGAACAAGACTACCATCCACAAGAAGATAGGAATAGGTCCTTCTGTGTAGGAACATCACTAGCAATCCACTAGTAGAGAGGTGGGAATCTGGGGAGGAGGGGAAGCTATTTTCACCCACTTCCCTGGTAGTGCTGATGTGGGTGTTGCCACTGTGAGCCAATTAAATAGCTTTCTTAACTTTGGGATCATTTGGGAGCAAAATCCTCTCCAAAATTACCTGGAAATTACTTACTGGACACTAGGGGACTGACATTTTGATACTTTGGTGGCTGCAAAAGTGGAGGTTAGGGGCCACCTTTAGTCACGCTGTTTCCTTATCCATGACAATACCTGCTACAGCCAATAGCCTACTGCTTACTTTGACTTTAAAATATTATGAGTTAAATCACCTCGCTTCCACTTGGTGGCCATTTAAATCCAGCCACAGTGCCGGTCATCATTCTCTTCACTGTGCTGGATTCAGGGATCGTCAGGTCCTGCAAAGAAAGAAATTGTTGATCAAGAAACCAGTTTAAAGTCCCAAAAGCTGTTGTGTGTCCTGGGATACATGTACAGCAGCCGTAAAGATATGCTAGAAGTCTCATGAGCTCCTTCAAAGTGACTGAAATGAAAATCCATGCAGCAAGATCTTAGTATGCTTATTCAGAAGCAAGTCTCACATAGCTGATCAAGACTTATACCCTCATAAACATGCCTCAATATCACACTCATAGAGGTTAAACCCTTTTGCCAGCAGAAGAGCTGACCGACAGTTTAGTGGTTCAAATCTAGGGAGAGCAGTTGAGTTCACTTTGTCAGCTCCAGCTCCCCATGCAGGGACATGAGAGAAGCCTTCCACAAGGATGGTAAAACATCAAACACCAGGGCATCCTCTGGGCAAAGTCCTTACAGACAGCTAATTCTCCCACACCAGAAACAACTGGGAGTTTCTCAAGTTGCTCCTGACACAGAAAAAAAATCACACTTGCACAGGGCAACATTTTGATACCTGCTGTTTTATCAGTTTCACACCTGGGGTGAAACTGATTTCCTTCATTTTATTTTCTATGTCCCTCTCTTCATGGAGAAAACTCCAAAAATACAATGTGTGCATAATAAATGTTATTAAGAGGCTTTCCATTCGAATGCACTGGCATTTCTCTCCCTCCCTTTCTTATTCTTCTGGAATTGGAAGGACGCCAATGGCACATTGTATTCCCATCCAGTTCAACCACTGGAGGGAAAAGACAAGAATACACAGAAACCTGACACACAATTCCGTTCTCATTTTATAATCTTTAGCGGATTCCCACTGTATGTCTTGCAACCACATCATAATTTAAGATACTATTTTAAAGCAGAAATGAAACATGTTTGATTTCTTTCCTGGATAAGAATGTATTGATTACAGGCGGCCTTTTCAACCTTTGGTCCTCCAGGTGGTTTGGACTTTAGCTCCCAGAATTCCTGACCATTGGACAAGTTGGCTAGGGCTTCTGAGAGTTGGGAGGCCCAACCATCTGGAGGCCCTATGGTTAAAGAAGCCTGATTCAGAGCCTGGTGCTCTTCAAATGCGCTGGAATAGAATGCCCATTGCTCTACCAGCATCTCTAACCATAACAAACCATTTGTTTGGCCTGATGGAGTTTCAGTCTAACAGAAGGTTGATTCAGATAATAACCAGCTGTTGTGAGCCTTCTATTTTCCCCCCAAGTTGTGGGTTTTACAGTTCCACCCTCAACTGGGCAAAGTCCGGGCATTAGTGGCCTTAAATCATCTTAGTTTAAAAGCTGAACAGTTACACAAAGAGAACAGTCACACAACCAGTTTTATAACTTGCTAGGCAGGTGTTAAACGAAAATATGACTGCAATTCTAGGCGTAACTTACCCAATATCTAAAGAACGTAGAACTACACAAAACTATACAATCATCAAGAAGCATGGGATGAAAATATTACTAAAAACCAGTGGTATCTGGGACATGTATAACTGAATCTTTCTCATAAAAGATCTCAATAATCAATACAGAGGAGGGAAGTCTGCATGTGAAGAATGCCATTTTAATAGTCCCCTGGAGTATTAAAAGCATTCAAAACCTGATTTAATTGTAATTTCCCTGCTTCTCAAAATAAAATTCATGCTCAAAGGAAAATTATGTATGCCAAAAAGCTATTCTTTTTCTTGCCATCCTTCTGTTCTTCAAGATCCAATTTGAAGGATGAGATTTACATCAAACTAAGCATTGGTGCACCTTCCAAAAGACTAAGGGAATACATATCTATATATTAAAAAAACCAAAGGGCTCGGGAAATATATAATCTCAGTTTAGCACATATAGAAGAATTAAGGAACCCAGGACTCTAGTGTGAGCAGTTTATTTATTTATTATTCAAACTTATATGCCGCCACTCCCCTAGGGCTCGGAGCGGCTTACAAGAAACAAACTCGAATCTAACACAATTTAAAACAACATACCAAAGTGTTGTTATTAATGTGCATAGGGCATTGAAAATTAATGACACATCAATGTGAATCACTGATGTCCAAAACCAAAACAGAAAAAGACCAGCACCACACCTATTTAAAAGGGAAGAAGCACAATATCCAACTTGCCTGTGGAAGAGTAGCTTATAATAATTTTAATAAATCGTAGTCGGCTTATGCTTCTTAGTGGCTTTAGGGTTCAACCCCTCAAGAATAGTGATCCACGCAGTAGTGGGAAAGTCAAGAGCAGGGAAGTTCCAAGTTTCTTTTTAAAAATCACAGAATGACTACACTGCCAGATAAGGGTATCTCAGCAGTAAATCCACATTATCTGATTTGAACTGGGTTATCTTAGTCTACACTGCCATATAATCCAGTTCAAAGCAGATAATGTGGATTTTATACAGCTGTGTAGAAGGGGCCTCAGACTGCACAAAAGACTACTCAGAAGTGTCCAAAGGACAAAAAAGTCAGGAAATCAATGAGTGTGTCACGTTACCATTTTGGTTACTTTAGGGAAGGAACTATCATTACAATTTGGGAGCCATGGAGTCCATGTATTAACATCTCCATCAAATGAAAATCCTTTCAATTTATCTCTTTCCCTTGTCTACTCAGGTTGGACATGAACAACAAAGGAATTACAGTAGGAATCAGAGAAGAAGAAATGATTTTGGAGTTGAATGGGCCAGTTAGAAGACTTCTTTAATATTCTGTTGGTTTGTCTATATTTATTTTTTACTCTTGCTCTGTCCCATTTTCCAGGCAGAAATTAAAAAAGGGAGCCTGTTTTAAAGGAAGCTTTAATCTTCACATTCTTCTGTAAGACTCCATTTTTTTTTCATTTTTTTAAAAATTGTGTCAAAAGCGACTTGAGAAACTGCAAGTCACTTCTGGTGCGAGATAATTGGTCATCTGCATAGACCTTGCACAGGGGACACCCAGATGTGTGTTAGGGGTTCCTCATCTTCAGAAGAGGAAGGGGAGCAGGTAAGTGCTCAGGAATTGGAGGAGGAAGAGGAATCAGATGATGAGGTTTTGCAAGTGCCCACATTTCTGGAGAGGCGAAAGGAAACAGAGCACAGACAGCATTCAGCTAGAATAGCTGACAGAAACACCGAAGTAATTTGGAGACACCCTAGCACCTCCTGCGTGGGGAATTCAGGGATATAAATCAGAAGCAGTTAGCTTTTGCTGGTAACAACGACTCTGATGCTGATGTTTTCACTCCAATTGAACCTGCTTCGAGTCTGCTTCTAAGGATTTAGTGATCATTGCCTGTTGTCTGATGTAAGACTGCTGTTTCTTTTGGACTTTATTAGAGACTTTAGTTTTGTGTCTGCATTAAGACTTCCTTGCTTTCTTTTGCATTTTTAAACTACATTTGCTGTTATTTTGTGTTTGCTGAAGTAAAGCATTTTTCTTTTACTTTCAACATTGTATGAAGGCTGTTCTTGAAGGGCAAATCAGGACAATGTGTCACCATCCTGTGGGAGGCTTCTCTCATGTTCCCTCATGGGAAGCTGGGGCTGACAGTTGGGAGCTCACCCTGTCTCACGGATTCAAACCACCGACCTTCAACTGGCACAAGGATTTAACCCACTGCACCACCGCAGCTCCATATTTTTCATATTATGTCTGTGAAATAACAGATTGATTGGTACTCTCCATTAATAGGGAAAGCTTTCCAAATGGCCACAGCAATGAAGTAATCTGGTTCACTAGTAGGGGGTACATTCCACCTGGACAAGCTCACAGAACATGAGTGGAAACGCGCCACAAAACACAGACCTTCTCATCTTTGGGAGGACGCCCTCGCTTCCGGGGGCTCTGCTCATACGTTCTCTTCAGCAGAGGTTTGACCCCTCGCTCAGAGGAAACGGAGGAAGCCCTCTTTTTTGCCTTCCCTTCAGACAACCCAGATTTGTGCTTCTCTTCACCCATGGACTGCTTGCCCGTCTCTTCACTGGAATTTCGTCGGTTCTTCTCTTCAGTTGAATTGTGAGAAGATGCCTGATTGATTACAGAACAGAAGTGTAAGATGGGACAAGAGCTGGCAATGGTTTTGTTTTCCTCACACTGACAAAACCCAAAGGTGACAAGTCAGGATAAACATTTGATGGCACATCAGTGCTGTGAACTCAGGTTTTAAAAAGGTCCCAGCTATTGGCTAAGAAAACATACAAAGAGTGGAGAAGCAGGTGGATATGGTAAAGCCAACTTAAGAAGAAAAGAAAAAACCTGCAGAGTAAAAAAAATGCAATTGTGACGATGTGCAAGTTTTATCCTTTGGTTATGTGTAATTTTAACAATAGTTTAGGGATGGTAAGTATGTAAGATTATGTTTTGTTGGAGAGAGTGGCTTGGCGTTAGCTGAGTTGCCATAGCAACAGGGGCGGAGCCAACTGCCTCTTCAGGGGCAGCTGTTTTGAAAAAGAGTCAGTCAGTACGCCAGCGAGCTACTGAGTGGACTGAATCTTTTGGTGGAGATTCAGGGAATGTGTCTGTAGCCAGTGTGCTATAGGGAAAGACTGAATCTCTTGGTGGAGATTCAGGGAATGAATTGGTGACCAAGTGGTTGCAGAGAAGGACCCGGTACAGGGGGTTGTTGATTCTGAATTAAGAATCAAGGTTTGGCTGGGTTTAAGCCTGTTGTGCCAGCTGTGAAACCTTATGAAGTGTTTGCCTGAGTTTACTCATGAAACCTTTCCAATGTAACCATCAAGATTTATGCCTCTTTTGAAGAACAGTTATACATTGTTATACTCCTGTTAAAATAAACTTGTTACTTTTTCCTCAAGCCTTGCCTGATACAGTTTCTTCTAAGTTGAACAGCCTGCAATAATAAAGTCAGCCAGAAACAGTCCCTTTATAAAATAGTTCCTAGGCTGATATTGATCGTCCCTTTATACAATAGCTCCTAGGTTGATATTGATCGTTGCCCGGCTTCCCTCATAGATTAGGTGGCAGTGGGTGCTTTACCACGCGCACCTTCACAATTGGTGGCATTCGGTGGCATTAAAACGGTCATCGTTACAATTGGTGGCAGCAGTTTAACAACTCCTTCACAGCAATGTTATAAATACCTCAACGGAAACTTTCAGAGCCATGCCAGGCAATGTGAAAACCAACTGCTTTACAAATGCTAATAGAATCACAGTCTCTGTTCCAAAGAGGCCACTTAATTCCCCTGCCTGGTGATACAAACCCTCACCCGTTACTCACCTGGTCTTTGTCTTTGCCTTTTCCTTTCTTGAGAAATTCTTCCACAGCATCGACAGCTTGCTGGAACCTCTTGCCTTTGTTGATTTTGATCATTTCTTCTTTGTGGGCATGATAAGGCTTCAACTGCTCCACTTTAATCCAGGCACTAAGAAATAAAGAAAAAATAGATTCTCAGGTATCACTGCTGTTCTTTTGAATCTGGTGAACAGGCAAAATCCTCAAAACAACTTGTTATAACCCCTGAAGGGAATGCGTGGATGGGGCTTGCTGCTATCTCTATAGACCAGGCATGGGCAAACTTCAGCCCTCCAGGTGCTTTGGGCTTCAACTCCCACAATTTCAGGAAGCAGCCTGAGACCAGGAATTGTGGGAATTGAAATCCAAAACAACCGGAGGGCTGAAGTTTGTCCTTGCCTGCTATAGACTCATAAGATTTGGAAGTGACAAGAGCCATTGAGTCCATTCTGCAACACTGGAATACACAATCCAAGTCCTCCTGACAGATGGCCATCCAGGCTCTGCTTAAAAACCTCCAGAGAAGAAGACACCATCACCCTCTACTGTCAATTGCAAAAGTCTTCTGTTACCAACTGACAAATTCATTTTACATTTTCAAAAGTCATGAAAATGCAGTGTATGCCAACACAGTGCTTCTCCACAGGCATTCTAAAGTTTAAAAATAACATTTTCCCTGGAGGCAAAAAAAGTAGATACATACTGGTCTTCAGTCCCAAAAAACTTCACAAAGAAGCACTTCTTCCCACGAGGCTTCTTCAGGTCCTTAGGCGGATTAACAATCTGTCAGCAAAAAAAGGTACACACAATACTGAAGAGATAACAAAGACTGAATTTTGCACTAAACATCTTCACTGTAGTCTCTCCAACATCTGTTTTGATAAAAACAATGATGGAATCAACCTTTATAGAAAATACCTCCCAACTCAAGATAGATCTGTACTAGGAAAAAAGACAGCAGAGATAGATTCCTGGCTATAGTATGCTACCTTTGATTCCCATTCTACCAAAACAATGAGGTAGAACTTCCACAGATTAACAGCCCTTCCCATACACAAGCTTTACTTGTTCTATGCTGGACGCCACATTTATACAGACAGGTAAAAGAAGTAACGATTTTTGTAATCTAGCTCTCAGAGGATCTTTCACTATAGGGAATATCCTAAGAACTTCCAATATGCTATCAGCAAGGGAAGCAAAGCTCTAGCATTTCTGCACATGAATCAATATTTACTCATTAAGACTGTTCATGATACGGTAATTCATATTAATGCCACTCTGGCATGGCTAAACTTTGTTGGTATACCTGCAAGTGGACAGGCAGCATAAGTATTCTTCACACAGCACATTATCAGACATATTGCAATTGCCCTTGGCATAGCACCTTTATGACAAGAAAAAAAAGCTACAAAAGCAAAATGGAGGCTCAGCCTATTAAGAGACAAACCCAGACATTTGTCACAGCTGTCAGCCATTTCCCGGGTTTCTCCAAGACTGTGGAAGAAAACATCATGCCTGCATAGAGCCTATACTTCAGCAGTGCACTGCAGAAAGACCATACTGAAAGATTAAGGAGGAGGAGTTCAATATATGAGTTCCCACTCAATCTCCATGTGCTTGCCATGGTTACTGAAACAGTTTTTTTAACACACAGGCTGGGATGGATTGATTGATGGTACAGAAGCATGTGTTTCTGGAACACCACAATAAAAGAAGCTTGGGTCGCTTCTTAATCAGATGATTATGTTGTGATTTTTTTAACATATAAAATGCACAGTATTCCTGTGCAGTCATGTGAGGAAATTATTTTCTTTTGGCTGTAAAACTATGCATAATGATTTGGGAATAAGCCCCACCAATCTCAATGGGATTCTCTTCTGGACAAATACAGAACCAAAGCATACACAACAATTAAAGGTAGCGCTGAGACTGACTTATGGAAGGAGAAAACCAGTTTGACAGAAATAAGGTAATGATTAAGTAGCTGCACCCAGGGATACGATTCATTTATAAACCCACCTAAATCTCTCTACTGGTTCAGTGTTAAGATATGTTTCCTCCTTTAAGAAGAAAACCACAAGCTAGTTTGCCTTATGTTCTTGGGGTGGAATATAAATTTGTAAAAACGGAGGAAGTAACTTAAGCACATATTAAAATCCACTTAAAGACTCACCTTCCCTGGCCAAGGAGGATATCGGCCCAGCTTCCCCCTAAGGAAAAAAGAGAAGTGAGCCAGAAGCTATCAAAAAAATAGTAGCAATTCTTCAAATTTCTTCTTCTACACAAAGCCCCTAAAAACAAAAAACATAAGTTACTTGGTGAAGGATTTGTGACAATATTTCTCCTGAAATACTATGAAATAGTACCGTCCAGGCAGGGTCTTAATATAATCTTTTGCACATTGCAACTGTTTCCCAAATGACAAGCAGACTTCCAAATGTGACAAACAGGGGATTCATTGAGACGCATTTGTGCTATTACTTGCTCATTTGTTCCTGTGTCATTACAGAACCTCACTTCTAATCTCAAATTTGTTTACAGACCTAACAAAAATGGCTCAGAATAAAAGGGAGACAAGACTACCACAAATGAATGGTTGCCAACACTGTGAATTGCCCTGTGTCCCCTTCAGGGTTGAGAAGGGTGGTATACAAATAAATAAATAAATAAGCTTAGAAGCTACGTGAAAATACACAAATGAGCAAAAACTAGCACATGATTGTTTATGCAAGCAGAATTTAAATGATATTGCAGGATATGAGGCCTTCTGCTCTGTTCTTGTTTCCCTAAGAAAATAAAAGAGAAAGAGATAGAAATGTAGGTAATCAGGGCAAGAAAGGTGGATCATTAATGAGTGGCAAACAGCCATGCATTTGGACAATGATGTTCCTACAAACGGAGAGTGTTGTGCTAATGTACCAACCAAAGAAACAATTCCAAGCTTATTCTCATGCTACATGTGAATTTTCACTTGAATTCAAATGTAGTAAACCATTGTTGGGAAGAGTAAAACCAAACAAAATAAAAACTGGAAAAGTATAACCTTACACTTACTTTGCTATGCACATTTAATAATTTCACTGTCAAGACCCAGAAGCCTCAAGAAGGCCAAACACAGTATAAAAGGTCCAAACAAAGGTTTATTAAACACAAAAAAGGCTTAGAGACACTTAACACAGTGCCTCTAGCACAAACTAACTTATATCCTATAACTCCTCATCAGAGGATGAACTGCTCCCCACCCTTTCATCATCACTTTCAGCAGCCCCATTCCCTGCAGCTGAGCAATGCCTCCCATCTCTCCACCTTTGCCAGCGTCTTTCAAGACTTAGGTCTTCCCAAGTGTTCCCAGATTGCCAGTCCTCTGCAAACCCCTCAAAGTCATCATGGGATGTAGGCTGAGTACAGATGTCCCTAATCTCCTGCACACGGGTCCAGTCTAAAGCATCCTCCTACCCATCATCACTCCCAGTCCCATCACTCCTTTCAAAACCCACAATGTCTTCAACTTCTGTTGGAGCGCTAAGTATATCATGGATACGCTTCCTTTGGATCTCCTCATCTGATTCTTGTTCTCGAGTAACCCGCTTAACTCCCCTGCTTTCCTCTCCTTCCCCCATTTCACAACCTGAGAAACCCTCAAAGGACTCTGAATCAGTTGGAGCCATGAATATGTCTCTAATCCGCTTTCGCTGCTGCTCCTCCTCCAACACCTGCACAGCCCTCTTCTCCCTTCTACCAGTAGTAGTAACGTCACTATCACGCTGTACTACAACATTCACACTGCTACCAGCGAGGCAGTTCTGGAAAAATCTCAGGCGATAGCAACCAAGATTGTTCAATATGTTTTCTTTAAGATAAGATTACACACTGGGATCTTTTTTCATGAACATCCAACTATATAGAATAATAACTGAAAAACCTAAATGAGAATGAACTTCACATCAGGGAAAATCTACAGAAAGCAGGGTTGGAACCCACTTAATATCTGGACAGGAGACAACAAAAGACTATCAAGAATCTCCATGACACTATCATGCTCAAGGTAATGATTAAGTTAATCATCATCCCACCTCTTCTCTGAATTCTAACACAATCAAGCAAACGAACTTGCTCAACTCAATTTTTCAAACATATCCAGAGCCTTATCACTAAAATTATATAGGCTGACTTCCAGCAACCTCTTTTGTGGGACAAGCACTTAAGAATAAGATTTGCGATTTTTAAGAAGATAAAATATAAAAAGAGAGTAATGAGACAGCAGAGATATATCAGAGTAGAGCAGTTCCCATGTGGTTCTTAATATGGGATTCAGAGTCTCTGTGAGGCAGAGAATGCTGTTGCAACTCTTGGCAAATATAATTAAGAAATATTATTAGCTTTCAAGGAGAACTTGAGTCCTAACCTGACTAAGTAGAAAGCCTTTTCTTGTTGCATAAAAGCACAGAATTCCTATCTATAACATGGTCGCACTAGTCACCTATCTCTCAAGGATGTCAAGAGGAACAAGAGTTATTACTACTAGACTCAGGCAGCAATCCTTATCTGAAAGAAAGCTCTATGGGATTTACTTCAGAGTAAGCAAGTACAATACTGAACTGCAGGATTACACCCAAGGTTAAATCACACTTCAGTTCTGGAGTCCAAAATGGCCCTGCTAACCTCTACCTCACAATATAGGAATGACAAACCTACTAGGAAAACAGACTCTTCCAAGCAATTCTTTATATAACAAAAAAATCTTAGTTTTGTGTATCAATTCTATTCTGAAAAGGTGAACAAATCGCAAATATAATAAAGTATCCAAAATGGCTAATGAATTATTTTCATTCATCTATTTCATTTATTTACTCCATTTCCCAAGTGCACAAGGCGGTTCTCCAAAATTGGGAATACAGGAAACTTTCTTATTATTGGGTCAGAGTATACCCATACTACCAACAGTAACTGGCAAGGTTTTGAATTCTCCAGGGTTTCCTGCCCTGAGAATCTATAGGCTGGGCCTGAGACTATCTAAAGGAAACATATGCCCTCTCACTAAAGAATGTCATCTCTTCTTCCCTTTCTAAAGTTTAAACTGCTTTAGTTTTACTTAGTTCAACAGTTCTTACAGCAACCCATACCATATCATTAGTCCATATCATTTTCCAAACAAATAGAGCTAAAATTAAGAAAAAAATGGCTTATCTATGGCAATATAAGATTTAATCCAGGGACCATGTATCTCATACCTTATTCTTAACTATACCTGCTACAGTTATGCATCAATCATATGCTTCTTTATGTTTGTGAGCCCAAATAAATTCAGGAAAACTTGTTTCTAACTACAGTAGATATACCACAAAAGTAACATACCAACACGTAAGAGAGTTTGTAAGATCTGTGTGCTGCCAGAACTCTGTTTCCAAAATTAGAGGCCTAACCCAGCTGGCCTACCATCAATGGAAAAAAGCCCTCCCTTCCTCCCTCTATTGCCACTTTGAAAAGGAAACTACACCCACTTAGGTCTTTCTCTTAGCTTTTTCTGGTTCAAATTCCAGTGAACCAGGAATGATGAGAAGCCCCTTTAATTTGCTAACATGCTTAACCAAAATTAGGTGATTTCATAAATATCCTGTTTGGGGTATTTCAATGTTTAAAATGATAGTACATCAGGAGATAAGTACATTTAACAAAGTACTTCTCATACTAACGTGAAATATAGGTTTGAAATAGGAACTGAACTACACAGAGATAGGTTTGTAGATTTCTGTAATGCTCTCATTTGGAGAACTTTGTTAGTATTGATCCTTTCTCAATCCCTTTCCCATACACTTCAACAGATGCTATAAACATTTCTTGCAACTATAACTCTGTGTGTTGTGGTTTGCTTTTGTCATTCATCATTATACTATAACCCACAACCTAAAGAATAATTAAAACAAATTAAGCCTCCATTTTAGCATGGCTAAAATTAGGAATCAGCAGGGTGAGGCCTGTATATTATATACCCAAAAAACCTTACATTCTTTGTACCCAAAGTTTCAGCTGTTTACCTTCTTATTCAAGTAAATACTTTAGGCCAGCACCAACACAAGTCATAACTACATGACAGTCAACACCCCTCCCCAGTTAACAACGATAATCATAATGCTCTTTTCAACAAAGGGGTATTTTATATTGGTGTATTTGGACTGCATTGTACCCTGCCTCGCCATGAGGCTGGATACTTAAGTCACCCTGAATTCGATGCAAATGACTCAAATCCATTCTGCCTTGACTATTATTACTGCCCACACGATAGTTGATCTATTTCATTACAGATAGTTACCATGTTACAAACAAGCTAGATTTTGTAGGTCTTTTCTTGTTAAATTTGTATGTAAGTCAGAACAGGTACATTTTTAAATGTAATTCCAGCAACAAGTTTGCCTCTTAGGAATTGTGGGAGTTGAAGTCCCACAAATTACAGTGGACCTTGGCAATGGACCTGACAACAGTCTGAAGGAATGGACATTTGTTATAATCTACTGAATTGAATGTTTAAATTGTGTTTTTGCTAGTTTTGTACTATGCGTGTTGTGGGTCTTACAATTTTTTATAAGATATATTTTGGTGTGATCATCATGTTTATTTTTATGCTATGCAATGTTTTGTTTACATGTTGTTTGCCGCTTTGAGTTCTGATCTGGGAGAAAAACAAGAAATACATAAATAAACACCTGGAGGTAGGGCTGGTTTGCCTGATAAGAATTGTGGGAGTTGAAGTCCAAAACACCTGGAGGGAGGGCCCAAGTTTGCCTTTCAGGAATTGTGGGAATGGAAGCCCCAAACACCTGGAGGGAGGGCTGAAGTTTGCCTGTTAGGAATTTTGGGAGGTGAAGTCTAAAATARCTAGAGGGAGGGCCGAAGTTTGCCTGTTAGGAATTGTGGGATGTGAAGTCCAAAATACCTAGAGGGAGGGCCGAAGTTTGCCTGTTAGGAGTTGTGGGATGTGAAGTCCAAAACACCTGGAGGGAGGGCCGAAGTTTGCCTGTTAGGAATTGTGGGATGTGAAGTCCAAAACACCTGGAGGGAGGGCCGAAGTTTGCCTGTTAGGAATTGTGGGAGGTGAAGTCCAAAACACCTGGAGGGAGGGCCGAAGTTTGCCTGTTAGGAATTGTGGGAGGTGAAGTCCAAAACACCTGGAGTGAGGGCCGAAGTTTGCATGTTAGGAATTGTGGGATGTGAAGTCCAAAACACCTGGAGGGAGGGCCGAAGTTTGCATGTTAGGAATTGTGGGATGTGAAGTCCAAAACACCTAGAGGGAGGGCCCAAGTTTGCCTGTTAGGAATTGTGGGAGGTGAAGTTCAAAACACCTGGAGAGAGGGCCCAAGTTTGCCCATACCTGCTGTATAAGAGGCCCTAGAACTGTAAGAAATACACCACAATGCAGTGCGAAAAACTCCTTTTCGAACGTTCCCCTTTAAAAACCTCCTTGCGCCTCAGGCTGGGAAGCAGGGCCTTACCTGGAAGCCGGGCTTCCTGGTTCGGGGCGAGCGGGTCAGGAGGCGGGGCCTCCTCCCTCCTTCCCTGCCCGTCCCTGGGGCCTGGCTGGAGCCTTGTCCTGGAGAACGCCCAGCCACTGAGGGAGGGAGGGATTTCTCAGGCCCAAGACCCGAGGCAGGCCCGCTTTTCGCTCGGCTTCTCACCCGATAGGCCTCACCCGCCCCTGTAGGCCGCAGCCAAGCCTCGCCACTCACCACACTAAGTCTCCCTGCCGCAGGTTCACCGGAACAGCCGCTGCAGCCGCCGCCGCCGCCATTTTCCCGGCGCCACACCCCTCCGCCTCTTCTCTCTCTCACGCACACACACTCCCTTCCTGCCCCGTTTCCCCCTCAACACCGGGCAGACAGAAATCCAGGCCGTTCAAGAGGGTTGGAAGGAGCCGAGCTGGGATTGGTGGAAAGCGCGTCACGTGGCAATCGGTACTCTGGCGTCACGTCATCCTCCATTTCCGGCTTTGTTTCCTTTCCCCCCCTCTCTTCTCCAACAACAACTTCCGGGGTGAGGATGGCGAGGTATTGGATCCGGGGCAGCCACAACAGACAGGGAGGATTGTTGAGGCGCCAGAGACAAGGCTGGTAAGGCTCCTTCTGACTTACAGGGCGGGGGAAGGGACAAACCTCCTCTCAGGCGCCGGGAGAGGGTCCTTCTCCTCCTCCTCATTGCTTGGATGAGGAAGGGAAAGGACTGTGGAGGGCCTTTCCTAAGCTTGGCGGAGGTGAGGCCTGCCTGGACGTTGTAGTTCGGGGAGGCCCCAGCACTCTTTGGCAGAGAAATGCAAAGGCCCTCGCCCTGAATGGAATTAATTAATCTATATAAATAAAAATGTAACGTTCGCTTGTGGGATTAACATAACCCAAAAAGCACTGGACGAATTGACACCAAATTTGGACACAAGACACCTATCAGGCCAACGAGTGACCATCACTCATAAAAACACTGAAAAATACAGTGGAAGAGACATAAAAAGCCAAAAAACATTACAACACATGTGCAAAACCACATACATACACAAACACACACATATACATATATGTACACACACAACACATATACACAGAAAAGGGCAATAAAGGAGAGAAGGAGGGAAGGAAAGAAGGAAATAAAAAAGTGAAAGAAGAAAGGAAGGAGAGAAGGAAGAACGAGAGAAAGAGGGAGGGAAGGAAAAGGAAAGAAAGAAAGGTAGAGAAGGAAGGAAATAAAAAGTGAAAGGAAGGAAAAAGAGAGGGAAAGAAGAAGAGAGAAAGAGGGAGGGAAGGAAGGAAGGAGAGAAGGAAGGAAGAGAGAAGGAAATGAAATGGAAGAAAGAAGAGAAGGAAGGAAGAGAAAAAGGGAGGGAGCGAAGGAAGGAAATATGAAACCAAAGAGCAAAGGAAGCGAGGAAAGACACAGGTAGAGAAAGAAGAAGGGAAAGAAAAAAGAGGGAAGGAAGGAGAGAAAGAAGGAGGGAGGATGAAGCCGCTGGGTGAGATCATCCGGAGTTTCGGGGTGCGGTGTCACCTGTACGCAGATGACGTCCAACTCTGTCACTCCTTTCCACCTGCTACTAAGGAGGCTGTCGAAGTCCTGAACCGGTGCCTGGCCGCTGTAATGGTCTGGATGAGGGCGAACAAACTGAAATTAAATCCAGACAAGACAGAGGTACTCCTGGTCAGTCGTAAGGCCGAACAGGGTATAGGGTTACAGCCTGTGCTGGACGGGGTCGCACTCCCCTTGAAGGCGCAGGTTCGCAGCTTGGGTGTGACCCTGGACTCATCGCTGAGCCTGGAGCCTCAGGTCTCAGCGGTGACCAGGGGAGCATTTGCACAGCTTCGGCTCGTGCGCCAGCTGCGCCCGTATCTTGGGAAGCCGGACTTGGCCACGGTGGTACATGCTTTGGTCACATCCCGCCTCGACTACTGCAACGCTCTCTACGTGGGGCTGCCCTTGAAGACGGCCCGGAAGCTCCAGCTAGTCCAACGCGCGGCAGCCATGTTATTAACGGGAGCAGGACGCAGAGAGCGTACAACGCCCCTGCTGTCCCAGCTCCACTGGCTGCCGATTTGCTACCGGGCCCAATTTAAGGTGCTGGTGTTAGCCTACAAAGCCCTAAACGGTTCCGGCCCAAAATACCTTGCAGACCGCATCTCGGCCTACGAGCCCACGAGGGCCTTGAGATCATCCGGGGAGGCCCTTCTCTCGGTCCCGCCTGCCTCACAGGCACGTCTGGCGGGGACGAGAGAGCGGGCCTTCTCGGTGGTGGCCCCCCGGCTGTGGAACACCCTCCCTACTGAAGTTAGACAGGCGCCCTCTCTGATGGCCTTTCGTAGGAGCCTGAAAACTTGGCTCTGCGAGCAGGCCTTCAACTAAGTGTATCTGTGGAACGACGTTAGAATGGATTATGACTACGAACTTGGCTATGACCCTAGGATTAGACGAAGCGGATTTTTAGTATAAGTATATGTTGTAGTAGTAGTTTGTAATGTATTGTTATGATTTTTGTATGCTGTCCTTCTATGTTGCTGTTCACCGCCACGAGTCGCCCCTGGGGCTGAGAGTGGCGGTCAATAAGTACAAGAAATAAATAAATAATAAATAAATAGGATTGGCCACAGCAACGTGTGGCAGGCACATCTAGTATAATAATAATAATAATGATAAAACTTTATATACCGCTCCATCTCCCCGAGGGGACTCAGAGCAATTCCCAAGTAACATCACAAAACATACAGAGTAAAAACATAACCATAAGACTAACAAACAAAATATAACCATAAAAATTGCCGCCATAACACACATATATTAAAAGTAATTCTGCTTGTTCAAGGCAATTAAAAATTTAAAAGATTTGTGCAAACACAAAAAATTCTAGGGTGCCCGGGAATTAAGTGCAATGCTATGTCAGGCAACACCACGTAGAGCGCATTGCAATAGTCCAGTTTGGATGTAACCAGTTTGGACCACCCTGGGCAAGTCAGACTTCACGATAGGAAGTAAGACTTGTGCACCTAAGCAAAACCTGAGTGTGTTCAAGACAGACTAGGCATGGGCCAACTTTGGCCCTTCTTCCAGGTGTTTTGAACTCCAACTCACACCGGCTGCTAGGAATTATGGGAGTTGGAGTCCAAAACACCTGGAAGGAGGGCCGAAGTTGGCCCATGCCTGCTGTAGAATGAATACAGTTTGACTCCTGCTTTTAACTGCCACACTTTGCTGCGATGGAACAATGTGAGTTGTAGTTTTATATAGTCTTTCGTTTTCTCTGCCAAAAGAGGGCTGGTGTCTGATGAAACTACAACTCCCAGAATTCCATCAAAGCCAGGGCAGTGAAAATAAAATCAAACGGCATTCATGCTGCAGTCTAGATCAGGTGTGGGCAAACTTCGGCCCATCAGGTGTTTTGGACTCCAACTCCCACAATTCCTGTGGGAGTTGGAGTCCAAAACACCTGGAGTGAGGGCCAAAGTTGGCCTGTGCCTAAGTCTGTCTTGAACACACTCAGGTTTTGCTTAAGTGCACAAGTCCTACTTCCTATCGAGGAAGCTATGGGAATTCCATTCAGGGTGAAGGCCTTTACATTAGGAATTGTGGGAGTTGGAAATCCAAAACACAAGGAGGACAGAAGTTTACACATGCCTGGGCTAGATACTTTTAAACAAAAGGAGAAGTAATTTTAAATAAAATCTTAGTGAATGACTACCCTTGGGGTTGCAGAATGTGGATAATTCAATGGATGTAACTAGTAGCCACAGGAGCCAGTGGGCAGTATGTTTTGAGTCACGGCAACCCTACAGATTTCCCAGACTTCTCTTGGGCACAGAATCCTCAAAGATGGGCCTGGAGGCTGAGAGAAGGCCCTTTTCCTCCTCAGATTCCCGAGGCCTCGCTTGGATGAGAAAGGGAAAGGACTATGGATAGCCCTTCATTATTTTCTACACTTTAATTGCATTGGTTCAATGTTATAGAATTAGGGGGCTGTGGTCTTACAAGGTCTCGAGTCTTCTCTGCCAAAGAAGGCTGGTGTGTCACCAAACTACAAATCCCAGGATGGCATAGCATTGAGCCATGACCATTACATCAGAGATGGAGTCCCTCAAAGGACCTCCAGGGGCTCCTGAAGCAGCTTCCCCTTTGGCTTTGATTCAGCACTAGGATTACCGTATTAGCCAAATCTAATGTGCACCCTAATTTTGGTGAGGCATTTAAGCCAAAGAAGGTGAGCATTAATTTTGAGTAAATAGGGTAGATAGAATCCAGTGCCTTTAGGTAATTTGGCTGGTGCATTAGCCCTTATGAGTTCTTGGTGTTATGGACAGTCAGGATTGGTATCATCAACGTGTGTAGGTGGCATTAAAGGCCATTGAGAGAGGAGCATGTTCAAAGTTCTGGGCAAGAACACCCTGGAGGAAATCAAATCAACGGGTGACAGGATAGTAGCATTCGGATACCTGAAAGGCTGTCTTGCAGGTGATAGTGCAAGGAAAAGGGCTGGAACAAGTGGGTGGAGATGGCAGAGGAGCACTTCAAGACAAAAACATTAGAAGAAATCCCCTGGCAGTGGTAGAACACACTGTCTCTGGGAGTGACAATCTCTCCTTTACAAGACTACATTATTCCCAAGGCCTGTTCCGACTCTGTGATTTTATGACTCCCAAGATGCCAAGCTCAGCCACTGAGAGGCAGATAGATTAGGGCTCAACAAACAGGATCCTTCACGCTTGCTCTCTTCGTGGCTTTTTAGAAGTCTTATTCCTCTGCGAGGTATTGTTTTGAAGCAGTTATCCCTAAGGAAATGACATCTACCAAGGTGTTCTCCCAAGCCTGTTGTTTGTACACCATTCAGATTGTGTGCCCTGGGAAAACAGAATGCCATGCTACTGTCATAAGCCCAGTTGTCCAGAGACAGTCTTTATTAGTAAATGCTTTATATAGCCACAGATCGTCATCTAAGCGATTGCCCTGAATCCTTTTTGTCAACTACTTAAGAATCTTCAGTTTGTCATTGTACTTTTAAGAGAATGAAATACCTGGGTGTTTTTATGCTTTGTTGGTATGAGATGAAGGTCAAGTTCTAGAATTTAGATATTGTTTATGAAGCATCTGTCAGAGTTCAGCTTAGATGCATTCTGTATGTTATTTTATATTATGTATGTTATGTTATATTATGTTGTTTTATTTTCTTATTTTCTGTTGTGTTCTTGTGTTATCGTACTGATGGGCATGGCCTCATGCAAGCCGCCCTTGGGGAGATGGTGGCAGGGTATAATAAAGTTTATTATTATTATTATTATTATTATTATTATTATTATTATTATTATTCTGAAAAACTTCTGGTCAGATTATTGTTCAGAATGTGTCATGCACTGCTTGTCTGCTTATAATTGCTTAAAATGTAGAAATTGCCTTGGTGGATTATAAAGCTTATCACTCTTGTTTTTAACTGTGCTTTTGGCTAGTGCTCAAGATGGGCATCATAGCGGCAGTAACCCATTCATGCACACTTGTCTAACAATAGGATTTCCAGTCCTATCCTGTGTATGTATTTACTCGTCAACTAGGACTGCATTCCCTGGCTGTTTTGTTGACTCAGGGAAGGACCATTGGCAAGGGCTTGGACTGGATGGCCCACAAGGTCTCTTCCAACTCTATGATTCTAAAAGGGGCTGAGGACCACAAGTGGCCCATGGGCTGCACTTCAGACCTGAGTTGGTAACAAATTCCATTGAGTTGAGTCAAGTGTAAGGATGCTTTGAGGCCCAACCTTTCAGTTACAGTGTTCAGCAAAAACAACAAAACCTTTGCATGGTACCTGTGTTGATTTTTGTGGCTGACGCATTTTTGTGTTCTTACTTAGGTTGGAATAAGAAGAAATGTTTTTGAAATAAAGCATGCCTGCAGGCCAGAAATCTGGATTAATTTGGACCTGAGTGTTAACAGACCTTTGCTTGGCAGAAAATACAGAGAAAAAAAGGAGCAAATGTATCCAGTATTCTGTGCATCTTGCCAGCCATCCACATGGGGAAAGGCCAAATGCAAGAAGCGATAACCCCAACTGACCTTAGTTCTGAAGATTACATTGAAACTGGCTCCCTTCAGAACACACTCCCTCTCCTTCCTTTTTTTCTGCCTGATGTGGAATTGGATCGCTTCAAGGCTATAACTTTTTCCCCAAATTGGCTCTGTAAATACACTGCTATGGGCTGATTCTTCACCTCTTTGAAACAAGAGATTGTTAGTTTTTTGTCTATTTACTTTAAAGTGGAATCCAGCATCCTTACCAGTTTTCTGTATTTGATATCTATTTTTCTGTGTATTTCTTACTGGTGATGCTTCTGCCGCCATACTGGTGCAGTTTTTGGCATCAGCTGACCGAAACTATGCCGTGAGAGTGGCTGCAGTGTAAGTATAGCCATGACGGAACCTCACAGGGTCCAGCTCACTCCTCTCTCAGGACCTCTGAGCACCACTTTACTAAAAAAGGCACGTCGGGAAGATGGCGCAGGAACAGAACATGTGCAGGAAGCAGAACCTACGGCCGCAGCTGTTCGCATTGCCCTAGCCCTCTTTGAACCGGATCACAAGCGCTGTCCAGAGTTCTTTTATCCTGAACTGTTGAAGAATTCACGTGGGAAAGGGAAGAGCAGTTCTGCTGGAGAAAAGGTATATATCTTTTCTTTTCGTTCTCTGATGTACGTATTTCAGTACAATGATTGGGCAAGTAGGAGTTCCCTACTCTTTTACCCATTTTGTATTATACCCAGAAGTCATATGTTCCATGTGTAGTCTGTTCTTTCATCATGTATTAAAATAAAACCAAATTAAAATACAAGCAATCATGTTAAATTAAAATAAAAAAGGAAACATGGCATAGGGCTTCACATTTCCACTATTGCCAGGTTTTGACAGTGTTCAAATAAACAAGATACCTGTATCAGACCAAACACAAGTATAGTGGCCCCTGAATTAGTAGTCCTCTACAAGGGGTCAGTATATTTTGATCCTTAACAGTAGTGAGCTCTTCAGTCCTAAGGAAGCAATAAGATCTCTCAATGGAGCATCTCAGAACCTCTCTTGTGGCTTGGTTGCTTCTTTGTGAAACGACCTGACAGATACCATTCAGGTATTTTGCACTGTTTTCTTTCCCTGCAGAAGAGAGACCTTGCTGATCCCTTCAATGATGAAGAAAAAGAGAAGCACAAAGTGGAAGCACTTGCCAGGAAGTTTGAAGAGAAATACGTAAGCTTCTACATCATAGCTGTGTACAGTATATTTTCTTATACAAATGCTATAAAAATGCATTTAACTCTGGGATTGTCCTCATGTTTGGAGTGTATATGATACCAAGCACTACTGAAGTATTTCAGAGTGGTGATTTCAGGACAAGCGATAATCAAGTGCAGGACACTTTGGTTTGCCTTTCTATCCTAGTTTACATTTTTATCCTTGTCTCTTGTCTGTTCTTCCATGTAAACTGCCTTTATCCTACTGTTTTACGTGGCAGATTAGTGAGAGCAAGACTGCCTTATCTAAGGACATGCATTAAACATTCTAGCTCAGTGAAGCATTCAACCCTAGGCATCTGGAGATAGAATTCTGGGCACATTATGCTATATCACCTTTTGCCAATACATTGCCTTGCTATGGATTTTATAGTAGCTTGGCCTAGATTTTATGAGAAGCTTGGCTATAAATAGCCTCATGATGATTGCTTAGGTTTCAGCGTGGTCCACCTGGATTGTACTCAGACTGTTTCCTTTTCAGTTTCAAAATGTAAGATGTAGAGTGACGGCTTTAGGCATGTCTATCAGGCTTTGGTACCAACAGATTGGTTTTTGCTGGATTTAACAATGGAACGCATTCAATTCAGTTATGGGTAAACATGATATTTTTGATTTCAGGGTGGAAAGAAGCGCCGGAAAGACCGTGTTCAGGATTTGATTGATATGGGCTATGGATATGATGAATCTGATTCCTTTATTGATAATTCTGAAGCAGTAAGTAAAGAAAGGGGCGCAAGCGAAGTGTTGTCTCCATGCATCCCAAGTTGTCTTTGTCAAGGGGAAATACAGTAGAGCTAAGGAACGGAAAGTTCAGCTGTTCTTTTGAGAATGACATCCAGTAATAATTATAATAATAATATCATTTAATACCCGCCTATCCCTGCGATTATCCCAGTTTTGCATTAAACAAAACCCTCCTGATTGATCTCTCTGTTCTTTTCCCAGTACGATGAGCTTGTTCCAGCATCTTTAACAACCAAGTATGGAGGCTTTTATATTAACTCTGGAACCCTTCAGTTCCGACAGGCTTCAGAATCGGAGGATGACTATATCAAAGAGAAAAAGAAGAAATCTCCTAAGGTCTGGAATTGTGATGTTCTGAATGTATATCTGTGTTTGTATTTAAGCAGTCTTCTGTAATGTATACTTGTATTTCTGACTGATAAGAGAAAACAGTGAGTACCTCACTTTTTTTCTAATCTCACCTCAAGTTAGCCAATAAATGCTGTTTCTGTCTTTTCAAACTGCGAGCTTGTACCCAATACCTTTTTTTCTCTTTTTGGGGGAAGGGCTCTTGGTATTGGGGATAATGGATCATGACATGTTAGGATCACTGACCATCACGGTATTATGAACTGTTAGGATCACAATCTAATTGGGGTAGCAGAGTTTATTTGGTAATAGATGATTGCTGGGCATGTAGATATTTTGTTTCTGTTTATACTTTCAACAGACAATGATGCAAGCAGACTTCTTTTAAAGATAACAGGTTTTGTTTACTGATAACTTCATGTATTTAAAGATACAAGCACATTTCTTGTCAAGGTTTTAAAACTTCAGTAACATTTCAGAGAGTTTGTATCTTGAACTTATAATCTTTAACAGTTTCTTCATAAACTATGTTGCTTTATACATCTCTCTTTAATAAGAGTTTACTTTCAAATAAAACACAACCTCAACAATTTGCTAACTTCCTAACATGAGCTTCTGCACTCTGGCAGACTTCTATACTCAAACTCATTCAAGGTTCAAGACACTTCTCTAACTGGTTCAACTGACATGTAGAGGAGGCTTGAGAAAGTTGCTTCCTCCAACACCTGGTGCTGTATAATAAGCGTTTTTTCATATCTAGAAGCGGAAGTTGAAAGAAGGAGGTGAGAAGATGAAGAAGAAGAAAAAGGATGATTCTTATGACAAGGAAAAGAAATCTAAAAAATCTAAGTTTCCTAAAACTGGGTAAGAGTCTAGCATTGTTCTAATGATTGTTCAAATGATGGATGCCTCATTCTTTGATCAGCAATTGTTAGACTTCAGTGGAAGAACTGGGATAATCCAGTTCAGATACTTGTTCTAGCTGTTAATTTCCTTCTGTGGTGTGAATGAAACCTGGTCTTCATTAATAATCTGCATCCCAGGAAAATTATGGGAGTTTTGTGTGTGTGTGTGTGTCAGAAGTGACTTGAGAATCTGTAGGTTGCTTCTGGTGTGAGAGAATTCACCATCTGCAAAGACGTTGCCCAGGGGATGCTCTGATGTTTTACCATCCTGTGGGAGGCTTCTCTCATATCCCCTCATGGGAAGCTGGAGCTGACAGACAGAAGCTCACCCTCTCTCGTGGACTCGAATCATGACCTTCAGCTCAGCAGCTCAGCCAGCACAAGTGTTTAACCCATTGCACCACCACGGCTTCTTATGAATGAGATAAATAGATAAGATATTTTGACAATGAGAAATATGCAGATTTTTTCTGATTCTACGAGCATAGATTCAGAGCTTGAAACAATTTTAAATTAATGGAGTTGCCTAATTTTAAAAGGGGGGGGATGTTGCAACCCCACATTTCAGAAGAAATGTGACAAGTAGGAGTATATTTAATAATTTTGGGGAACAAATGTGCAATCATACAAAGTACAATAATAAAAATTCCTTGTGACTTTCAGACATCACATACACAACAGTTTTTCAAACTTTGTGCTATTTACAAAGTAGAGCCCCCGGTGGTGCAAAGGGTTAAACTGTTGTGCCGGCAGGACTGCTGACCAAAAGGTCAGAGGTTTGAATCCGGGGAGCGGGTCGAACTCCTGTCTGTCAGCTCCATCTTCTCATGCGGGGACATGAGAGAAGCCTCCCACAGGATGGTGAAACATGGGAATGTCCTTGCAGACAGCCAATTCTCTCACACCAGAAGCGATTTGCAGTTTCTCATGTCGCTCCTAACATGAAAAAAAAATCCCAGTAATACTGTGTGCAGTAACATGATTATGGTATCCCCATGTTTGTGTTCTTCTGTGGTGAGTATAATACTGGGCCTCTCTCACAGGTTCACAGCTCTGAATGCAAGCAAAGAGAAGAAGAAGAAGAAATATTCAGGCTCCCTGAGCGTCAAGGAAATGTTGAAGAAATTTCAAAAGGAAAAGGATGCTCAGAAAACACGGGATCATGAGCCGAAGGTCGCCGTCCCCTCTTTACCAGAGACCCCAACCCCACGGGAAGTGGAGAGCATGCCGGACCCTCTCCTCTCCCTCTTTGGCCCCACCAGCGACAATGAATTGCTTCAGGCGGCCACGGCCATGGACGCCCTGTCGGACCTCGACCTTGAAAAGATACTATTTGAATGTCCAGAAGAGAGCCACTTCCATGACATGGAGGATGGGAGTGACTCCCTCGGGGTAAGCCTGGAGCAGGAGGTCAAGCAGCCCCTGGCCCTTCCGGATGGACTCCCGCCGTCCCTAGAGAAGCGCATCGAGGAACTGACTCAGGTAATGCCATTCTGACAACGTGGCAAGAAGTGTAAGAGTTAGTCTGGCCATGAGCAAGCCTCTACAAATCATTGGCCCATTTAGCTTGTGTCATCTGCATTGATAATTGGTAGCATTTCCGGGGATTGCACACGTTTTTGCCATCCTGCCTTAGGTCCTTTTGCACTTGCAGCATATAGTTTACCACAAATGTCCCTCAGCCATTGGCAGTGCATGCACAGGTTTATTGTTGTTGCCTTCATATTTTGAAGGGACTGTTTTCTGTAAATTGAGGCTGTAATGGCATTTTACACAAGCAGGCAGTTGTGATCTGTGTGGTCACCTGATAAGACTTGTTTTCAGATGAGACAGGAAGCAACCGGAGCAGTTCTCCTTGAGATGCCTAGTTTGTCAAATGGAAGGACTTAATTGGGTGGGAATATTCTACTTCAGGTGAATACACCTTGTGATTGCAGGGTGAGGAATGTCCTGTTGTTTGGTGCCAGAGTTTGGACAAATATCAGAAAAACTCCGTTGTTTTGGCATTGCATGACTTGGTAACCATTCAGAATGTAGGCAAGACTAGTGAAGAAACAGTGAAGACTAGTGAAGAAACATGGGTCCTCTCTGCCCTTTTCTCCATATTCCTAGACTTTTATGGCCATATTTAAGGCTGGGTTGCTGTGAGTTTTCTGGACTGTATGACCGTGTTCCAGAAGCTTTCTTTCCTGGTGTTTTGCCCACATCTGTGGCAGGCATCCTCAGAGGTTGAGAGGTTTGTTGTAAACTAGACAAGTGAGGTTTATATATCTGTGGAGTAATGTCCAGGGTGGGAGAAAGAACTCTTATCTGCTTGAGAGAAGTGTTGATATTTCAGTTGGCCACCTTGATTAGCATTTAATGGCCTTGTAGCTTCAAAGCCTGGCTGCCGGCTGCCTGGGAGAATCTTTTGTTGGGAAGTGTTAGCTGTCCCTGATTGTTTCATGTCAGGATTTCCCCTGTTTTTTATGTTGCTCTTTATTTACTGTCCTGATTTTAGAGTTTTTTAATACTGGTAGCCAAATTTTGTTCTTTTTAATGGTTTCTTCCTTTTTGTTGAAACTGTCCACATGCTTGTGGATTTCAGTGGCTTCTTTGTGTATTTTGACATGGCGGTTGTCAGTGTGGTTCAGCATTGCTATGTTCTCAAATAATATGCTGTTTCCAGGTTGGTTCATCAGGTGCTCTGCTATGTCTGGCTTCTCTGGTTGACTTAGTCTGCAGTGCCTTTCATGTTCCTTGATTCGTGTTTGGGCTTTGCTGCTGAGTTTGGGGGTCCCTATGTAGACTTGTCCACAGCTGCATGGTATACAGTAGACTCCTGCAGAGGTGAGAGAATCCCTCTTGTCCTTTGCTGAACGTAGCATTTGTTGAATTTTCTTAGTGGGTCTGTAGATAGTTTGTAGGTTGTGCTTCTTCATCAGCTTCCCTATGCGGTCAGTGGTTTCCTTGATGTATGGTAAGAACAGTTTTCCTCTGGCTGGATCTTTGTCTTGACTCTTGTAAAGCCTATTCTTAAGACTATTTCAATTGCAACTAAGACCCTCAAAGCCTGTATGGCTGACTATCGAAAATTAGTTAAAACATGTTTTTATTATTGTAGTGGGTTCTACCTTTACATCACCAAGCTTTATTTAGAGAATCTTTATGAAAGTGATAAAATGTGACTATTTAAAAGTAATTCAGAATTTCCTTCTTTTGTTGGGTGCAGTCTGGCATTATTCAGGAAAGCTGTATCTCCTCCACACATCCTTCCTTTCCTTCTGTTTTTTTTTTTTTCCTTTTTATTCATTATCCGCGGCTCTGTCGGCCAGTAATCTGTTCTTCTTTGCAAATTAGGCTGCCAAAGCTGCAGAAGGAGAAGGCAGACACAAGTTCTTCAACCAGGACATGAATACCATTTTACTGGAGTAAGTCCTGAACATACCATTTGAGCTGTCTATACTCTAGGAGTGGGGAAAAGCTAATGGGATAATATTCTACACCATAATTGTGTCATCATAGTTGGCACTCTCCAGTTCTAAGAAGCCTCCTTTAATTGTCTTGAAGTTGAGTAAAACTCTGCTTTAAAAAAAAAACAATTTCACTCATTCTTTAAAAGAGAAGACATTTCAAGTCTGTTTATCTCTGCATTTCCCCAGGTTTCCAGTTTTTTTTTTTCACTAGAAAATGTAAAGGTTTTTCCTAGGGGGAAAAAAGAGGCAATTTTCTCTCTGTCTCAGGAATTCTGTCTATTATTGAGCAGGGTTACAGTGGAAGAAAATGTATATTATTTGGAGTGTCAAATGAGGTGTTTTATCCCCTTTTAACGGAGGACAGAAAACTCCTGCTCCAAGGATTTCAGAAGCTTACCAACTGCTATTTAAGCTATGGCAACTGAGAAAGCATTCTCTCTTCCTATGGCCAGTCACAGAAGTATATTACTTCTGTTAATATTTTGCACTTTCCCTGGGCTCTATCTAGGAACGATTGCACATTTCCTGATCCTTCCACATTCAGCACTTAGACTTTCAGCCATTATACTGTTTTTAAAATGTGTACTGTGATGTAATGTTTTTTTCTGATGTAGATTTTATTCTGTTTCTTTTTATTTTATTGGTATGTTTTAATTTGTATTTTCGGGCTTGTCCCCTTCTAAGACGCCCTGAGTCCCTTCAGGGAAATGGTGGCGGGTTATAAAAATAAAGGTATTATTATTATTATATTATTATTATTATTATTATTATTATTATTATTATTATTAATATTAAAAATGACCAGGAGTCTTCTAGCTAAGAAATATGGTGTAGCTGCTGCTAAAGGACTTCATAATTGTGCAAATGCATGGCTTCACGACATCTGCTTTCAGATTGGCCTGTTTGCCTTAGCTTCTATTCAGACTACCTCCAGTTGCCAGTATAGCTTTACTCATACTCTTTTTAGAACTTTTGTGTTGCCAGTGGTGCAGTGGATTAAGCCGTTAAGCTGCTGAACTTGCTGACTGAAAGGTCGGCAGTTCGAATCCAGGGAGTGGAGTGAGCTCCCCCTGTTAGCCCCAGTTTCTGCCAACCTAGCAGTTAGAAAACATGCAAATGTGAGTAGATCAATAGGTACCGCTTTGGTGGGAAGGTAACGGCGCTCCATGCAGTCAGGCCAGCCACTTTGGCTCTGTGGCTTAGAAATGGAGATGAACACCACCACCCAGAGTCAGACGCGACTAGACTTAATGTCAAGGGGACACCTTACTGTATTTTTTGCCTTTTCTAAATTAATTGCCAGTTGAACTTCTTAATTTCCAAAGGACTTTAGAGTATGTTCCCTCTCATTCTGATAATAGAGGGAATGGCTTTTCGAGAAAGAGAGGACTAAATCTGTTCTGTCTTTTTTGCTGCCTGTAGTATAGAGCTACAAACACGGGAGCTGAACAGCCAGGTCCGATCCGGGGTTTATGCTCACCTGGCCTCCTTCCTGCCTTGCAACAAGGACACCTTGCTCAAACGGGCCCGCAGGCTTTACCTCTGTGACCAGGTGCGTCCTCACAGAAATAAATGCAACACCACTTCAAGAGACAGTTGGTTTAGATATTGAAACATCTATGAGTTTGTTTAGTGCACTTTGTTGCACCAGTATCCCAAACCACAAAGTGGGTGGAAATCAGGTACAACACTTTCTAGATTAAATGGTTGGTTAAGGGCACGGGAATGTATGCCTCTGAGTCCCAGTGTCTTTGGCATCCTTCAGACAAAGGGAGATAGATGATTGTGGAAAGATGCTCCCACAATAGATGTTCATCTCTGTCACCCTTTCCCTTGGGGAAAATACATTCCTGGTAGATAAAATATGCTTCAATCCTTCAGAGCTTCTTCCTCTCCAGTGAAAGTAAGCTTTGATGAAGACACTCAGCTGCAATGACAGGAAGGCTCACTTTTATTGAATCATGTTAACGTTTACCATCTGTCTTGTTGAGTTGCCTGCAATAATTGTATTAGACAAATCTTTTAAAATATACTTATTTGTTTATTGTAAATTTGTTTTTATAGGTTATTGTTTTACATATGCATATTGTTTTGTATTGTCTTTTATATAATGTTGTAAGCCGCTTTGGGTTTCTTTTAGGAAGAAAAGTGGAATATAAATAAAGATATTATTATTATTATTATGAAGTAATCCACAATAACACTGGGCAACACACATTTTGGTGCCTCTAGTTTTAGCCCTGTTTGTAGGCTATATATTGACCAGCTGTCACCAATTTTGCTCCATCTGCTCTAGTTTTGCCATCTGTTTACCCATAGAAAATCATGGTAACCCTATCTAAGGAACTGGAGCTGATGCGGTCTAACCAGCGCAACTTTCTGAATCAGTGTCACAAATAACCTCAGGAAGAGACCTTAAAAACCAAGGCACTAAGATTTTTTTGTGCTGGACTGTGTAAATATTAATATTATTGGGTTGCTGTGAGTTTTCCAGGCTGTCTGGCCATGTTCCAGAAGCATTTTCGCCTGACGTTTCACCCCATCTATAGCAGGCATCCTCAGAGGTTGTGAGGTCTGTTGGAAACTAGGCAACTGAGGTTTATATATCTGTGGAATAATGTCCAGGGTGGGAGAAAGAACTCTTGTTTGTTTGAGGCAATTGTGAATGTTACAATTGGCCACGTTAATTAGCATTTAATGGCCTACCAGCTTCAAAGCCCGGCTGCTTCCTTTCTGGGGGAATCCTTTGTGGGGGTGTATTAGCTGGCCCTGATTGATTCTTGTCTGGAATTCCCCTGCTTTTTAAGGGTTGCTCGTTATTTACTGTCCTGATTTTTGAGGTTTTTAAAATAGTGATAGCCAGATTTTGTTCATTTTCTGTTGAGATTGTCTACATCCTTGTGGATTTCAGTGGCTTCTCTGTGTAGTCTGACATGGTGGTTGTTATTATTGTTGCTGTTGTTGTTACTTTACACCTACCCCTCCTTGTGGCTTGGGGCAGGACATAACAGGATTGCAACAGAGAGATAAAGCACAACCTGTATTAAAATGCATGCAAGAACACACCAATAAAATGCAGGTTAAAATTCACAAGTTAAAATTGATTGGATGGGCCTGGCCTTGCCATAGCAGAATAATTGCCTCCCGTCTACTGCTGCTCTAACTCACTGAAGCTATTGGTCGCTGGTAGTGCCCAGTGCCTAGACTTTGTTTAGTGAGTGGGCTTGTTGGGGAAGTTTGGGCCTTAAATGTTGCCAAAAAGATGCTCTCTTCAACCTCTGTCCCTGGGACTGACCGAGTAGGTGGTGTTAGACATACCAAATGTTATAATATTCATCATCATCATCATTATTTATGAAGGGATTCAGGGTGGTTTCCAACAAATGTGGCAAACATTCAGTGCCCAGAGAAAAACCATACAAACAGCTTACATCAGAACAAAACACATTAGACAATAGAAAACAACATAACATAATGTAATATAATATATTGTATATACATATAATATTTATAATATTATAATGTAATGCAATATAATACTAATAATAATATGTTATAATTATATATTTATATTGCATGTAATATTAATAATATTACAATATAATGGTATAGTACAATATAATAATATTTAATACTGATCTTGTAAGCTGCTCTGAGTCCCCTTCGGGTGAGAAGGGTGGTATATAAACGTAAATAAATAAATAAATAACTTATCAACGTAGCAAAAATAAAAATAAAGAAAACATCATAAAATACTGTTAAAACACACTAAAAATAAAATATAAAAGCAAATACATCGGAGCTCCATCAGGCGAGGTTTAACAATAGCAATGGCCAGGAGTGCTAAAAACTAAAAAGGGCTGGGCGAGAGATAGTGCAAACAGTAAAGTAAATCCTTTCTTCTTCCTTTAGGGCGGTCGACTGAAGGAGCCCCTTCAGAAATTAAAAGAAGCCATTGGCAGGGCGATGCCAGAACAGATGACCAAATTCCAGGAAGACTGCCAGGCACACAGTCAAGCCAGGTTTGCCAAGTATGTATGGTGTCTGTATAATTCTCCCAATACATTCTTTCCTTAACTACAGATGTATAACTGTTGATGTGTTACCAGAGCCTCTCTGCTTCCTCTTGTTGTTGCAGTTGAAACATTTCCAGGCAGGAGTGTATTTTGGAAGCAGATCCTTATGGATGAGTGTTGCTTTTTCTCCCTCAGGATGCTGGAAGAGGATAAGGACAAGGAGCAGAGAGACCGGATTTGTTCTGATGACGAAGACGATGATGACAAAGGAGGGAAGCGGATCATGGGACCCCGGAAGAAGTTCCAGTGGAATGATGAAATCAGGTTGGTAGAGGCAGAGGGGAAAAGGGCTGGTTAAAGAGTTCTCTTGTTCTATTTCAAGGGAGCACATGATATCTAGATGTACCTATTCAACCCTACCTTGGGTTCACTTTTCCTGGTCCGTCTGTTTCCTGGTTTGAGGCTGAATGTGTGGAAAATATTTCCTTCAGTATTGTTAATAGGCTTTTAACCCAATTTAAAAAGGAACAATGAAGCAGTTGGTTTTAATTTTTAAAAATCCACGGTTTTCACTAACTGCTTCCTTCAGGGATTTGCTCTCCCAAGTGGTGAAGATGAAACTGGAAGCCTATGACCATGAAAAGAACAAAGCTCAGCTAATGGAGGATTATGTAAAGAACTTCCTAGATGCGGAAGTCAAATCTCTTTGGCCGAAGGGCTGGATGCAGTCCAGGTGAGAAGGAACGAAGAAGGAACTTAACAATGTACTTTGTAGAAAAGTAACATTCCCATAAATTTTGAAGCAGTTCTTTTTGGGGAGGGGGACCTGGTTTTCCAGATTTTCCTACCCTACATGATACTAGTTTATCTTTCCCCTCGAGTCTATTTTATACACACTTTAAACTATGATTTATTTGTTATTTTATTGTGCTGTGTTTTATGATTGTATATGGCCCCTGGTGGCACGGTAGGTTAAAGTAGGTCCGTGCCTTGCGGGACTTACCAGCTTTCCGCAGGGCATGTAAGACATACCTGTTTCGACAGGCTTTTAATGTTTGATATCGCTGTTTTCAAATTGTTTTAAATTGCTTTTAAATCCTGTTAGATTTTAGCCATTCTTGTAAGCCGCTCCAAGCCCCAGGGGAGTGGCGGCATATAAGTTCAAATAATAAATAAATAAAGTGCTGAGCTTCTGAACTTGCTGACTGAAAGGTCACAGGTTACAATCCAGGGAGTGGGGTGAGCTCCCGCTGTTAGCCCCAGCTTCTGCCAACCTAGCAGTTCGAAAGCATGCAAATGTGAGTAGGTCAATAGATACTGCTCCTGCGGGAAGGTAACGGTGCTCCATTCAGTCATGCTGGCCACATGACCTTGGAGGTGTCTATGGACAACGCCAACTCCTGGGCTTAGAAATGGAGATGAGCACTATTTCCCAGAGTCGGGCACAACTGGACTGACTCAGCACTCAGACCTTTGGCACTGAATATTTGCCTTTGTATTTGGAAGCTGCCCTGAGACCCTTCGAGAAGAGAGGGCGGGTTAGAAATAAATTATCATTATCATTATTATTATTATTATTATTATTATTATTATTGTCATCTTTATGAGAATCGCAAATGCGGTTCAGCTTCTCACTTCTTGCTTTCTTTCCCAGGACATTGCTCAAGGAGAGCCGACGGGGGCACAGTCATCTGACGTCACCCCCGTAAGTATCTGTCCTGTGACAGTACAACAAATCTGTTTGCAAACAGCAAATCGGTTCTGTTCTTGTCCTTTTCAGTCCTTTGATCAGGTTTAGGTGTCAGGTGTCTAGATTGACATCCTCTGAAAGAGATTTGCCTAACCTTGACCTTCCTGACATCCTGTAAAAGAGGACCTCAACCCTTGTAATGAATTCCTCAAGCAAAGTCCTCAAGCAAGCCATTGCACTGGCGTTCAGGAATCTGCTGGAAGTAAATTGAACCCCCCTCTCTCTTGTGTTTTCCTACAGAACTAAGAAGAAAGTTGTGGCACCTCCGAAGGTGAAAGTGAAGGTGAGTAAATGGGCCTGGAGTCTTCAGTGAGCTCTCAATCCTGATGCCATCTTGGCAGAGAAAGGGAGGAACGCATGACACCCCTGTTAAAGCAGCTTCACTGGCTGCCAATAAGTTTCCAGTCCCAATTCAAGGTGCAGATTATGACCTACAAAGCCCTAAATAGTTCAGGCCCTGCCTATCTTCGTGATTGCATCTCTCCCTATGAACCAGCACGGGCTCCTAGATCTGCTGGGGAGGCCCTCCTCTCGGTTCTGCCACCATCTCAAGCACAGCTGGTGGGGACAAGGGAGAGGGCCTTCTTGGTGGCGACCCCTCGACTTTGGAACACGCTCCCTAGGGAGATTAGGAAACCCCCCCCCCCACAGTCCTCCTTTCGTACGCATCTGAATACCTTGATGTTCCAGCAAGGTTTTGAGAATGATTAGCCCCTATGCCCAGTCGCCAGATAATACTCTGTTCTGCACTTCAGACAAACTCATCTGCCCTTCTAGGGTATTTGTTGTAATGTTTACTCATGTTTTAGTTAACTATGTCTTATTGGATAGTTTTGTTTTGTTTTTCATAACAATGCTTAATTCTTTCTCGTGAGTTCACTGTTATTACTTTTGCTTTATTGTGTATTATTTATATGTATACTAGCTGTACCCGCCACGCGTTGCTGTGGCCAACCTTCTCTCCCTCTTTCTCTCCTCCCTTCCCTCTTTCCTTCCTTTCATCTTTTTCTTTCCCTATCTCTCATCTTTCTTCCATTCTACCTGTTTCTTTCCTCCCTTTCTTTGCTCTTTGTTTACATCCTTCCTTCCTTCCTTCCCTATCTTTCGTTCCTTCTCTCCTTCCTTCCCTCTCTTTTTCCTTTCACTTTTTTATTTCCTTCTCTCCTTCCTTGCTTCTCTATCTTTCTTTCTTTCCTTCTTTCCCTCCCTCCTTCTCTCCTTCCTTCCTTCCCTCTTTCCCTCCTTCTCTCGTTACTTCTTGACTGTCCCTTCCATTTAATATTGTATTTATATCTTACATAGAAAAAAGGAAAGGAAGAAGGAAGGAAGGAGGGACAGGAAGGAAGGAAAAAGAAAGGGAGGGAAGGAAGGAGGGAAAGAAGGGAAGGAAAAGAAAGAAGGAGGGAAAGGAAGGAAGGGGATGAAGAAGAGGGAGGGAAGGAAATGAAGGGAAGGAAATGAAGAAAGGGAAAGAAGAGGAAAGGGAGGGAGGAAGGAAAGGAAGAGGAAGGAGGGAAGAGAAGGAAGAAGGAGGGAAAGAAGGAAAGGAAGGAGAAGTAAAGAAGAAAAGGAAAGGAAGGAAGGAAGGAAAGGGAGGAAAGAAGGGAAGGGAGGGACAGAAGGAAGGTCCTTCATTCAAGCACCGTGGACCTTCCTCGCCTCCCCCTGCTCCTCCTCCTCCTCCCCCCCTCCCCTTCTTCCTTGCTCCGTTGCTGCTGCTGGCACTCATCCACCCTTTCCTCTTCCAACAGGGAAAGGAGGAGGAGACTGCCTCCTCCACTCCACTCGTTTGTGTGTGTTTGGCCGTGCACGTGCGCCTGTTTCCCCGCGAGGAGGAGGGGGGGCGTGGCCATGGGTCTCTTTGTGGACATGCAGTTTCTCCTTTTTGGACATGCAGTGTAGAAGTCCTTTCTGCTTTTTGTTTTCATTTGGTTTTTTGAGTGGAGAACATACATTGGGTTGTTAGGTGTCTTGTGTCCAAATTTGGTGTCAATTGCCCCAGTGGTTTCTGAGTTCTGTGAATAGCACAAACTAACATTACATTTTTATTTATATAGATAGGATTTGTAAACACCTGCAAATATATGAGGGGAAAATTCATATATATAATTAATGTATATAAATAGAGATATATAGGTACATAAGAATTGCAAAGGCTTACCTCTATATTTAATCTAGACATGTCTACATGTATTTGTGTGTGCATTTCCATATACAGAGTTCTCTCACTTAATGCGGGAGTTATGTTCCAGGACCATCCGTGATAAGTGAAAAACTGCAAAGTAGGGACACCCCATCTACTTCCCTCTTCACCTTCTTTACCTTCCACCTCCTCCTTGCTGCCTGGGTCTCTTGCCACCACTTGGGCACTGCGATTGAGGAGGCAGTGCAGGTGTCGCAGGGCCCATGCAGTGGCTAGAGGCCCTGGCGGCAATGAGGAGGAGGAAGAGGAAAGTAAACAGGGCAAGGAGGGAAGAAAACTGCCCCCTCGCCTTCTTTACCTTCTTCTTCCTCATTGTCGCCGGGGCCTCTTGCTGCCAAGAGGCCCCGGCGACAATGAGGAAGAGGAAGGTAAAGAGGGCGAGGGGGCAGTTTTTTGCTGCCAAATGGCAGCAAGAGGCCCCAGCGGCGACAAGGAGCAGGAAGAGGAAGGTAAAGAGGGTGAGGAGGCGGCTCTTTTTCCCTCCTTGCTACAGTGCCTTGAAATAGATAGATAGATAGATAGATAGATAGGGAGAGAGAGAGTGAAATAGTGAGTCCACGGTAAGTGAACCGAGAAGTAATGAGGGAACACTGTATATTGTACTCATCTGAGGCATTGAGTGCTTGCCTTTTTGTATGTGTAAACCACCCTGAGTCCCTTTGGGGAGACAGGGCATTCTAGAAATAAAGTTGTTGCTGTTGTTATTATTATTTCTATTTGTTTTTTTTCCAGGAGCCCCCTGGCAAGCCAGATAAGAAGGTGGCGCTTCCTGCCTCATTGATCCACTCAAGCGGCATGGTTCCTCCAGAGTCTCAAGGAATTATGGCAGGCCTCAGCACTCAGACCAGGGAGCTCCTGGCGATGAGTTCAACCCCAGCTCCCAGCAGCTCAGTCACGCCGGCCGCCTTCAGTATGGATGATTCTTTGGACGAGGACATCATCCATAATGCTGCCTCGTCCCTGGAAGCCGTCTCTAAGGAACTGGCTGTCTTGAACAGCCAGACCGGGGGAAGTTCTGACTTCATCCTTCCCATGGTTCCAAAGACTCCCTCAGAGAAACCTCCAACTCAAGTCCCGGTGGAAGAGAAGAGGTCCTTTTCCAAACCAAATTCCTCACTCGTACCTCCACCGTCTGGCAGCTCCCTGCAGTCCCCCCTCAATTTCCTGGCAGAGCAGGCCTTAGCCTTGGGCCAGGCCCCTCCAGAGAAGAAGGCCGAGAACTCCAGCTACAAAGACCCGCCCTGCCAGGCCCCTCCCACCAAGGCCCCGGAGGCCCACCAGACGAAGCTGAAGCATCACAGCCTTCCGCGCACTGTTCACGGGCCCCAGACATCCACCTCCGTGCAGGTGCCCCAGGTGAAAGTGTTTTCCTTAGGGGCTCAGCCGCCAAAGGCCTTCCCCACATCACCCCCCTTCGTGAAGCTGCAGGGTCCTAAGGCTGTCTCACTGGTCCCCCAGCGCCCCCTCCTCCAGCCGTCGCAGGCAAAGACACCCCTCAAAGCGCCAAGCTTCCACTCTTCCTCCTCTTCAACCATCTCCCCAGGATCTGCCAGCTCTCACAAGACCCCTGGCCCTGCCTCCATGTCCGTGACCTATGCAGGGAAGCACCCGAGCAGCTCTGGCACCTCAGGACAGTCGTTCAAATCGCCCTTTGTGGCCCTCTCCAGGCACATGGCATCTCCCAGCGGCTCGCCATTGACCATTTCTTCAAATCAGAGCTCAAGCGGTTTGTTGACGGGCGCCTGTCTTCCCTCCACCGGGCAGACCCCCAGTCGCTCCTCGCCCAGCCCCATGGTCAAGAAGACTCTGGTCTCCCAAAAGCTGACGTTGGTTGCTCCTCCAGGGGGGCCCAATGTCAGTTCGAGCGGAGGGACCCAAGGGGTGGCTAAGCTGCTGACCTCCTCCCTGAAGCCTGCTGTGATCAGCAGCACTGCCTCCTCTACCTCTGTGCCAGTAAGTGGAAAGCAAATAGAAATAAGCATGTTCTCGTGACTTTCTTGCACACTTTGGCTAACAGTGGTTGAGTATCCCTTATCCAAAATGCTTGGGACCAGAATTGTTCTGTATTTGGCTTTTGGGGATTTTGGAATACAATACTTGCATATGCATAATGAGATGTCTTGGAGATGGCACCCACATCTAAACATGAAAATTATGTTTCACCTGCACCTTACACTCATAACCTGAAGGTACCGTATATATTTGAGTATAAGCTGACCTGAATATAAGCCAAGATACCTAATTTTACCACCAAAAACTGGGAAAACTTATTGGCTCGAGTATAAGCAGAGGGTGGAAAATCCAGCAGCTACTAGTAAATTTTAAAATAAAAATAGATACCAACACAATTACATTAACTGAGGCATCAGTTGGTTAAATGTTTTTGAATATGTACATAAAACTGTAATTTAAGATAAGACTGCCAACTCTGATTAAACCATTATTCTATCCCTCTTCATTGTAAATGTATCCTTCCAATAATAGTAGAGTAAAATAATAAATGCAATAATAATAGTAATACAGTCGATTAATGAAAATGTAATACTAACAGTAATAATAGAGCAAAATAATAAATGTTATAACAACAATAATAAAGTAAAATAATACATGAAATAATAATAATAGAGTAAAATGATAAATGTAATAATAAATAGAGTAAAATAATAAATATAATAATAATAATAATAATAATAATAATAATAATAATACCAAGTATGGATTGTCGATGTTGCAATCCCAGGCAACAGCAGGATTGAAGAGAAACAACTGGAAAAGTTTACACGATATGAGGATGCAAAGACTCTGGCACAAGCCATTCAAGGTGGTCCCAGTGGTGATCAGCACACTGGGAGCAGTGCCTAAAGATCTTGGCCTGCACTTAAACACAATTGGTGCTGACAAAATTACCATCTGCCAGCTGCAGAAGACCACCTTACTGGGATCTGCATGCATTATTTGTCGATACATCACTCAGTCCTAGACACTTGGGAAGTGTCTGACGTGTGATCCAATACAACAGCCAGCAGAGTGGCCTTGTTTGCTGTGTACTAATCTTGTGTTTCAAATAATAACAACAATAACAACAGAGTAAAATAGTAAATAACCTTGACTTGAGTATAAGCTGAGGGGGACTTTTTCAGCCTAAAAAGGGGCTTTAAAACTAGGCTTGTACTTGAGTATATACAATAACTTTGTACACAATATTGTGCATGGAACAAAGTTTGTGTACACTGAACTATCCAGAAAGTAATGGTATATCTACCACAGCCACACATCAAGTCAATATGGGATTTTGGAAGTTACATAAGGGATGCTCAACCTGTAAAGTGGATCCCTGGGGTGTAGTTCCATGGCCCTCCTATGGATATCAAAACCTGTGGATGCTCTTTTCCCATTATATAGAGTGGCATAGTAAAATGGGGAGCTCAAGTGAGTGCCAGAGGATCTGTGGAATGCTGGGAGGCAACAGATGAGTATAAAGTCCTAAGGAACTGACGTCGGACTTTATTCATCTAGGCCAGTGGTTCCCAATCTTCGTCCCTCCATATATTTTGGACTGCAGCTCCCAGAATTCCTGATTGCTGGTCAAGCTGGATGGGGCTCTTGGAAGTTGAAGTTAAAAAGGGAAAACTTTGGAACCACTGATAATGTTCTTTACACTAAATATACCATCTAAAATGGTGTGCCATATGCATGAAATTGATGTCCCTGATTTCACTTCCCAAAACAGGCAGTCCCTGAGTTGTAAACATCCAACTTATAAACGAAGTGAAGAATGCAGTTGAAACAACAGGAAGTGAAAGAAATCTTTCCCTCAGAAGGGAAATCAACTCCTGGAAGCTTTATCTCTAATCCTTGTTTCCACAAGAAGCCAAATTTTTCCATATCCAGGGCACAGGCAGCAAAACACAGGGGTGTTAAACATTCCCTATGAGATTCAAAGCTCTCTGTGTGAGTGTGTGTATTTATTTATTTATTTATTTATTTGCAGTACTTCTATTTTGCCCTTCTCACCCCGAAGGAGACTCGGGGTGGATCACAGAACACATATATGGCAAACATTCAATGCCAATTAAACAATGATAAGACAGACAACAGATATAGAGGTATATATATAGGCTTTTTCTCATCATTCGACATCTTTTGGAGGCTGTGCTCAGTTCCGGCCACAGGGGGGTGCTGTTGCTTTACCTCCTTGCCAAAGAGCTTTCTTTGTCCGTAAACTTTACTTCGAAACACCGTTCCTAAAATACCTCCCTGCTTAATGCGGTTTCTGTTCATCTACTCACATTGCTGTTTTCGATCCACTAGGTGGGCAGGGGAGCTGGGCTGAAGGTCAGGAGCTCACCCTGACCTGACTTTGAACCGTCAGCCTTTCGATTGGCAAGAGTTACTGCAGCTACAGCTGGTGATTAACCTGCTGTGCTAAAGCCAGCCCTTTATAGATGTGTGAATATGTATGTGCCTGGAGTTACACTTTTAAAAGTCCCAGTTGTGACTTGCAAACAAATTTAGCTTAAGAACAAACCTACAGGACTTATCTTGTTCATAACTTGGGAACTGCCTGTACTCCAAAAAAGATTTTCCCCGGAAGCATTTGTGAGGCTTTGGAAGTCCTCTGGTACTCTTCTATGGCATGTCTGGTCCAAGTATAGTCAAAATATTGGACTCACTCTTATCAGTGGCTTCAGGTATCCATGAGAAAGTGTAGGTGCAGGGTGTGTACTTCAGACATTCATGTTGTTTACAAACCGTCATCCCTCAAAATGTAGCTCTGACTAGTTCTGAAACAAGCACAAAGTGCAAATATTTGCCTTGAGACATACAGTTGTCAAATATTACCAAACATTGTCAGTAATGCCTGGTGACCAAGGAAGGTCAGCGTTCCTCCTGGGAAAAGCCGGAGCTCATTGATATACTTCTCAGGACCATTGCCATTCTCATGGGTTCTCTCTCTCCTCCCCCCCCCCCTTACCAGAAGGGAGCCAGCGGAGCAGTGCTACTCACCAGTTCGTCTTCCTTGAACGTCCTCTCGACCTCCTACAAGCCCAGCAACCCCAAGCTGCCTGCGACCCTCAGCTCTACCCCGCTGGGAATCATTTCGCCCATCCATTCCTTCCCTCTTCATGTAATTTCCTTCAGCTCCGAGTCGCCGCCCAAAGCAGGGGTGTCAAAGGATGCTATTGTGACTGGACCAGCCCCAGGGACTTTCCACCATGGTCTGGCCCATAGTAAGTGATGCCAGTGGGGAGTGGCCCTATTGTGGGGTTTGAAAGTGGCCATTCTGCCTGCGCAAGAAGTAATCTCAATTGGGATATGTTTGTGGAGGTCTCGGGTGGTATCTCTCTCTCTCGCCCCATTTTTCTTTGCCTACAGAGGCAAAGAAGTAGCCTTCTGGATTTCAAGTCTGCATATAATCAACCCCCAGATTGTCTGGGATTCAGGACCCCCCCCCCCCCCCGAAAGGATAAAACGGCAAATAAAGAGATCTCTCTATTTGAAACCTAAGAAAACACCTCTTTAGGTATTTCTGGATCTTTCAGCATGACTTTATGGCCAAGTTCTGCAGAAGCTGAAGACTATCCTGAGACAGTATCTCGGGAACCATACACCACTGCTTGGTCCAAAGCTTTGTGGCTAAATGAAAGGGACCTGGATCTCACAAGTCCCACATAACAATCTATTGTACCATCTGTAAAATTAAGAATGTCTGAGTTGAACCCATACCTACTTCTCAGCCTCTCTGATGCAGGGAGTGGGCAGGGTTTTCTCCTGATCTGCTATGGGCTAATACCATATTAGTGCCCTTTGGGTACCAGTTCGCAGACTACCATTTGGTGTAAGAATGCTCTAAATGACCAACTTTACATATTGATAAAGTATCATGGGAGTTGTAGTAGTTCACTAGATGAAAAAAGGCTGTCCTTTTCAGAACAACCTTCTTGATAGGCAGGGGAGCAGAGGTGGATCGATAGTCCTTCATTTGAACCTCCCTGGAGTTGTCAACCTCTTTGGTCGTTTGTTTTCAGTATGTGTTGTTTCTCCTTCCTGGTGCCTTTTTTCTCTCCCTCTTTAATGCTGGGCATTGACTTGGGTCTTGTAAGATGAACAGAAGAAGGGAAATCCTACTTTCCTTTCTGTTCCTCATCTCTGGGTTGTTCTAGGTTTTTTGGGCTATATGTCCATCTTCTAGAAGCATTCTCTCCTGACGTTTCGCCTGCACCTATGGCAGGCATCCTCGGAGGTTGTGAGGTCTGTTGGAAACGAAGAAATTTGGGATTTATATATCTGTGAAATGTCTAGGGTAGGAGAAAGAACCCTCGTCTGTTGGAGGTAGGTGTGAATGTTTCAATTGGCCACCTTGATTAGCATTTGATGGCTTGACAGTTTTTAGGTGTGGCTTGTTACTGCCTGGGAAAATCCTTTGTTGAGGGGTGATTAGCTGTCCTTGATTGTTTCTTGTCTGGAGGTCCCTTATGTTTGAGTGTTGTTCTTTATTTGCTGTTATAATTTTAGAGGTTTTTTTTTATTCTGGTAGGCAGATTTTATTCAGTTTCATAGTTAACTCCTTTCTGTTGAAATTGTCCACATGCTCATGGATTTCAATGGCTTCTCTGTGTAGGCTGACATGGTGGCTGTGAGAGTGGTCCAGCATTTCTGTGTTCTCCAATCATATGCTATGTCCAGGTTGGTTCATCAGGTGCTCTGCTAGGGCTGACTTCTCTGGTTGAAGTAACCTGCAGTGCCTTTCATGTTCCTTGATTCGTGTCTGAGCGCTGCATTTGGTGGTCCCTATGTAGACTTGTCCACAGCTGTATGGTATATTTATTTATTTATTTATTTAGAAGTTTTGTATACCAACCGTCTCACCTCTCTTGAGGGACTCAGACTGGTTTCCAACCATAATATCACATACAGTCAATAAAACATCATAATTCATATTACAGTAAAACATTAAAACAGCAATTACATTCAATAACTACAATGGTCAGTCGTCACACTAAAATCGTTGTTCATCATCCTCCATCCATATCTCAGGGTGTTGGCTCACTCGTCGAATGCCTGTCTCCATAACCAAGTCTTCACCTGTTTCCTAAATGTCAGGATAGACGGGGCGGTTCTGATCTCCAGTGGGAGAGAGTTCCAGAGTCGAGGGGCCACCACCGAGAAGGCCCTGTCCCTCGTCCCCACCAGGCGCGCTCGAGAGCAGGGCCTCTCCAGACGATCTTAATAATCTTGATGGTTCATAGGGGAGAATACGTTCAGAGAGGTAAACAGGGCCGGAGTCGTTTAGGGCTTTATAGGTTAACACCAGCACTTTGAATTGTGCTCGGAAGCTAATTGGCAGCCAGTGGAGCTGGTGTAACAGCGGAGTGGTGTGCTCCCTGTACCCAGCACACGTTAGTAGTCTGGCTGCCGAGCGTTGGACTAGCTGCAGCTTCCGGGCAGTCTTCAGAGGCAACCCCATGTAGAGAGCGTTGCAGTAGTCTAAACGGGATGTAACCAAAGCGTGGACCACCGTGGCCAACGTATACAATAGACTCCTGCAGAGGAGAGAGGATCCCTCTTGTCCTTTGCTGAATGTAGCATTTATTGGATTTTCTTAGTGGATCTGTAGATAGTTTGCATGTTGTTTCCTCATCAGCTTCCCTATGCGGTCAGTGGTCCCCTTGATGTATGGCAAGAACACTTTTCCAACAGACAGGAGTTCTTTCCCCCACCCTGGACATTCCACAGGTATATAAATCCATTTTTCCTAGTTTCAAACAGACCTCACAACCTCTGAGAATGCCTGCTACAGATGCAGGCGAAACATCAGGAGAAAATGCTTCTGGAACATGGCCATATAGCCCGAAAAACCTACAACAACCCAGTCATTCTGGCCATGAAAGCCGTTGACAATACATTGTTCCTTATCTCGTTTTTGGGTTCCTGACACATGCTTGGAAGATGTCTGACATGATGGGATCCAGGGGACACCTAGATTGTGCCCAAAGTCCTTCAAGCATCTAAATTTGTTCTCATAACCCCCTTTTTCATCTTCATGTGATTATTATTGACTAGAACCAGAACACTGTTTTATGACTAAGAGAAACCTGCTTTGAAGTTGTCAAGTTACTTGAATGTTTGAGGTTCCACCTCATGCCCATCTTTTTGCATCTCTTCCAGATACGTCTCAGCTTCATGCAAAAGGATCCAGTGTACAGCCCCGGAAATTGTGACAGCTCTGAAGGGGGCCCACTTTGTGAGACTGTGTGATGGGCACAAAGGGGCTCTGCCCCAGCTCTTTCTCTTGCTGTTCTGACTCAAAACAGAGCCCAGCTGGAGGCTCCTTCTAACTTAATGGACCAGGAGTTTTCCTTTGGGGCTGCGTGCCTCACCTGCGGAAAGGAAGCGCTCAAGGAGCTCAGTTGTGGCAGCTGATCTTGCTTCGCCTCCTCCTTTTTGTCCAGGCAGAGGAAGGCAGGTTTGTACAAGCCAAGCACTAGCAGAGTCTCTCTGAATCCAGTTACCTCCTCCTCGATATTAGAAACTGATTGCAGGAAGGTGTTTGTTCCTTCCTTGGGCTGACTGAAGCCCAGCAAAGAAATTGACTCGGTAATATGCCATATCCCTTCCTCTCTCTTCCAATCACACCCTTTTTTGTGACAGTACTGTGCTCATGGTGACTGGAAGGCAGTCCTTCCTCTGTGACAGCTTTGCCAAGTCAGTCAGGTCCTCTCCGAAGGAAGGCAGAGACTGGAGAGGCCTCGGGATGCACTCATGAACACTAAGCTGGATTCATGGCTTTCATTTTTTTTCTTCTCTGCCTGATCTAGACTCCATTCTCTGTTCCTTAGCCCCACCCTGTCATTACCCCTGAATGTCTTGGATCAGACGGAACCCCTTTCTCCACCCGCATGTCATTTTGTTTAATGGAGCTGTAATTTCAGTGCCTTTTTATGGTGGAGCAAGAGTGCAAAACGTCTCAAGCTTCTGTGGTGGGTGAGCTCCCTAAAGCTTTTTATTTTTGTCTCCTTTGGCATTTTCTTCTTTTTTGGAGAGCTGCATTTAAGATGCATTGGGCATTATTAGATAGAGTGTTTTCTGAGGTGGCATGGCAGACTCAAACAGGTCAGATAACCGATGCTAAGTGATGTGATTCGAGTTTCCCTTCTAAAACTACTGCCCTGGAACCAGATTTTAGCTCAAGACCAAAAGGTCTCTTGCTAGAACAAGCTGTTTTCTGCCTATGTAGTCAGACAAGTGGGAAGTCGGGGACTGCAGAAGGGAAATTTCAGCAATGAAAGGTTGCTGGCTTTACATCAGGAATTAGGACAGAGCTGCCCTTGCAAACCATGTCGGTCCACTGAATGCAAAGTGGGCTAGGACTTTTTTTTTTTTTTGCTCCCCATTTCTGAAACTGCCTTGCAGCTCAGCTCTTTGGGGTGCATTACGATGGTGGGGGTGTACTCATGATGCTTAGTGCGACTCTTGGCTTGGAAAGTTTGGCTTGGAAGTCTTCAATAGGCCCTACCACTCCTATCAAGGCTGCAAGGCTGACATGTTCCCTTGGTATGTCTTGGGGAGGAAAGATGCAGGGAATCACTGGAGGAAAGATGCAGGGGAATGTAGGTAACGTCTATGGCACACAACCCTCTCCATGAGGAAGCCTCCTGCAAAAGGCCACCTGCAGCAAAAATACCTTAATAGAATGCAAATCATGCTCAGCTGTCTGGTTGCCAGGCAGTTTTTTTGAAACTGGTACAGCCCAGTGGCACCCTGTCCTCAAAACATTACCAGCTTAAATTGGGAGTTGCTTCTGATCATGATCCATAACATTTGTTCCCCAGCCCCAGATTGCTTCTTGTTTCTCTGAAAAATACATGATCTCCAACTCTTTCATTTGGACTGTGACTTCTGAACAAAGCTTGGAGAGCCCTTCTTTCTTTGGACCTACCAGGTTTGGATGCCAGGTAAACGTTGGCAAAAAAACAAAAACAAAAAACACTTATCTCTTATGGATTTCTTTCCAACAAAATGGAATTGGAGGCTTACTCACCACCATCGGAATCATGTTTGAAGCCGACAAATATAAAAACACATTTTAGGTTACAGAAGAAGAGCCAAAGACCAAGTCTGAAGGTTACCAGTTTTGAAGCATAGAGATGTGAACAGACAAGGGTAGTTTGGGGGTTTGCATTGTTTAGTTTTGGTCAAGACTCAATCCTATGTCTTGGCTATGTTTAAAGAGCTGCTTCACCTTCTTAGGACCGAAGGCTCAGGGCCGGGCAGGATTTGGGCAGAGCTTGAACTGTTTTTTGTAAGGTCTATCTTCTTACGCCTATTCACACGCTTCTGTTTGCCACATGTCTATCCTTATCAAAGCCAGAGTGGAAGCCCCTTGTTATAGGAAGAAACTTCTCAAAGCCTCTTGCCTCAGGGAAATGTTATATGGTGGAAATCCTGTGTGTTTTGGTTTTCCTCATCTGCTTTTTTCAGCCCCACTTCTTTTTCCTTTTGCGTTTTAACAAGCAAGAGAAACAGAGCCATGGCAAGGCCAAGATCTACCAGCCTGGTGTCTCCCTGCCTTGGCTGGCAACCATTTTTGCTAGGTTTTCTTTTGCGGTGGGCAAGCGGACCACCAGATGGCACTTAAAACTTAGAAGAGCAGCAGTTTCTTTGTGTGCAGGAAGAGCTGCAATTTATTTTTGTGTGTGTCATAGGGAAGGGGAGGGAGGAAGGGCGGGGCGGGGCCTTTCTAGGAAACAAGGCGGGTGGAGGGGACATTTAAAAATGGTTAATCTTGTATACAGAAACAGAATAAAATTGTTTTTTCAGTTTCCAAAAAAAAATCCCATGCTGTTTTTATCTCCCTCTCTGTTTCGGAAGAAGGTGGTCAAGAACCTGTTCTGCGAGCAGAGCTTGTTCCTGCAAAAACAGTTCAGGCGCCTGTCGACGGGGTAAGCCCTGTGAGAAATCTGCTGACTATTGCAAAAGACAGGGCTAGATTTGATAATCAAATTATCTAAAAGGAAACAAGGAGGCTTCCCAAGCGGTGTGTCAGGAAAGCTTTGGAAGCTTCCAGAAAGCTGGAAAGCTGGCAGATGCACTCTTTCCAGAATGATGTCTGCAAAGTTGGATCCAAGCCAGATAAATTCAGTTTCTGGTGGGACAAACTAAATAGACTCCAGAAAGGTGACATTCGCAAGATGCGGAAGTCTTGCCATTTTTCTTCTGCTTAGAACAGCCCTTTTTCCCAGAAAAAACAGAGTAACAGACCAATGCTTACAGTAATGTTGTCTCAGGACCTTATACATGACTTAAAACAGACGTCAATAAAAGGGAGCATCATTTCCTAAAGTATATCTTCATTTTATTTGGGGTATAAATAAAGTTTCCCATTCCCTTCTACAATAAGTATTTGAATACATACCATCAAATATAACTAAGCACAACACCAGCACACGTATTTTTATAATTGCGACATGGGAAATAAGGCACTCTTTGGCATTGGGGAGGGAACATTATCATTGCCCTTTTAAAGCACAGAGGCGAAACCCTGTGGAGGTATGACCTGAAAGCATAATCACTACTTGCTAATGTCTGACTAGAGTATTGCAGTGGGAAGAGCAGTACCTTGCATGAATGGGCTGGATACCATTCAGTGGCCATAGCTTTAAAAACAGCATCTCCCTGTAGACAATCATTTATATTGCCAGTCACTGGGCTTTTATTGGTGATCTAACTGGGCAGTTTGATCTCTCTGTAGCTGTCTTTCATTGTCTTTTAATACCAATCCAAAAGAACAAATCACTTCGCAGAGCAATAATAATGTAGTGCTTTGGATGATGGCTCAAAACAGTTTCCTTACAACAGCTGCGTAGGGTAGGCTAGGACGATTCTCATCCTATAACTGTGACTTGCCTAAGGCTTCTTACTGAAATTAATATTAATGAGAGATGGAAATAAGCCTTTCCCAGCTCCCAACCTGCGTTTTGAGCCACATCACGCAACATTTTTTTCATGAAGGCTTTACAAGTTTTGATGCCAAGCAAGAGTCCATTACAGGCATCACATCAAGGGACTGGTTTTTTGTTTGGTTTCTCCCATGAATGCCCAGGGGTATCCATTGCTAGTGTGAACTAACTTGTAATCTTGGCAAAAATGCAGCATTGGCCATATGTTTGGCAAGATTCCCTGGATTTTAAGGGAAATCAATTGAGTGCAGGTTCGTTGCACTCTAATGTTGAAACCAAGTGCTAGGTTTCTGGCATGCAGATCACTTTGGGAAGCAATAAGTAAAAGTCTTGCGTTTGTAACAAGTGTTGATCTTTAAACCAACTTCATTAGAATAGTGCTCTCTGACATCATCCCTCTGGATGGTGCTTCTTATTTTTGTCCAGACACCAAGACTGCCAGCTCCTGGATAGACATTTCCTTGTTGAGATAGCTGTCATATTGGGTTTCTGTTAGTCGTCCGCTCTTCAAAGCATCTTCGATGGAGAACTTCCTCCCTGACTTTCTGTCATGGATGACGGAAGATTCCCCGTTGGGCCCTTTCATGGTTATCTCTTCCCAGTCGCATTCTTGGTTCTTCAACTTGACGTACAAGCCCCATTCAATAAGGCCAAACCGGTGGGCTTCCTCGGGAGACATCTCTCTCCCAGTGTCGGGATCAATGACCACGATGGAACGCCTCAAGTGATTCTCCCTCTGCTCCCTCTTGATGGCCACTGTCTGGAGACGGTTCTGAAGCTGTTCGATCTCGTTGTCTTTTTCTCGAGACAACCTCTTCAGGTCTTCCAGCTCTTTCTCCAAGGTCTGGAAGCGAGAGTCCAGGCTCACACCGCATTCCACCTGCGACATGTTCTTCAAGTCCCGGGCTTCTGCCATGGTGAGCTCAATCTCGGACTGCAGCCGCCTCATCTCCAGCAATAGGTTCTGTTTCTCTAGATGTAGCTTGTGGTTCTCCTCCCTCAAGAAGTCCAGCTCCTTGGAAGACTTGGAGTTGTTGAACTCCACTTCAGATAACTTGGCCTCCAGCCGACTGATATCTGCATCCAGTTCCATCTTCCTCCGGCTTTCCTCCTCCAGGCTGTTCTTCAGTTTCTGAATCTCATATTCAGTGTCTCCTTTGTCCACTTGGACGCTCTCTGAGAAGACCACTTTTTCCTTGACTTCCATGTTCTCCAGTGTGTGCAGCTTCTTCCTCAGGGCTTCTAACTCAGCCTGCAGAACTTGCCTCCTATGCTTTTCCTCCTCCAGTTCCAACTTGAGCAAAGCGTGTTCTTTCTCCTGCTGTGGGTCTTGCTGGAGGATTACCTTCTGCTTCACGGTCACTCTTTCCGTTGTCTCTTTCTCCTGCTCCTCCAGCTCACCCAGCCTGATCTTCAGCCTCTGTACCTCCAGCTCTGCCTCCCGACGGGCCTGTCTCTCTTTCTCCAGCTCTTCCAGCTGTCGCTCCAGCTCTGACCTCCTCCGCTGTAGTTTCCGCATCTCGTTCCGAAGCAAGTCAATCTGCTGCAGCTCACTCTCTATGTTCTGTGAGAAGCAGCTGACCTCAGCTTTCAAGGCCGGGTCTTGCTCTAATTTCACCACCTCTTGCTGAACCACTTTCTCCTTGACTTGTGAGAGTTCTTCTTCTTTCTCCCTGATCCTCTCCTCCTGGATCTGCCTCTCCCTCTCCAGGTCCATGTGCTTCTTCTGTTCTTCAGCCAGCTGAGCCCTCAGAGATTCCACCTCTTCTCTTGTCTGGGGGTCCTCCCGGTACTGCAACACCTCTTGAACTACTTCCTTCATCTGGACCTGAGGTTTGGCCTCCTTTAGCATCTGGATTTCTTGCTTCAGCTGATAGATCTCCAGATCCGCTCTCTCAATGGCTCTGGTCCTATCCACAATCTCATCCCTGAGACTTTGCAGCTCCTGCTCCGTCTCTGGGTCAGTTTTGTACTTAATGACTTCCTTAATGACCTCCTGCACTTCCACTTGAGGTCCTCTGTTCCTCAGAGCGGCCAGCTCATTCTGGCAACTCTTCAGCTGCTCTTCTCCGCCCCGGTATCTTCTCTCTTGTTCCACCAGCTCAAGGCGAAGGTTGGCCACTTCGTTTTCGGTCTGGGGATCTGGTCGAACAATTTCCCGAACCTTCTCCTGGACAAGCACTCTGGCATTTTCTTGCTCCAGCACCTGGATCTTTCTGAGCAACTCGGCTTTCTCTCTCTCATGAGAGCGACCTTTGGCTTTCTCCTCTTCATACAGACGCCGCAGCTCGCTCACCTCCCTTTCTGTGGCTAGGTCCTTCTCCACCTTCAGCACCTCTTTCACCGTGATTTTGCCCTCAGCCATCACCCGCTCCTTCTCCAGCTGCTTCAGTTTGGCCTGCAAGAAACGGAGCTCTTCTTCCTGCTGCTGCCTCAGGCTGCTCTCCCGTTGCTTGCTTTCCTGCAGCTGTTGATATTCACTCTCCAGCTGAGGATCATTCTGCAGTTTCAGCACTTCCTTTTCAGTTACCTTCTCCTGCTCCTTATTCTTCTCTTCCGAGAGAGTAGCAATTTGGCGACGCAAAAGGACCATGTCGTTCTGGCGGGCTCCTTCCTGCCTCCTGAGGTCCTCCAGTTCTTCTTTCAGCTTCAGGATTTCCTCAGCCTGGCCTTTATCCGGTTCAATCCGCAGAACCTCCTTGACCACGTACTCCTGTGCGCCTTCTCTCTTTTCATGCTCCAAGGTTCGCAGCTTGAGCTTCAGGGCTTCAAGTTCACTCTGCAGCTCCTGGTTCTTGCGTTGCTCCTCCGCAAAGTTCTGCTGCATCTTGTAGAAGCTGTCCTCTAGCTGTGGGTCGGGCACTTTCTTCACCACCTCCTTGGTGACCAAGCTTTCCTGTGGTTTTTGGTTCTGGAGGAGGAAGATGTTTTCCTGAATGACCTTGATTTCCTCCTCCAGCTGCTGTCTCCGCTGACTTTCATCCTCCAGCTCCTTCCTTAACTTCCAGATTTCTTCTAGCGGCCTTTCGGACCTGCTGCTCTGAACAGACTCCTGCATCAACTGGACTTCAGGCTGCTGTCAATAAGGAGGAAGCAGAGTGTCAGTGGGAGAACTGACCAGCATAGGTGTCATTTTAAAGCAAAGGCGGGCAATTGCTGGAGTCAGTGGGCTGCATTTGTCACTTGAGGGAACCTTACAGGGCCACACCCCTAAAAACATTTTGCCTTCTTTTGGATGTGGAATTCTACTCCAACCACTATCAACTGTATATGGCCATTCTGTATTGTCCAAAAAAGCCACTCTGCCTACATAGCACATATTAAATCTGACTATGTCACCAGTGTGACATACACCAGTACATGAAACAGTAATGGATTTTGTGTTTACACCTCCAAGCTATCTTATTCTGAACACTTCTGGCATTTCAGTTATGGGATACTCAACCTATATCAGCTGAATTTTTAAGATGCTGCACAACTTTTGTTGTTTTGCTCAAATTGGCTAATAACAGCTATCAACTTGGAATTTGCAGCAAAGCATAGTTTTCAAAACTCACTTGTTTCAGGAGATTCTGGGCAAACTCCAAGTTCTGCAGCCTCTGCCGATTGACAGCATTGACCTCTGTGAACTTTGCAGCCAGGACGGCTTCCTACAAAAGAAAGACAAAGATGCACTCAGAGAAGGCAACACAAAGGGGACTCCTCTGCAAACAAGGAGAGAAGCCTTAGACCCACTCACTGGCAGGTTTGGGCCTCTTTGTTATTAACTGCCTTCGACCCAATGAATGAGAGACCTTCAAGTCACCCTCAGGCTTGCTTAAGCCAGTTTACAGTTACTCCTTTTGTAAATGCTATTTTCAGCTTTGTAAATAAAG